TTGTGGCAAAGTAAAAAGTAAAAACATTCAAATAGCTTGAGCGTCTCCTACAGCTGTCGAAGTCGTTGCTTAGCAATGGCATCTCAGCAGAGTGATACAATGTTGGTGAAAAAAAACGTGATGATGGTGAAATAACAGCACAGTTAGAACGCTTCTCAACTAATCAGCTTGCGTGGCCAGAACTAACTGTTGCATAATTGTTAATAACACCTTTAGAGGGCAGCGTTGAGTAATGTAGGTTTATTTGATGTGTGTTAATAACACCTTTAGAGGGCAGCAGTGAGTAATGTTTGTTTATTTGATGTGTGTTAATAACACCTTTAGAGGGCAGCAGTGAGTAATGTAGGTTTATTTGATGTGTGTTAATAACACCTTTAGAGGGCGGCAGTGAGTAATGTTTGTTTATTTGATGTTTGTTAGTAACACCTTAAGGGGGTGGTAGTGAGTAATGATTGTTTATTTGATGTTTGTTAGTAACACCTTAAGGGGGTGGCAGTGAGTAATGTTTGTTTATTTGATGTTTGTTAGTAACACCTTAAGGGGGTGGCAGTGAGTAATGTTTGTTTATTTGATGTTTGTTAGTAACACCTTAAGGGGGTGGTAGTGAGTAATGATTGTTTATTTGATGTTTGTTAGTAACACCTTAAGGGGGTGGCAGTGAGTAATGTTTGTTTATTTGTTGTTTGTTAGTAACACCTTAAGGGGGTGGCAGTGAGTAATGATTGTTTATTTGAGCTTGAGCTGTATCTGTCATGAGATATTATGCACTGACAGCTAGGAAGTAACATAGATAATCAACTATCAAGTCCCTCTTTTTATACATGTAATTTTATAGTTTTATAGTGAAACTAAAAAATAATTGTCGATCACAATTATTTATATGGCAGTTAATTGTCAGCTAATAGTACATGGTCATGACCGCCCTACCTGTAGTACTGACATTAGATTGTGCAGACAGCAAGGCCAGATTTTTGTTTAATATCATGGTATTAGAACCCATTATGGGTTATCAGCTGCAACCAAGTATGAATATAAACAGCTTGTGCAGCTTGTGACAATCTTATACTGACTACATTGATTTTTCATGGTACATTTCATACATCAAAGGCAATTTGGTGTGTCAATCTTTATGGAATGAAAATATCGACAGTAGACGGCGTAGCTGATATAACAACATTAATCCAAAAGGGAACAAAGGAGAAAGACAGGGAGGCTTTCTGACATTTCTTTGGACCAGGCTGCGGCATCCCTTCAAATCCAGCCCTAGGTACTAAAACAGCTTACAGTATTACTCCACCACTCATGTTATGTTTAGTGTATATGCTATCAGTGTCACTGAATCCAAACTCCAAATTTGTGGTTGTTAACCCCCGGGTTTATGCATTGGTTTTTTCCTGCTCCAACACAGCTGATTCTACTAATCAGCTCATTAACAAGCCCTTCCTGAGTGGAATCAGGTGTGTTAGAGCCAGGCCTGTTTCTCGCTATAAGCAGTACACTGTAAAACATGGAACAGGAAAGAAGTTGAAGTGTTTTTCGGGTTTGAATTGATGTAAAAGGGGTCACGCATACATATAAAGACATATATATATATATACATATATATATATACATACATAAATATGTGTGTGTGTGTGTGTGTGTGTATATGTATATACATACTTTGGCTAAGGTTTTATGTACCAAAAATGGTCATGATTTTCCAACCTGTATTTATCTCTTAGAACAGCAGTGCCCAATCCTGGTTCTGAAGATCTACCACCCCGAAGAGGTTAGCTTCAACCCTAATCTAACACACAGCTGATCCAGCTAATGAAAGCCTTCAGGGGCATCAGAATATTGCAAACAGCTGTGTTGGATCTGAACTCTCTAGGTTGGTAGATCTCCAGAACCAAGACTGGACACCCATGCTTTAGAATTAAACAGGCTGTTTTTGTTACTGTGCCTTTAAGACTGATATATGTAAATGAGCTCTGTTCTGATTAGCTGTCCTGTTTTGTACCTCATTCAAAACACGGTCTAGGCTGAAACACTCCTTATAACTTCAGGGTGGGGGTGGGACTAAACCGCTGTAGGCTGAACAGGCAAATATTTGAAAATGACTTGCTTTTCATGGCATTACAAAAGCAATGAATTTGAAATGAGTGTTTTAACAAAGCAAGGAAAATTAAGAAATGGCCATGGTTAAAGCGGGAACAACACAGGACAGGTGTACTCCAGGATGAGGAATGGGAACCAATACTGAAACTGCTTTACTCGCCCGCTCACCTCCTCTCACTTCCAAAAGCCAGACCATTAAAGCGATAGTTCATGGGGAAAAAATCAAATTCATTGTATTATACTTAAGCTTTACCAGCCTAATTGATGTCCTATATCCCTGTGCATGGCGCTAATTGGTGGGCTACAACCTTCCGTCACTGATTAGCACTATTAGCTTTGTATCTTCAGTGCAAAATTAAAGAAGCAAAGTAAGGCACCAAAACATGCCTCGTCTGATCAGCTACACTGCGTAAATTTGATTCCTGGCCGAACTATCGCTTTAAGACTGTAAGTGAATGGAGTGAATGGAGGGGTTGTAGGGGCTGAACCTCATCAGGCTCCACTCACCTGCCGCCAGCTGCATCCAGCCGCAGATTTTGTAGACGGTGGCCGTGCTGCAGAAGAAGAAAAGGGCGAAGCAGCCGATGCAGGTCAGCACCAGCACCATGGAGGTGCCGATGAAGAAGGAGGCGGCTTTGAAGGCGCCTGACGGGATGGAGCTGAAGTTGGTGAAGCTGCCTTGGCACTTCAGGTCCCGCGACAGTCCGTTTCCGATGCAGTAGTGGAAGAGGCCGAAGTAGCCGGCCTGAGGAGTGTCCACCCCGTCTCCGATCCAGTAGGGCTGGATGAAGCACACCACGTTGACTATGGCGAACAGAATGGTGAAGATGGCCCACAGGACGCCGATGGCACGAGAGTTCCTCACGTAATTGGTCTGGTAGATCTTGGCTGCCTCTGAAGCTGGAAGCATAGCTGCTGCTGTTCCAGGAACCATCGCCTTCGGTCAGTCTTCCTCAGATGGTCTCTGCTTTGGCAGATGTGCACCAATGGCTGTGGCAGACCTCACACTGGCTTGTTTTATCGTCAAGCGTCACCGTGATTCATCTGCCGTATATATATATGAGTGTGCGAGTGACCCACTGCTTGGGTCGCTATAGCTTGTAATAGAGCTGATATTTCATTTCCAACGTTTTGCTGCGTAAAGTGCTTTTGAGATTTCGTCACTACAATAAAAATGCTATATAAATAAAGATGACTATTGTATTTGTGAATATTATGGTTGTTCCACCAGGTCAGACTCTTCAGCTGTAGTCACAATTCTCATGTCTATGCCTGCATCCTCTGCTCTAGTCATACAGACAACCAGGCAAAAAATACCACGGCTATAGCTGGCTGCTTGCGTTTCATGGATGATTCCCTAAAAACAGCATTCAGATCTAAGTGGTCAGTCTGGTCCATCCATTATTCAGCTGCAGCAGAAAAAGAGCATCTTCTGGGCTGCTGTCATGACGGGGCTCTGCAGCCTTTGGAGCTTTACATGAGGAACAGAGTAGAAATGTGCCTTACTTGTGCCCAGCAGTGCATCCAGTGCTGCTTTGTGGCCATCTCTGCTCAGAAACAGCAGCCAGATCTCCGCGAGCCATCAGCATCCCACTTCATATACAACGCAGAGCCTGTTAATCCCGCGCGCTCAGAGATCACTGTTAACACAGCCTCTTTGGATAAACTGTCTCTCTCTCTCTTTCTCTCTCTCTCTCTCTCTCTCTCTCTCCTGTGAACACGGCACGCTTATGTGCTGAAACCCTGTTTGGGTGCTGCTCCCTTTTCCAGACGTTAAAATGGGTCCTGGACCGAAGCACGCGCGGAGATGACAGGGAGCAAACACAACACACACGCACGCATATTCCCTGTCTCGTTCACTGAAACGCGCGCACACATACATACACACGAACGCGGCAGCTGCGGCTCAACAGCGCTGACAGCAGGACCGAGCAGACAGAGCCGCTCAGAGAGACGCGGGGCCGCGTTCCAATACGCGCGCGGCGGCTCCAACTAGAGCGCTTAGACATTGCGTGGAAGTCTGGCCGCGTTCCATTACGAGCGCCACGCAGCGGCCAGGATTCTAGTTCGGGCGCAGCAGGTTCCACCATGAACACCGATCAGCGGTCAGAATTCTCTGTAGTAGCTAAGCAGTCTAGTTTGAGCATTTTGGTGGTCACCAGTCTGTGGCCAGATAGAGCACAAACGCTTCTTAGACAGAACACAATCTTAAACTAATTTAAACTCCAGTTAGAATACAAACTGTTCGAGAAATATTTTAGTATAACACATTTGGTGAGTTGTCTGCCCTGCGATGGACTGGCGACCTGTCTAGGGTGTATCCCTGCCTTCCGCCCAATGACAGCTGGGATAGGCTCCAGCACCCCACCGCGACCCAGAAGGATAAGCGGTTTAGATGATGGATGGATGGATGGACATTTGATGAGTTGCAACATGAGTGGCAATGGCAGCCAGAGTTCTACGCTCTAGCTAAATATTGTTGTTAGAGCAAAACCATTCACTGCTTTCTAGTTAGAACACTAACTGTACACGAGCTAAGGCGTTCTAGATTGCTGTTGACCAGCAGCCAAAACACAACCTATAACATATGCTAACATTGCTAGTGACAAGCAAAAATTGTGTGCTCAGGCTAATATATATGTGTGTGTGTGTGTGTGTGTGTGTGTGTATAGATAGATAGATAGATAGATAGATAGAATTCTTTAATACATAAATTGAAAAAATTGGGACCAAAACCAACTTCAGCAGAAAAAAGTAGATTCCTTTTCTTGTATAGTGTGAGTAAATATTTTATTTGAAAACACTATCAAAAGTACAAAATAATCAAAATGTCTCTTACCGGAATAAATGGAAATGCGTACTACATATATCTGTGTAAAAAACTACAAGTCCCGGCTTCCGGATGTGACGTTCCATTCGCGGGAAAGTGAAGCAGCGCGTGGATCCTACGGTTGTGTTGTGGAGTTTTCGTCTCTAAAAAGTAGGTGCGCTGGATTTACTCTCTAAACTGCACTGTAGATGACTAAGAGTGTAATTTTACTCAGTGAAGCCTGTAATACTGTGTTTTGGTGAAAGCTGCTGGCTCGTTGGTGTAAAAGTCCCCGCTGTTTTACTGAGGTGGCGCTGCTGCTGTTATTAACACACTGATCAGGTTCAGTGTGAACTTCAAGCCGAAGTCTGCTAGTGAGCTGTTATAAAAACAGTTACAGTAAATTAAGTATATTACGTAGATTATAATCTGCGACGGAGGACGGTGAAACCACTGTTTATAAATTAGAGATTCACTTCTGGAAATATTAATACTGGACTGACTGACTGACGATTGTAGCTAGTACACTAACAAAACATGAACAAGGACACATCGCGTAACGTTACGCAGAAGCAGTTAGACTGCATTAAATATTAAATGATTTCTGTGCTGCAAATACAGGTGTAGTTTTAGCACAACATACACACCACAGAACACCCTGTATGTGTATTAGCATTGAGCATATGCGCAAAATCAGTCTAACCGTAGCCAGTAAAGATAAACTGCCCTGTGAATGTAAACAAGGGCTCATCAGTGCATTTTAAGACTAAAGAGAAGAAGTGCAGGCTAAACGAAGTTTTCTCTCTTTGTTTCTCTCTGTAGAGGATGCTGTCTGGACTGCAGTATCCTGGCTGTCCTGAAGCCAGACTGCTGTCTCTGAGAGAAAAGCTGCCCTGTAGAGACGTGCAGGCAGGAACGCTGCTGGCAATCATGGGTGAGGGTACGTCACGAAAAGAAAGAGAAAAAAAGAAAGTAACTGTAATATGTTCAGAAAAGACATGCCTGAAATGGGCAAGTAATGTTGTTTCGTTTAAGTTTAGTATTAGGGAGGTTTTTGTTCAAGAATTTTTTTTTGTCTGAGGAATGTGAAGTTATACAAGCCATAGTCAGCCTTTTCAGAGCACCCCTCCCTCACATCTCTAACATCTCAGTAAATACATTCATATTTGATGCTCAGGTTTAGTTTAGATGTCCAAAGACCTGTTTCTTAATACTATTGAACAAAAGTTGGCATGTATCCATCACAATTCTGACAGTTATGTTTTCTGGAAAGTGGCATATCTGTCATGATTATAGATCTTTCAGTTGTTGGCATGTGTGCAATATTTCCATTTGAATAAAGTTCTGCTATTTAGCAAACTGTGTTGAAATGGAGTAAAACATTAGTATGCAAGTGGCTGCAGGTCCAGTGTAAACTTTGATTGATATCCGTAACTTGCATGTCATAAATACTTCCTTCATGACTCGTGAGCATGTTTGCAAAAACTAAATAAAAATGGCATGACTGTATTTCCTTTTACAGTTTCAAGATCTACACTGAACAAAAATATAAATGCAACACTTTTTTGTGAAGAGGAGTTTTTTTGTATCAACTGCTGCAAAATGGGACCAAAACCAAGTGTTTATATGTATGTTTTTGGTCAGTATGTGTTGGTGTTGATTAGTAGATGACATGACATGAATATTCTTCTAACATGTTCACGCATGGTGTTGTGTGTCCTCTCTCCTCCACCAGCCTGAGCAGTACTGCTATCCCTCCGTCTTCATTTATGGCCATCGAGCCACAGGAAAGAGTCACGTGATCCTCACACTGCTGAAAGAACTGGAGGTATGATTAATATAAAATGGGATGCACAATATCAGCAGCTGATTTATTATTCACCAGAAAATCAGGAGAGTTTATTATCACAGGTCTGATATTGGAATTATGGCCGATAAATACAACCGATAACTTGGCCTCTGTTTTTAGTTCACATATATACTGAAACATGTTCACTCTGATGGCGGTGTGGGAATTTTTCACAGTTCTAGCAGATGACAGTGTTCAGTACCACTAGTCTAATTAGCCACAACAAGGTGATAAATTGTTTATTCATTATTATTGTCAAATTTCCACATGGCTGTATGAACCGTACATGAGGCAAATCAAACTCCCCTTTTTTCTGATGAAAGGATTGTTATTTGCCTTCTCTTCCTGTAGCTTCCCCATGCGGCAGTGAGCTGTGTGGAGTGTGTATCTGCAGGGCTGCTGTTTGAGCAGACGTTGTTGGCTTTGTTTGGTGCGGACTCGGCCACTCTGCTCCCTCGCTCGCCCTCTCTTTCTGACTTTGTGCGAGTCTACAGACAAATCTGTGCTCAGCAACCTGCCAAACAGACCCGATACATAGTGAGTACAGGACTTTTACTGAGTTTTGCCATTTTGGTCTTAGAACTAAAGGGTTTTCTTCCAAAATGCATTACAAACCACTTTCAGAAATGTTTTATTTTTAAATGATATACATTGTTGCACTTTACACATACAACACTTATTAATGTTGTATTATGATTTAATACCATCTTTGTGTGAAGATGTCCGCTGTTATTCTTTTCAAAAAGTGTTATATTCAACATCGTTATAATGAAATATACATGGCCTCTTTTTCCAAACTGTTGTTAAAAGCGCATATTGAAACTGTTTTGGCCCAAAAGTGGTTTAAACAGCTGAAAGGTTTGAGTGCTGATATAACAAGAAGAGGATAAAATATTTTTATAATAATTCCCAAGGGAGGGCTTTTAGCAGGTGCAATTTTTATTTTATTTTGCAGTATTTCATTTAATTTAATTTATTTATTTAGCAAAAAAGGGGCAGGGTGTAAACAGCTCTGGCCTTTCTGTTTGATAAGTCTTTGCAAACTGACTAAGTGAACCTGGTCATTCATTAAAAACATTTTAGAAAAGCTAGGAGTCCCCAAACTTTTGATGATCTGTGTACTGTGGTGTTTCCAGGTGAGAAGAAGTTTGAAGCAGGGAGATTTTATTCCAGCTTATGCAGAATTTTCTGCTCTGTTACAGCAAAGCTTGGCTAAGAAGAAAAAAATGCAAAATGCAAAAATCCTTTATGCATGCCTGAAGACACAAGGAAGTTATTGCACTGCAAAAAAATAAAACCTGCATCAGCAGTTATTATAGGTTCTCTGTCTTGATATCCCTGAGGATGGGGAGGTTAAGTACTGCTCGTTCAGATAAGTGTGTACAAAATGCAGAGGAGGATATTCTTTTACTTAAATCTGGAGAGCATGTGATTATCTCCAGGGAGTGTGTATAGAAGAACAGTTTACACCACACAGAATACAAGAATATATGCAAAGATATCCACTAGGAAACTGCTGGGATTAGCGTATATTCACACAAATCGCATTAGTCAGTAGGACTGTGCGATATGGATATAAAATCTGGAGTTCGATAAGGCTGTCTGATTTCACAATGACGATATGAGAAGCGATAAATTACTATTAAAATATTGTGAATCTGACTGGATGTGAAGCAGGTACAGACCTTTTTGTTTTTTTGGATGTGTAAACAGAAATTTAGATAATCTCTTTTTTAAGCAACTAACAAAATACAAAATAGCAAATCATCATTGACTATTCTGCAAAACAAAAAGAAATGAAATACTAACAACTACTCACATCACAACTGCAAGCACATTTTTGTGCACTGAGGGCTGAGAAACAGTCAGCATTACCTCAGCTGTTTTTCTATAAAATCAAAAACAAATAAATGTGTATATATATTTTTTTACTTATTAAATAGGTTTGTTGTGACAGTAGCCATTACTGCCTCGCACACTTACCAGATGTGCTAGCAATCTTAATGTTTGATGCATTTTTACTGGCAGTAGTTTAGGATGGAGGAGTTTTTTAACTGTGCTTGTATGTGTTTTGTAATGCAGGGTTTGATCCCAGTGCAGAGAAGCACTCATTAGTTTTCTAATAGTTTGTGCTGGTAAGCTGACGTACTGACATCTCTCTGGTGCATCGTCTAATAGGTAATTTGATCTGCTGTGTCATCGCAGCCCTTGATGATGTGTTTCTTGCGGAAACTTATATCGAAATGACAAAAAAAAATATGATTTATTGCGCAGCCATAGTAGTCAGGTTTCCGTCCAGCTGTTGAATTAAATTCAGGTCAATGATTGAAATGTTGCAAAAAAACTGCAAATAAGGCTGAGAAAATAAAACTCAACGTTACTCTTAGTATTTCTAAGAAACATGGAGCGAGTGTACAGACAAATCTTTAGTGCTGAGCAGATTCTTGTTGCTGTAATGTTTAATTTACTGGCTGCATTTTACATTGTAAGGGTGTGGAGACAGAACACACTGGCTATCATAACAGCTCAGAAAATGTTCATAAATCTCTTACAGCAGGCCTCTCAGTGGCCATTCTTTCGTCAGAGTGGAAATAAACTTATTTTTCATTAAAATAGTAATATATTAAAAAAAATTCTTGTAATGCTGGTAACAGATAATTTAGAACACTGTCGGCTGTCTGTGTGAAAAGGTGGCGTACCAAGATATAACAGACAGCACAATTGCAACTTTCTTGTTATAAAAAATAGAATTTAAATACAAAAACTGTTTTATGCTGAACTGCTTGCTCACCTGCAGAGATGAAAATCCAGTTTGCTTCCAGTTTTGTAAATCCTACACATTTCAGTTGAAATATTTCATCAACTTTATTAAAGAAAAAATTGCATAGTTCAGTTGAGGCACTTTGGGAACAGGTGTAAATTGCATTTATGGCTAAAGGTTTTTTTTGCGCACACTAATGTCTCTAAATGCACCATTGATGCTGTTTCTTTGTTAAGACAAAGATATGTTTTAATTTTTTCCTCCTGTTTCCCGTTTTTTTTTAATACCTGTGGTGGCCAAAGTAGGAAATGATGCATTGTTGCATTTTAGTTCTGGTTATCTTGGTGTTCACACTGACATTTTGCATTATGTTCTGTAAACAGAAGAGAAATAGTCAAGACTGATTAGGCAGATTTTTTTATGATGCATATTTGTGACAATTACGTTACTATCCAACAGACTTTCTGAACCATGTTGTGTTCTTTACAGAGAACATACTTCGACGCATCAAAAGAAACCTACCAAATGTGAACACACCTTTATTTGGCCATTCTACCTCTTTATGTGAAAAGTATGGAATTAATTCTTAATTAAGCTTAACTCTGAACAGCTATGGAGATTAAACTCTGTCACTCCTCATCATGCTGCTAATAAACTGAAATCACATTCTTACAATGTTCTACAAATGTGAATCACAAAGGCAATACTAGGAGTTCATCTGTGAAATGAAAGGAATAATAAAACGTACTGTGTGATGTTTTTGAAGGTTTTGGAAAGAGCGGAGCTCCTCAGAGATATGGAAGCCAATCTGCTGCCTGGTCTGCTGCGCCTACAGGAACTGGTACCAACCCACACACTATCATTCTGGACACATCTAAAATTTCTCATAGGAGAATTCCACATTTTCTCCTCCAAAATATCTGCAAAATTCAGATTTACATCTAACCCTAGATGTTAACAAAGTCAATTAGAGTGGTTTGATGTGAAACCACTACCTGATCAGATTTCTTTATAGAGGTAGCAGTGGTACTGGGTAATGTGTTTAAAACCTTCTCAGAACTATTGTAAAACCATGTCTGATACATCAGGCAGTGTATTCATAACCGATACATGTTATAATTTTCAGTGATGGAGCTCTTAGAGAACTTAAACTCTTCAGATGCCTGGTTCCTGTCAACACCACTGTGAACAATGCTGACTATTTTCGTTTCTCTGTAATGAAGCATTTTACATCAAACCACTGTCAGTGACTTTTTAGTGAGTTTTTACATTTTGGAGCTAACATCATAGTAGAATAATTTTATACATATACCTGCAACAAAGTTTATTTTATTGTAAACACTGATTCCAAGCTGGGGGGTCACTGCACACTAGGGTCATCTGTTTTGAGCTGTTTTAAAGTCTCAGACTGACCTGCGTTCTGTCTGGTGTCAGGTGGATGATAATGTGACTGTAATCCTGCTCAGTGAGATCGTGTGGGACAAGTTTCGGCCCAACACTGGCTGCTTCGAGCCCCTGCTGCTGCACTTCCCCGATTACACTAAAGGTAACTCATTTAGGTGCAGTAAAATCAAAAACAAATATCAATTAAACAAGTAGATAAAGGAAGCCAAAAAGTGGTAAGCAGGAATCCATGCTTTCTGATATCTTTGAAGTCTGAGCCTGTCAAAAGTCCATTAAAATGAAGGGTTAAAATTTGCCCCATAAATAATGAGTTAGAGTTGCTTACCTCAGGATGGATATACAGACTACTCAGGGCCATGTGTAGGTATAAGCACTCCTTCTTAGTATGTGTGATGAACTTGCTTCATTTGCATACTTAGTAACCTTATGGCTGATCTTTTATAGCTTCCATTGCACTAATGATTGATTGTATTTATCATTCCTGTCTTATATGGCTCATATGTCTTTGTCATTATGCTAGACACTATTTCAGCATGGACAGTAAACTGTAGGCTCAGTGCGCTAGGAATGTAAAAAAGCATTGTGCAGATTCAGCTACATTGATTTTTAGAATTTTAGATTTAATTAAAATGTATGGTAATAATGTCCAACAACCTATGTGCTCATTTTTGAGCCTAAAAAAGGACCTAAAAATAGCAGCAAAAAAGCTTAGTGTCTTATTTTTATTGCCCATATTCCATATAATAATGTGTGTGTGTGTGTGTGTGTGTGTGTGTGTGTGTGTGTGTGTGTGTGTGATTTATGCTACAGCGGAGCTCCTGCAAATTCTGTCTCTTGACAGTAACCCATCCTACACACCTGAACTGTACTCATCCTACATCAACATTCTGCTGGGAGTCTTCTACTCGGTCTGCAGAGACCTGAGAGAGCTACGGCACCTGGTAAAATACAGACACACACATGAACCTGTTCTAACTGTGTGACTTTGATTGTAGTACTATAGTTTATGTATCTCTTTTCTGTAAGTATGTACACTAGTGGTGTAACAATACGCACTTTTCATGATGCATATTGCTGTTTTTGCATCACAACATGAAACATTTTCGATTCTTAGAAAACATAAATAAAAAATAAACAGAAGAGCAAGATGTATATTACATGTTTCACGTGTGTTATTATGGCTCAAAGTAATAAAAGTAAACACTATGTGGACTATAAGGCTACATCTCAAAATTTAAATGACGTGAACTTTACAAGTTTATGTACAATCTGATTTTGTATTTGGATATAAAGTGACTCTTGTGAGAAAGGATTTTCAAACCACTGAATCCAGGATTCTACACCAGAGTAGAGGTGATATTTAATACTGACACAGTTTCGGCACACTGTCACTGTTCAGCCTACCGCTCTTTGTCCATCCCCTGGACTAGAAAACCAAAGTGTTCCCAAACAGGAGATAAATGTAAGAATGAGTTGTTCCAGCTCAAGCTTGCTCTCTCAACATGCCATTTCAAACAACTTGGCTAATTAACCATTCAAGGTAGACAGAGCTGAAGCTTCTTATTCAGATTTTCCTCAGGCACCAGAGTGTAACTACTGCACTATTTAAGGTGGAAAAGAAAATGTGAATTAAAAAAGCTGGAGAATAAGACATTAAAACCCATTTAATGTCCAAACGCAGTAACTCGCTGCATAACACGCCGGGCTGTGCCATGTATGTAGGCTTTTGCAAATGCTGCACACATGAGCCATAAAAAACAAACTTTGGGTCTTTTTTTTTAATGTGTGCCGCACATGCATGCTTGTAGTTTCTAGGCAGAAAAAAAATGCAGTGTTTAGACTATTATATACAATCTAGGCTAGTAAACAAATCAACAAATGTAGTTTTAACTCTTTGACAGGTGATAGAAATCCCCCGAGTGGGTTAATGTTGTGGACCCACATGTATCTTCTTCATATAGCCATAAATGACATGGTGAGAAAGCAAGCAGCAGTCATGGCAGCAAGTCACGTTTTATTGTTGATCTCTTTATAATGAGCTGATTCATTGAATTAGGTCTGTTAGAGCAGGAAAATTCTAAAATCCTCAGGGCGGGGGACTTAAGGACCAAACAGTCATCTAAATAATTTTTTTTCCTTCTTGGGAGATCAGTATGGTAAGAGTGAGAGCGTGTTATGTATTTATTTTTTAAAAGCTGTCATCTGTATTATTTGTTTTTCTTCTCTTCAACAGGCTGCCCTCAATTTCTCCAAGTTCTGCGAACCTCTAGAGAAAGGAGAAGGTAAACATTTATAACATTTCAGAAGTTTCTGTTATTTATAGGAATGTAGTTGTACCATCTGTTCACTGCTGATACTCATTTAGAGATGGAATTCAAAAAATGATTTAGATATTCTAGGGAAAAATGGGACTCCTAACAACCACGTAAGACATGGTAGACCACCAAAACTGACATCATCAGAAACAGTACTTAAAGCTTTCATTTTTAAGAGATAAAAGAAAATCAAGCTCCACTCTTGCTTTAGATCTGAAAAAATGCAAAGATGTTTCTGTCCATCCTTCCACTGTGAGAAGACAACTCAACACTGAGTCTGAAAGCATGTGTAGCTGCGAAGAAGCCCTTACTGAGAAAAGGAAATAAACAAAAAAGAAAATTTGCACTTCAGTGTTTAAACAGAACATCTGAGATGTGGAATAATGTTGTATGTACTGATGAGTCAGTTGTGTAACTTTCTGTTTTCTGCTTTTTTGACACTGAAAAGTTTACACTTAATGGCTATTTTGACAGGAAATTAAATGAATGAAATGGTGGTCTCTGACTTTTGCATATACTGTAGAGGTTAAGAACATTTTTTGAATTCATTCTCTTGTAAAGTTACTGTTTTTTTTTTTTAGAGGTTCTTACAGTTTCATTTCTGTCTGGGTATTTGCTGCTCTGTAATATTAAATTGTTTTAAACTGGTTTCTAATGTCTTCTCAGCCAAAGAGGGCGACACACACAAACTGTGGAGGAACATTGAGCCGCATCTGAAGAGAGCCATGCAGACCGTGTACCTGAGAGAGGTGTCCAGGTGCGGAGCAATGATGACATCATTATTCAAATTATTCAAGCTAATCACTGTCAGCTCCTTAAACTTTAGGCCTTTTTTGCAGTTTGTTAAAGGTTTTTTTTAATTATATCGTCAGTGTCATGTCAAACCATTGACTGTTAACATCAGCATTCTTAGCTTGTTAATGTTGCTAAATTCTATTAACATTATTTTAGATAATTTGTACTGGTCCATTCATCAAAAGTTCATCAAAACAAGGGTAGTTTCGCTGGACCACCATCGGCTGCATGGTATTTGTGTTTCACAAGTGCCTACAGTATAAGATAAGAGATGTTAGCCCTACATTTGGGGTGTGTGTATGCAAGCACCGCTGCCACTTCATTTAATTAGGTTGTATCCTTCCGCCTACTGTTTGTCTTGGGCATGTGCATTTCAACAGTGGGTATCGGTCAGTAATTTAGTAAGAGACATCAAATCTCGTAGGCAAAAATAACATTTATCTAGTTACCCTTATGAATTATTCAGGAGCTACTATGAAACGACATTTAAAGTACGAAGCTCACGGCATTCTAACTAAAACAAACTAAAACAATGTTCTGATGCAAAACAGCACATTTTCGCCCAAATCTATGTGGTGGTTCGACATCATTCAGTGTAATTTGCACTGCTTCCTAAACAGAACTTCTGATTACTGCGTTGTTTGTTCTGAGACTTCCCTGCGACTGTGATTGGTCCACTTCACCCAGCGGGCTTCTAGTGGTGCTGAGACGTATTAGTTCTTTTCAAGTATACTCACCCCAAGGGTTAAGTTAATTATGTTTAGTTCTTTCATTGTTCTAAGTATACTGCCAGCTTTATTGTTTAGTAAAATGATATAAGCCCGGTTCCAAAATAGTCTGAGTCTGTGTTCTGTACTCAACTGAAATGGAAAAACAATTTTTTGGACAGCGACGATATGCTGCCTCTAGACAACATCTTTTTCAGTGACGTCTATGCTTATTTCAACTTGACAATGTCAATGACATTTTGCATGTGTTAATCAGAGATCATCTTTTGGTGTCTTCAATCCCCAAATGATTATTAAGTGTTGTTCAAAGGAAAGGTGATGTGGTAAACATCCTCCTGTTCTAACTTTTTTGGAACGTATTATCAGCATTAAATTTAGTGCGTGTGTGTCTGTGTGTATGTATATATTTCGCTGCTGTCGGAAAAAAACATCGTATCTCCAAAAAGGTAACTTTACAGGAGAAGGAAAAACGCTCTTAACTTGAAATGAAAGTAAATGGTAATATAAATATAAAAGTCAAAAATTTTCCATGCACTTTTGGACAATTTCTGTTGGTCTTTTCATTCTAAAATTTTGACACAACATAAAGGGCACCTGCCTTTTTCAAACCAGGTCGAAAAATGAAAATTGGAGAAAAATGGACAAAATTGACAAAAATGGAGATGCGAGGTTTTGTCCCTAACAGCAGTGAGATATGTGTGTGTGTGTGTGTGTGTGTGTGTGTGTGTGTGTGTGTGTGTGTATATGCATGTTTTCAGTTCAATACAGGTCCAGATGAATTTTCTGTTTTATTAGCATTTCACATATTTTTGTATGTGTAAGGTTTATATTTATATCTAAGAGGCACTCTTGAGACTCTTGTTAACATGTGGGTATGTGTTTTCACCCCAGTGTTCAGTGGGAGCAGCAGCAGATGGATGAGAAGGAGGCTACAGCTCTAAGAGGTACACACACACACACACACACACACACACACACACACACTCAGAAGGAGAATCGGTAGTGTGGTCCCAGTTCAGAGGCCTGGACCCTCGCACACACACATTCGGGCCATCTGCTGGAGTTGCTCTGTCTGCCAGGCTGCTCAGGATTTCCCCCATGTGTAAAACTCGGCAGAGCACCAACCTACCACACACGCGGATATAGCCGTCCCATCTCCTTATTCCGCTGATGTTAGTGTGATATGAGGAATTTTCACTCCTGTCTGGATCACTGTGATTTAGGGAAATTTGACTGATATTTCAAACAGATATTTGATGATGATTTGATTTATAACCCTTCAGAAATAAATGTTCTATTTCTCTGTGTTGCTAATCCAGGTGGATCTAGTCCCAATTTCTACATGATTAGTTTTTTACATATCTGTTTCTAAATCATTTAACTTCATTTTAAAAGAAAAAAGTTTTCATTTTCATTTAAAAAAAAAAAAAGTTATTTTTTCACAAGTGTAAATGTAGGGGTTAGGATTTGGGACAGTCACCTCCCAATATAAAGTACCCTTTAAGTGATGATTTTGTGTATTTAGCTTATTACTATTTATGTTATTGCCTTGGGTTTAAAAAGATCATAACATAATCCTTGTAAATATCTGATGTTGGTAGAATGTTCCAAAAACTTTAGGTTAAAGTAATGAAGTCCAGTTTTTAATTGTCAAATCAAATGTTCATGAGTGTGTTGTGAGTATATTGCAAGGCGTATCGCAATCGCAGTGTGTAACACTGTTATCACATACTGTATTTGGTCTATATTGTGCACCCCTAGTTTGGACCCACCTGTCTGAATGTTTTATCATTTTAAAGGCATTTTGATCAAAAGCCCTAGGCTTAAATTAGGGCTACCAGAAATCCTTTTACATTAAACTTCAAAAGTTTAAAACTTTTTTTTCTTCTCCTCAAAAGTTATCATTTTGGAGATAAGAGGTTGTATTCCAGCAGCAGCAATATAAGAGAAATAAGTGGTAATAAACCGCAGAAAATTCTGAAGTGTGCCTGTTATTGAAGAAGTGTGCCTGTTACTGCCAATCATATCAGTCAGTAAAGCACTGCTTAATTAAAACTGCTGGAGTAAAAAACTAAAATCTAAATTATAAAATTATATCAGACGATATTATTAGCTCCTTCAAAATTTGTGTTGACCTCAGATTTTTGGGCCTTGCTTAAATGCTTGAACTTGTTTCTAAGACAAGTATAGAAAAATTATAAAGGGAAAACTAATCCAGCTCTCGTAGTGCCTAATTTAAAGTCTCTCTCTCTCTCTCTCTGTGTGTGTGTGTAGGTTTATCAGCTCTTGCCCATGTGGAGTTGCCGTATTACTCCAAGTTCCTCCTGATTGCGGCCTATCTGGCCTCATATAACCCGGCTCGGACTGACCGCCGATTCTTCCTCAAGGTCTATCTCACTCTCCCTTCTTTACCTTTTCAAGCCTTGTTTGCAGTAGATAAAGCAAATGCACAAATATATGATAATGCTACTTTGCACTAAAAACTGAGGGCATCTTAGTGCATCTAGACTTCTCTTCTTACTCTTATTACTACAGTTACAGATGAGTTCTGTATAGTTGCTAAATAATTTGTAGTAGTTAATAATGCACAATAGGTACTGAATAATTCACAGTAGTTTCTAAGTAATTCAGAATAGACATTGAATAATTTATAGTAGCTACTGAATAATTCATAATAGTTTCTGAGTAATTAATACCACAGATGATATAGACAGCAAGCAAATATGTGGAAAGAAACCTCTGACCTAAGCTTGCATGAATGCCTACGTAGAACTTAATGAATGAGTTATGTGTCAGATTTGAGTGAGTTCTTAAAAGGGAATTCCACTGATTACTCAATTTCTGCAGAAGGGTTTAATGTGAAGTGGTTCATTGTAGAGAAACTTACAGATTCAGATTTTTTTTAACAACGTCTACAACACGTATATAGCCATTTTTTACTATCCAAAACCGCTAATCAACCTGCACGTGTCTTCTGAGTTTTATTTACACCCTGAATGCATTTGAAAATGAGTTTTAGGCCAAAACCTTTGCAAAACTGTTGTGAAACGTATGTCTCGGGCATCAGGCAACATATTCGTAAGTTTTTGTAGCTATAGCTTTATTTTAGGTAGTTTTACAAGCCTTCAGACATCTGATTCCTATCACCACTGCCGTGAACGCTCTTAATGACTATGCACGTATTTTTAGTAATCGATGGAATTCCCATTTGAGTCGAGACCTTTAAAGTTTTCCCATGTTTTTGTTTGCATCTAATGTGGGTAGGATGATAATGAGTGTACTTGTTTCTTTACAACAGCATCATGGAAAAATGAAGAAAACCAATTTCTTGAAGAAACATGAAAAAGTAAGTGGCTATAATCATGTAAAAATCAGGAATTGTTAACCTTTATTTTTAAAGTTTTTTTAAAATCACTTCTTTACTTTCTGTCTTTTTCTTTCTCTTTTCTTCTGCTTTTTGCATGTTCTTTCACTTTCATTCTATCTTCATTTCACTCTCCTTTTCTTTATTTGCCTCCTTCACTCTCCCTCTTTTTCACTCTTTCTGTACCTGTTGTTTTTGTTTCTCTCCTCTCTCTCTCTCTCTCTCTCTCTCTCTAACCCTCTAACCTTCTCTCTCTGCCTATCTGTTCTTATCTCTTTTTTTTTCCTCTTTCACTTTCTGCCTCTTTCACTCTTCCCATATCTCTTGCTCTCACGGCTTTTCTCTGTCGCTCTTACCATCTTCTCTCTGTCTCTTTCTCCCTCCTTTTCTCCCTCCCTCCCTCTCTCTCCAGACTAGTAACCATCTGTTAGGACCGAAGCCATTTCCTTTGGACAGACTGTTGGCCATCTTCTACAGCGTGGTGGACAGCAGAGTGGCGCCAACAGCCAGCGTCTTCTCCCAGGTAATTACAGCTCATTAAAACTGTAATGATAGTGTATATTAAAGGCAAGTTATGGTATTAATACTGAGTGGATTAGGAAATTAGACAGGATTTAAATAGAGTATACTAATGATAACAGTACTGCTAGTCAGTAGGTGGCAGTGTTTCATGGTAAACTCTTGCTTGTCACCATGAACTATAAATTTTTTAATTGTCAGAAAATTAGTTGAATAAAATTGTAAAAATGTTAGTTGTATATGGTTGATATAACTAGCTGACGAACAATGAAGGCCTATTTTGAAGGCCCCAATAGATGAATGGGCCTTCAAAATAACAGATGCTGTGAACATCCTGACCAATGTAAATACATTTGGTCAAAATAATGCAGTCCAGCCTTTAGCCATGTCACATGAAGCACTCAGCAGTCACCACATGAGAATGTGTAGTTATGTATAATTTAACTGTAAATTTTGCTGTCATTCAGTTTTCTCCAGCTTCCAGCATTTTGTTGCTGTCAAAGTTTGTTTGTTTGTTTGTTTGTTATCTTAAGGGTTTTTTTGTATTTCACTGTTAGATTGCTTCGATTTACATTAGGTAAACATTTCATAATGACAAATGGCCCTATATGAAGCTACTCTCTGATCATTTTGAGTATTTTTCAGAGCCCCACCATGTTGTGTTATTTTCTCCTGCAGATTTCCTCTCTGGTCACCCTGCAGCTCCTTACTCAGGTTGGACATGACGACCAGCTGGACACACCCAAGTATAAGTGTGCTGTCTCCCTGGACTTCATTCTTGCAATCTCTAGGTATGTGTGTGTGCTTGTGCATATGTTTAATTCAGACAGGGTTCCTGTTCCAGCTTCAAACAACCTAACAAACAGTTGCAGTTAACTCATTTTACTGCAGCATTTAATAACTTACTCTGTTAACCCTGTTATATTTTGTTGCTCAGGTTGTGATTAATCTTCATGCACATGAAAGTGTGATGTGTGTGACAATCAGCCAATCACGTTGAGCTGCTTTTATGTCAAAGAAGGAAAAATAAGTCATAATACATAAATATGTAGAAAGTAAAGCATTTATGAATGTAAAAACCAACACTGTCACCACTGCCACAGTATTACATCTTAATAATAATATAATAATATAAATAACTGCTTTATATTCTTCATATCTATGCAATATGATTTGTTTCCTCTGCTGAGAAGTGTTACTTTTCACATGATTGATGTCACAAATGTCATGAAGTGGGTCTGGGAGGGGAGACCCAAAAAGGACCAGGGGAGTCCACCTCTGCCAGAAGGTTGTCCCTGATTGGTCAGAAGCTTGACACTAATTGGTCCAAGAGTTGTTTATGATCTGAAATCCCAAACTTAACCTGCCTTAGAGCAGGATAGGCATGCAGCAAAAGTCACCACGGTGATGTAACCAGGGAATATCCTTCTCCCATTTTATTTACTATTTAAAATGACCAGTAAAGTTACACGTTTTTTATGAGTTATGAGTTTTTATGTGTGATGTTGATAATGATAAAATTATGTCAAATCTGAAAAAGTAGTTTTCTTTGCCTTAAAACACCCTCATGAATCTCTCTGCCAGGAGTGGATTTAAAATTGCATTTTAGGACAACTCTTCTCAAAACTACCATAAAACAACTTTTTTAATACCAGGCAACAAATTTGTAACCGTTTCATATAACAGTTGTCTGTGAGGGAGCTTTTAGAGGCATTACACTCTTCAGATCTCTGGTTCCTACCGCCTAACAATTCTGACTCTGTACGTTTCTCTTGAATGGCACGTTGCACATTGCATAAAACTTTAAAATACACTGCTTAAATTTGAATGATTTAATAATCAGCAGAAAATTTGAAAAATCAGTGGAATTCCCCTTTAAAGCTTAAGCAAAAAATTCTGCATTGTGAGACCCAGATAGCTGTGCCAAATGTTACTATAGTGTTCTTGATGAATTTGTGCTCATTATATCATGCCATCCTAGCTGAAGGTGTCATTAATGAAAGTGATTAATAATCTGTCTCAGTGGTAGATGACACATTAAATTTGTGTTAAAGCAATAGATGAAAAATCTAATTTACCACCACCACCACCCCACCCAGGGTGTAGTCAACCAACCGAGAGGTGCCTGAAGTTTGCTTTTTTAGTTTTACACTGGAGCTACGAGGCTGACAAAGCTAACAAATAATGGAAGCCTGTGAATGCCAATTAGGACTGTGCAAAATGCATGCCTAAGTCATCACACACTTGCTTCAAACCATGTCTAGTTGTTAAAGGGGAATTCCATCAATTTTTCTCCACCAAAGTTTCTGCATAATTCCGTTGTTCATAAGTAAGCAAGGTTATCCAGAGTGGTTGCATGTGAAATCGGTCATTGTAGAGAAATGTACCCACTTGTATATCTGTAATATGGTGGTGATGGGAACCAGGGGCTGTATTACAGAAACCACCATGACAACTTCATCACCATGGCAACTTCAGTTAGGACTGAGTTTAGGACAGAAGCTATTACAAAACAACAGTTCTTAAGTTCATAATCTTATCCACCAACTCCAGATAAGAAAACAGTGTTACAGAAACATCATAACAAGACAAAGTTTCCTAAATTCTGCCCCAACTTTAAGACAACCTCAGAGCTGTCTTACTTTCTGTTTTAACTGTTTCTATTGTTTTATACAGTGACAGGCAGCATAGTTCACTATAACTAAGTTCTCTATAACTAGCATAATGACGCTACATTTATCTACATTGAAAATGGTGCTTTGACTTTTTTTTGGTCTAAAACAGACACTGCAGACACGATCTCCACCATCCTTTCCTATTACCTTTTGTTTGTTAATGTTAATGAAAACTCTTCAGATAAAACATTAGTGATGGTGGTAAATAACTAGGAGACTCACTTAAACATGCGTCTGTTTGGAGGAGTAACGTTAGCGGGGCCAGCTAAAGCATATGGGAAACAAACTGGGGAGCAGCGATGCTCTGATGAATAGCAAAAAGCGCTGCCATAATATTCTTAACGTCAAGTTTATGGTGCTTTAGATTCGTTTAACCTTTTTCACCGCAGTTGCGGTAGCTAATGATGGCTGTCTGTTTAACTAACTTGATAATTTTGGTTATGTGTTTACATTTCAGCTGTGCGCATATGGTCGGTTGCTAGATAACAGACCTGACAATTTGTCAACATCGATTGAGTAAGATTTCCTAACTTGAGATAAGATGCTGTAAGATAAGATTCCTAAATTAAGATGAGATTTGCTTCTGTAATATGAGTTTGTAAAAATCTTATCAGATCGTAACTTACAGCCCAAGGGCTTGCAATGTGAACAACACAAATATAGTTATTTTATTTACTATCAAAATCACTAGTGAACCTACACGTGTTCTCAGTTTTTATACAGTATGTAGTGTTGATAATGATAAAATGGTGATAAATCTGGAAAAGAAAAAAGTATTTTGCCTATATATTTGCCCTACAACACCCTGTATGTAACTTTGCACCATGAATGTGTTTTAAAAAAAAAAAAATTAGGGCAAAACCTTCTCAAAACCGTTGCAAAGCAAAGATTTGGTATTCATAACCATTTCATGTAGTAACTTTCTGTGAATGAGCTTTTAGAGACATTAAACTCTTTAGACCTCTGTTCCCATCACCACCACTATGATCAGTTCTGTCTCTAAAATGGAGCAGTCCACACCAAACCATTTTGAATGTGTATCTAAACATTAAATATGTAGAAATATGGAAATATCTGTGGAATTCCCGTTTAAGTAATATCACATTTGACACTGTATGGCATACTGTTATCTTCAAACATGGATTAAAATATGGACAGATTTCAACATTTCTAGGCTAATTAACTACATTTGGAGTAATTAGAAAACTGTAAATTAGATTTTTCAGCAAACTGTCACATTTAAAGAATTTTCCCTGCTTCAATACAAGACTTGATAATTAGCTGATGAGTTGAATTACATGTGTTAAAGGAAGGGAAAACATCAAAGATTATTTTACGTGTATGTGTGTGTTTGCGTTTCTGTTCCGTATTAGAATATTAATGTTGATTCATTATTTCATTAATTCATTGGTTCATTGTTTTTCTCTTTTTAGAACTGTGAGCTTTGACATTGTGAGGTATCTCTATGACTTCCTATGAAGACCTTATTTATCTGGGCAGGAGGCAGGCATCTGATTGGACAATGCTTTGGGATCACCCTAATGGACAGCCGGACTAGCGAGTTGATGGGAGAATGTTCTTGTCAGCTCTGGGCTCACAGTGGCTGATTTAGGAGATGTGGGTGGGGGAAAAAGCTTCTTGTCTCCCTCCAGAATCCCCTCCAGGCCTGATTGCATTTCAGAAAAGTTATCCTTCACTTCCTTTAACTATGTCTGTTTTTCAGAAACCATTGTGTGGTGGTGTACAGGTTGTTTTAAAGAAATTTAGTTGTTGCTTTTCAGTTTACATCTAATGTTAAGACCACTAAGCACTGTAGATATTCTGGAAGGTAAATATTTGGAATTTTGTTATGGATTTATCAGGATGAAGTTAATAGGGGGAGTAAGTAAGGAAGATTTTTTTGTTGTTTGTTTTTGGAATTGAAATAGGTCCTCAGTGTCAGCACTGTAGGTGTTTAAAAGTGGACACATCCGAAATGAACAAGGCATACTACTATGTAGTGGCCATAGCAGACTTCTTGCCATGGTGTTGTGATGAATGGATGAATCAATCGATCCATCAGTAAGTAAATAAATAAATAAATCATTGTGTCATATTGTCATTGTCAGCTGCAATGCAAATACTTGCAAATACTTATCAATTTTGCTGAAAACAAAGAAAAAATAACACTTGTTGATGACATTTTCTGTTAAATTCATAGGGGATAGACCTGCTGGAGTTACCTTTTTCATTTTCATTATTTTACTTATGGGGTGGACAATATGAGGACATTTGTTATCGTGATAAGTAACATCACAATCCACAAACGTTGGGCCTCTGTTACCACTTTTAGATCACTGGACAACTGCATGGATTATTTAGACAAATTATAGGGAGCCAGACAAAACCCATTAACAGTAGACGTATGTTTTCTTAATAATGGTAAAAATCAATAAGTTAATAGTCACTTAATTTCTTAGAAATACTGACTTTTACTGCCAATTATAAATAGTTATTCTGACATACATGATTATTACCATAATAACAGTAACAACCATTAAAACGATCACAAATAAACTGTTAAATAAAGGTGATCATTTGTTTTTGTGAATTTACATTCTATTTCTGCTAACAGTAGTGCTAAAATACAGAATATGTACAGCGTATTTACATGCATTTAACCTTTTATTAAAAATGGGTACAGACCATTACATTTTACAGTACTGTGACAGTGAAAGTACTTTTTACAGTGTGGCATAACATATCCAATGTGGACTGCTACCTGACATAACTGACTGGAAGGGGGTTCTTAAATTGCATACACATTAAATATTTTATAAGTTAGATTTCCAAAATGAGCAAAAACACAAAATATAATGATAATAGTGTTTGTTTAAATGTAGCATTGTTATTTGGGTGTATTTTGTCCATTCCGACTTGTTCATAAACCTCAGAAAAACAAAATGGCATATTGTGTGTCGTGAAAATGTCTTCCAGCATTGTGATGTATTATACAGCTGGTTTCCTCAACTCTCTGCTCAGCTAACATGCTGTTGAGACTAACAAATACACAGGGCTCTGGGGTGACAGAATATCAAATGTACAGCAGTTTTTCTCAACCCTGGTCCTGGATGCCCACTGCTTTGCATTTTTTAGTGTTTTCCCTGCTTCCAACACACTTGATCTAACTAATCAGCTCATCAACAGCCCAACAGAGTTAAAGTGGGTGTGTTAAAGCAGGAAAAGCACTAAAATGTGCATGGCAGGGTTGAGACACACTGGCATATAGTGCCTCAGCAGCGTCAATGAAACTTTAAAACAAGGATCTGATCCTGGTAGAGCACAGCACTGCAGAGTCTAACGTTTTTATGCTTTAACACATCCAGTCAGCTCACAAAGAGCTTGGCAATGAGCTAGTGAGCCGTACCAGATATGTTAGATCAGGGAAAACGCATGTGGCCTCCAGGGCCTCAGTGATAACCCTGTGTTAGAGGTTCATTAGCTGCTATTGAAGTTATTAGCATTGATTCAAATTGTCTTGTTGTCTTCACTCTCTGTTCTGCAGCTCGTTTTAGTCTTTTTTATTTTAATCAGCTCCGGAGAGGCAGGTATTTTTGTGTGAGCGTTGTTCGATTCATGCCTCTTCATGATGATTTAATGTCGTTGTCATAGAAACAGGGAGGGAAAAAGCTAAAAGGGGGTTTGAAACTTGACTCATCTTTTCTCACATCCTAATATAATGTATGAACAAATAGATCAGAGCTTCAGTAGCTGGGCACAAGCATTAAAGGACCCTGGTGGGTTGTGAAGTCATTTATTTAAAAAAAGGAATCAGAAAAACAGAACGGATTATAATGTTCAGGATTTATTAGAGAAATAAAGAGCAGAAGCAGGTCAACAACAAACCGAAATGTCCTACCGTCCTATTACAGAAGGCACGAAATGTACTGCCTATGCTTTGCTTTACTGAATGGACATTGGGGCTAAAAAAAACACACCCATTACTCAAAACGTACAACACTCTTATATGGGTTGTTAAATTGCCGAATGTTTGTAGAGTGTCATTTCTAACAAATAGGTACCTTTTAGGCTCCTTTTACAGATGTAAACATTCTTGACCTGAGCTTGTATTTTCTTTTTATTGCTAAATACAATAGCAATATGCTACATTAGCTGTCATAATAGTATAAATTATAGATATATAAATAGATAAAAGGTTCACTAAAAGATGTTTGGCCCAAAGTGCAATGATCAGTATTCAAAAGCACGTTGATGGACCAATCCACATTAATACACCGACTCTTTTCCCATACAACCTTAGCATTTGTGGCTCTGCTAACAGGCTATTTTCTGGGAAACAGTCAGTAAACTCAATGTGGAATCAACTCCCAGCTCTTGAACGCTCTCCGTTTGCGTACGTCTTATTTGGAAACAAATAAGCAAGAATTATAAGCCTGTGATTCATTGATTTGTGCATGACAAAGTGTTACTGATGCAGTTCAGTTAAATGATTGTCGCTTAAGACAACTCTGAGAACTGTTGCCCAGGCAAAAATTAAACAACTGTTCCTCTTTTGAGCTAGTGCAATTGAGAGTTGTTGCCTAGGCAACACTTAAACAATTGTTACTCATTTTAGTAAGTTGTAACCTAGGCAACCATTCAGTGACTGTTGCTCTTTTGAGCTGGTTCATTCAAACAGTTGTAGGCTAGGCATAGAGGAGTGTTTTAGTTTGAAAGAAGATGTTTTTTATATGCTGTGCCTGCGGTTGTGGATCATGGCGACAATGTGAGTGAGATCCAGACTCTTCACCATCACCTCCATGAAGTCATCATCACTCCGCGCTCCTTCTACAAACTCTTCCAGAGACAGCTCGCCTGTTCAGAGAACAAACAGACTCTACAAAAATCTATCTTTAAGCCAGCACAATGCACATCTAGCTTTAATTTGTTCATAATTTGGTGGAATGTAAGTCAATGGAATCAGACTTTTCCCCAAGTAATTTTGGGCCGTTTCTTTTGGTGCATTCATCATGAAATTTCCGCACAGTGTAGAGGGCAACAGGCATTTTCAAATTATGTCAAAAATGACAAAAATGGAGAAACAAGGTTTTGCTCCGACATATTCTGATATATTTATGTTCTGTATATTTATGGTGTATTTATTGTATGTTCTCTATGTAGTCTTGTACCATGTGCTGCAACTGTGTTTTGCACCATGGGGCCTGAAGGATGACATTTCATTCCAATGTATTCACGTTATATTGGGGAATGACGATGAAGACCACTTGACTGTTGTCTTGTTTTTTTCATAATTTGATGGAATCTTCAGATACAAATTATTTTAAAAACCTCAGTTTTTGGCATTTCCTTAAAAAACTAAATATTGTTGTATATTTTTTTTCAACAACATTTTGCATAATCTGATAAAAATGTTAGTGTAACTTTTTTTCAACATTTGTCTGAATCTTTTAGCATAAGAGAGTTAACATTGGCAATGAACTACAACAATGTGATTTAGCAAAATATAATGTGGGAATTCATAATAAGCAGGAGCAATTTCACTGGGTAAAGTCCAGCTTTAGCCTTTTGCAATCTAGGATTCTTAAGATTTTGTATAGATACTTCCAGATGCACTCAGTGAGTTATGGGGAATTGCTGTGATCATTTGGTCACACTATGTACTAAATGTTATACTTACCATCCCCATTAACATCTATCCTGTCGAACACGCGGTTTGTGAACTCTTCAGCACTCAGCTCCTGCGCATCACCGCCGTTAATGGCACGGATAGCCTAAGAAAGAAACAGAGGTGATGTTTTTTTGTGGAAAACTTAATCTGATCCACCGTAGACAGATAGACAGTGTGTAGATGGCTTGCTTATCTTCACCTATACCTTAAAGGGCCTGTATCCTGTATTCTTCTTGTATTTTATTCATTTTTCCTGAAGAGCAGTCATATGTAAATGCACTCATGCTTGTGACATCAAAGACACAATTAATTTTAAAAAAAGATGTAAAAAATCAAAGAAGTTTTTTGTGTTTGTTACCATATGAACAATTTTTTTAGGTTGAACTGACACACTTTTTTCTACAATGTAGTTTACACAGTCGTATGCAGAAGTTTGAACACCCCGCATATTTTGTCTACATGGAGCAAACCTAATTGTCATTTTTCTGCAAAAATATTTTTTGTCTATTCGCTGAGTTTAACATTGGAAAAGAACTAAAACATAAAATATTAAAAATTATTAAATGTGCCGAAATATTTGCACAGCCCACCTTTTCAACGGCATTTTTTCTTCCCCAATATGTCAAATTCAGCTAGTGTGTTCATTAAAGTGTGTTCATTCAGTTAAACTGTGCTCTCCGTAGAGGATTTGTTAACTTATTTTAACTTAGAAAATCAACAGAACATGGCATTTGACCAGGGGCGCACAAACTTTTTGTATAAGACTGTATATGTATGACTGCTTTAACAATGTTTATGTAATTTAATTAAACTCATATCAAAAAGTGAGGTTATCCATGATATAGGCCCTTTAATCTTTTCCTTATCCTAACTTCAGTTGAAACTCTAAACCTAATCTTAGTCTCCTAAATGACTCCTAAATGTAAACCTACTGTTATGAAGTGAGTCATTATACAAAGTTTTTTTCATAATCTAAGAATCTACAGACAATAATAAGTGTTCCAAATTTTAAAATGTTCCAGATTTAATTTTAAATGGCTGTAGTCAGTATCCGTGTGAATAAGACATGCTCTTCTAGTTGCTGCTTTATTGCCTGTTTCTTACCTTTATGATATTGAGCAGCTCGTGTCTGTCTATGCAGCCGTTGCCATCAACGTCATACAGTCTGAAGTACCAGCGCAGTTTGTGCTCCATCTTGCCTCGCATCACCAGACTCAAAGCTGCCACGTACTCCATGAAGTCTATATAACCGTCCTGCACAAACAAGCAAACGCATAAAGATCCAACAGAAAGTGATGTTTCAGTGACAAAATCATTTTTATACAGTACTGTGCAAAAGTTTGAGACCACCTTTTCATTTCTTTAATCTCCAGTCAAAACAGCCATGAAGTACAAGTTATTCATTTTTCAGCACAGAAAACATATAAGTAACAGAAAATTACACAGAATATAACATCAACTGTTCAGTGTTTAGTGTGTCCATCCTTTGTAACGTGCTGAAGAACATTTTTATTATGTCAGTTGTGCTTCAGACCCCTTCCTCGAGGAGATGAATCTGATGTGTGATGTGTTAAAAGAGCATCCAAAGAAAATTCAGTCAAAACCTGGTGAAGATCATGTCTTCTGTGGCTGAGGTGATCATGAAGACCTTCTTTTTGAGTGATGTTAATATGTAGAGACATATAACGTGGTTCAAAAATACTCCTACGAAACCAAACCTGACACCTCTGACTTTTAAATGATTATTTCAGTCTGTACAGGGTGCTTGCAGGAGCACACACACCATATTTCAGTGTGTCCATTTTTCTCCTGACTCAGTTATGCAACTTCTTTCAACAAAAAACAAAAAACGTATGAATCTCATTCGAGATTACTTAACAAGTCGACATGGTTCAAGGTATGTGTGATGATTTAGGCAGGCGGTCAGCTCCATGCTAACAAGTTTAGAAAGAAAGTTTGAGCATATCACTCAAGTCTTAATCAGTTTACACTGGCCTCTTGTTAAGTTCTGCATTGACCACAACATATTTAAAGTCCTTATGGTCTAGTGCTGGCATATCGTACTGATCTGTAAAAGTGGTATAGCCCAGTCCAGACCACTTCCCTTAACTGAGGCTGGCTTGCTGCAATCTTTCACAGCTCAATTGGTGGAAGATCCTTTACTTATAACACTCATACTCTGGAAAAGCATTCTAGAAAATATTAGAAGGTGTTTTAAATCCATTTTGTTTAGGCTAGCTCATGTCTAGAGTTATTTTTTTATTTATCAATGTCAATGTTTTACTTGTATTTCTGTGTAAAGCATTTTGAGAGTTTGTAACTAAAACGAAAAATAATAAATAAAATTCTTATTATTATCACTATGCCAAAAGTGTCTAGGCTGATCCACTTTGAGGCCAGGGGAAAGCAGGGTAAATTAGATGTTCCACTGAATTACCACTATAATTAGTTGTACTTTGGTTGGGTACCCAACTAGAAAAAATACATATAGACATGTATTTTTAAAAATATTTCAAATACATTGCAATCCTTGCCAAAATACATTCCAAAGACTAAATGTATGTCAGAATATATTGCCATATTGACCCAGTTTAATTTAAAATACATTTGGTTTAAAATGAATGGGGAAATATTACACATAGAAACGTGCCATACAGAAATAAATGCAAGTAAATGTATTTATCAAATACAGGTCAGCAGTTTGCAAACACTGCCATAGAGCAATTGCAGTTAAGACAAGATGTTCAAATTATCACACTTGTTCTTGCACGTGCTGCGGGATCAGATTAAAAACAGTGAAACATGGTCATGCACAAACTATTTATGTATCTGTTATCCAGTCTGAGTGTCTTGATCCTAAAGGTAATCTCGTAACTCACATCTTAGTATGTCTCAGCGTAATTAAAGCTGACAACAGGTGCCTGATATAGCAGCATAAATATTGTGCTAGACAGCACGTGAGAAAGAAAAGAGCCTCTCTCTGATCCCGATAATAGAGGCCAATGGGCAGACACTTAAGCAACTGCTGAGTGGCCACTGTTTTACTTGTGTTTTAAAGGGGAATTCTGCCCACTTTTCAAAATGTGTAATTCAGTGGTTGAGATGTAAACAAAGTCATTCAGAGTGGTTTGATAAAAAATAATTGATTGTAGAGAAACTTACAGACTCAGATTTCCTTATGGTGGTGGTAGGAACCAGGGAACTTAATTTACTATCCAAGAGCAACAGCAAACATACATGTTTTTATATGTAATGCTGATGTTGCTAAAATAGTGTTTAACCTGAAAAAATGTTTCCTTTGGGAATTATTTTGCCTTTTAATAAATCTCTGTCATGAATACATTAAAAAATGATATTCTTGGCCACAAATTTATGTTAAAACTATCGTAAAGCAATTTTGGAGGCATCAGGCAATTTATATAATATGTTTTTGTGAGAGAGCTATTAGAGTCATTACACTCTTTAGACATCTGGTTCCTATCACCAGCACTGTGAACAGTTTTGACTAATTATGGTTCTCTAGAACAGGGCATTTCACATCAAACAACACTTGAATGACTTTGTTTACATTTTAGTCATTTAATCATGCAAAAATGATAAACACTGGTAGAATCCAAGTACAGAGAAATGTGTCAAAATTGTTGGTCAGCTGCACAATATTTGCTGTATACCTGTTTCTCTTCATGGTAGTAGTTTTAAAAAAATATTTTGGGAAAACCTGCTCAAGGAAGACACTTTGATAAACATGAAGTTGAACATAAAGGAGTGTTGACGATAAATATGCACAAAGGATTAGCATATCGCTGCTGTCGGAAGAAAACCTTTTATCTCCAAAATGAGAACTTTACAAGAAAAGGAAAAAAACTTACTTTACTTTTAATGTAGGTCAACACAACCACAATTTTTTCCAAGTCATTTTGGGCCGTTTCTCTTGGTCCATTCTTTATGAAAATTACACACAATGTAAAGGACAACAGGTATTTTCAAATTAGGTCAAAACTGAAAAACAGATTTCTGAGAAACTCAAAAATGGAGATTTTCTTACGACAGCAGCGATATAGCTGTTTTGTGTTAACAGACTGGTTGCAGGCATTTTTTCTTATTTTATAGGAAAGTAACAGCAAAAATATTCAAATTTTAAAAAACAGTAAGATGACTCCAAGCTACTGAACAGACACATTTTTACGTTTCCAAATGGTTTCACAGACCAGGAGGATATTTTGAATAGCAGGACTTCCCAGTTAGTAAGACAACTTCAGCCAAAAGCCAAATACATGACAATCTCACTTTACATCTTTCATCTTCTTTGGAATTTTGGTGCTGGGTTGTTTTATATATTGACATATTTGGAAAATTTGGATATGAGGTAATGTATATACATATTTTTCTTCCATGTGGAATATTTGGTAATTTGCGATCACATATATTAACATACATTGCACTTATATTTTTGGAAATAAAGTTATATAAGTTTGAATATAAAGTTTAAATAAAGATATATCAAAACAGAATTTTCCTCTATACAGAATATTTGGAATTTGCAATACTGAGACATCACATACCTTGCACATATATGTTGGATAGGAGGAAATATATATATGTATAGGTTCCTTCTATATGGAATATTTACAATGTCAGTGCTAAGATGTCACATATTTTGTCATATATTGTACCTCTATTTGAAATATGAGGAAATACATTTACATCTACATTTTCTTCCATACGGAAAATCAGTGCTAAGCCACCTTTCAGTGCTAAGGCATCACATATATTGACATATATTGCATATATATTTTGAACATAAGGAACTGTGTATGTAAGCCTACATGTACTTTTCTTTTATCTGGAGAATTTGACATTTTGGTGCTCACACCTCAAATATAATGACATTTATTGCACAGATATTTTGAACAGTAGGAAATACAAGTACCTATATTTCCCTTTTTTATGGAATATTTGCAATTTCAGTGCTAAGACACAGATATTTTGGATATGAAGAAATATATTTTTCTTACTCACCTTGTTCATGTCGAAAGTGCGAAACATCTGTTCTATGTAAGCATTAGCCTCGGGGTCCAGTCCCCGCAGACCGAAAAACTGCTTAAACTCGTGCAGCGTGAGCTGGCCTGATGGACACTCAGTCATGAACTTCTTGTACCACAGGTGCATCTCCACAGCCTGGAGATCGTCCACGGTGGAGCCTGTAGAATTCCCCATTGCTGAAAGTGGAAGACTATTCAAAGAACTGCGCAAAAAGGAGTACTGAAGAGTATTGATCTGATCTGATCTGATCTGATCTGATCTGGTATGGATGAAGAAAGCTACAGGCTGCTAGGCGAGTCTATAGGAAAGAAGAGAGCACTAATTTTCAGAAGCCCAATGATTGTGCTGTGCAGGCGAGAAGCTCGCGTCTCACAGCTATGCGACACTGGGGCATGGAGAGGACCCAGGGGACCTGAGTTGCTTTTATAGTGTCCAGGCACCTTCAACACCTGCCCTGCTGAAAATCACCAGGAATAATCTGACACAGACACTGGCTTAGGACGGCTCTTGGGCGGATTGTCTGCTGCTTAAGGGGTGCATGAGACCAGAAGTGCTGACCACACCTAAACACAGTTAGCCATTCATGTGGAAAGGAATCACGTTTCTAAGCATATTTTGTAAAATGAAAACTTAAATAGTATAGATAAACATAAAAAGTATGACCTGCTGTAGGAAATCTCTATTAAAACACTGCATCTGCTGGGCAGCAGTTAGAAGTGTGAAAAAGCATTGGCTACATAAAAATAGATCGTAGGATAAACCCTGGACAGGTCACCAGTCCATCGCAGGGCAGACAGACAGACATATATTCACACACGCAATCACACCTAGGGGCAATTCAGCATCACTCAGTTAGCCTGACTGCATGTCTTTGGAGTGTGTATTTAAACAATAATTCTGAATCAGACCAAAAATTTGAGATTCTATGAACATCTGTTTCTGTGTTTTGTTTACACTTATACAGTGTGCACATAAAGAAGAAAATATGTGGACATCCCTCTGAAATATTAAGTGTTTCAGTCACACCCATTGCTAACAGGTGTATAAAATCAAGCGCACAGCCATGCAGTCTCCATAAACATACATTGGCAGCAGAATGGGTCGTACTAAGGAGCTCATTGTCTTTAAGTGTTTTGGATGCCACCTTTTCCACATGTCGAAATTTCTGCTCTTCTAGATCTGCCCCGGTCAACTGTAAGTGCTATCATTGCAAAATGGAAGTGTCTAGGAGCAACAACAGCTCAGCAGTGATGTGGTAGTCCACGCAAACCCACAGAGCTAGGCCGCCAAGTGCTGAAGTATGTAAAATTGCCTCTGTTGCAGAGGCTTACAGGCTGTTACAGGCTGCTTCAGCTCAAGAACTTCGAGCCAGAAGCTTCATGAATTGGGTTTCCATGGCTGAACAGCTTCGCACAAGCTCAAGATCACTATGTGCAATGCCAAGCATCAGCTGGAAAGGTATAAAGCACACTGCCACTGGACTCTGGAGTGGTGGAAATGTGTTCTCAGGAATTATGGTTCAAGTTTTACAGCCTGGCAATCTGATGGACGAATCTGGGTTTGGTGGAGGCCAGGAGAATGCTACCTACCTACATAGTGCCAACAGTAAAGTGTGGTTGAGGAGGGATAATGGACGGGGGCTGTTTTTTTTTCAGGGACTGTGTCCAGAAAATTTTGCTACTGCTCCTGTCTTCCCTCTCATTTCCAACTGCTCTTCTTTTACACTGGAATAACTTGGAGGAGAGGAAAGGAGAAGAAGAAAAGCAAGGAACAGCGGAAACCGAGGAAATGAGACAGCTGATTCCTTTTATCATTATTAATTTGATGTCGACTATTAATGAAATTAGCTTATCACAACGTTTGCACAAGCACACCCTAAGATGCTACACAGAGCCCGCCTATTGACGTTTGTGTGGTTTTCGACTCTAATCTTTAATTTTATTTTACACCAAGTACAAAATACACAACACAAAATTGTATAAGCCCAAATAAAATGCAAAATTAAAGTATAGTTGGATTACTCCATGTTTGTTCATTCTCTCTGGACGTGTCTGCAGTGATGGCACTTTATAATCTGTATTCCTGAGTAGCAGACACTTGTGCAACCTCTGACTGAAGCCACTTCAGCAGCTGATTGGAGCAGCTTCTCTTGTCTCCTCTGGAACTCAGACAGCCGGTGTGACACTGTCACAAAATCAGTTTCCGGATCATGGAGGAGAAGAGAAGGACTGGAAGCTCCAGTGAGGGGTAAAGTTAAGGCTACAGCATACAAAGACATTTTAGACAATTATATGCTTCCAACTTTGCAGCTGCAGTTTGGGAAAGGCCCTTTCCTGTTCCAGCATGACTGTGCACCTTTGCTCAAAGAGAGGTCCTTAAAGACATGGCTTGATGAGTTTAGTGTGGAGGAGCTCCAGTGGTCCTGACGTTCTTTTGAGTTAATGGGCACAAAATGACTGAAATGCAACAGACACATTCCAAAACCTTGAAGAAAGCCTTCCCAGACAAGAGGAGGCTGCTGCAGCTGCAAAGAGGGCAATTACTGCCCATGGATTTGGAAGGGGATGCCCAACAAGCTCATGTGGGCGTGATGGTCAAAGTGTCCACATACTTCTGGCCATGTAGTGTGTAATGGTTAAGTTGAAAGAAATTAATGGTTACTCGGCAAATAAAGTACAAATAAAGATTCAGACTCTAATTTTTCTTGTTGGTAGCTGTTGGTTGCTTCTATACTTTTACTGACATAGCGTCAACATACATTATTATTAGCATATTTCCAAAAAAGTGGTTAAGTGATGAGGATAATCTGATGATTCTATGTATAAAAACAGAAATACTTGGACACCATTTTTAGTTGCTCAAATGCTGCAAGATTTTATAAAGTTAGCTTTGACAGCACAATCTGATTATCAAGAGCACATTCTTTTCCCACAATAACCGTATACTTCTGCTGAGCACCGGTTTGTTAAGTCACCACTTGCTTTCACAGCTAATCATTGCTATGTTTATACAAACAAAACTATAGATAAATGAGATCATTTCTAAATGATATACTGAAGAAAAGCATGACAGAAAGATTACATCAAATTCTGAACCTGTTGTTGATCCTAAGCTGGCTTTTCAGTTGGCAGCTGTGTTGAAACAACTGGAATTAGCTAGAAACAAAATACAATTCAGCAAACAAGAAGGGCTGTGAGTTGCTTTACACAGTGACTGGAACAAAAACACATTCAGGTTATTCTGACAAATATTGGAAAGGTTGTGCTGGTCTCATATTGCAACAGTTTCATGGCTCTACTTCTTTGGAGGCCAATATTTGTTTGATACAATATTTGGGCTTCTTTGCTTTACTTTTTTTATATTGCAGAACTGTTGTATAAAAGCAAAAGAACATTTGGGATTGTGTGTTATCGTGAGTAACATCATGGCTGCGATCAACTGTATTGCATCACAGCCTTGATATTATTAGAAATAACAAGTTCCTTCTCATGTTCTATTGCTTAAAAACAGGTTTGTGCATGAAATATCCTCCGCTTGTTTTACCTGAAGTTAAAGTGTTACAGCAGTTTTGTGGTGCTGGTCGTGTTTTGTAATGGTATTTGAATAAAGGCTGCAGAGAAGGAGCCTGTAAGCATCTTAGCATTCAACACAATGTGTCATCATCCATAATGTGCATGAGTGAGTGAGCGGGGACATGCTGACCAACACTGTCGGTGGCCACAGTGAGTCATTTATGTGGACAGGTGACAGGCTGCACCTGCAACAGCTTCTGTAATCCAGCAATGATGCAATTTAAATGTGTTTAGTTTCATGTTATTTTAACATAGATGTAAAGCACTTTAAGCTTTCCTAGGATGCTATTTAATTATAGGGTGTTATTTTATTACTATTCTTGTAATAGTAATAGCATTAGCGTAGTTTTATAAAAAATTAACTCGTTAAACCCCAAGGATGTGTATTTGGATAGGATTTGGATGTGTACATAACTTCCATAAGCTGCATAATTTACATAGAAGCTTTATAGTACTACATAATACAAATTGATCACTAAATAATGCATTTGAAATGGCCCATATCATGGAAACCTGATTTTTCATCTACGTTTTGGAGTTAGATATTGTATTTAAACACTGTTAAAGGAGGAAAAAATAAAAGAAAAATACAGGATATGTGCCCTTTAAGATTAATAACTGAATAATTATTTATTATAAAAAACAGCCTTGGTTCAAGGGCTTTATATATGTTAATTATTAATAGTATTAGAATTGGTATTTATTTATTTAATTTTTATTATGCAAAGAACATTCACAAAGAAAAGCATCTTGCAGTAATTTTTATTTTTAATTGTCCAGGCTTGAATCAATCAAGAATCAAACTCAATCTTGAATAAATCAAGTAGGTCAGTTGTCCCAGAGTGCAATCCATCTATAGAAACCAATAACATAAAATGACAATACACATTAGAAATAAACGACAAGTGTTGCGCTAGCGTTCATTGAATGGGTTTATTTTGTATTTGTATAAGTTTCAACACTTCCATTAACTTGCACAGTATACATTGCTACAGTGGCTAAACAGTAATTGAACATAGTGGTTATACTATGGGCCTTATTTGTCAAATACAATCAAGCATGGGAATATGCTGTTGTAAATAAATGCTTTCTTTAAAAAGGAATTTATCAAAGTTAGATAAACCATCAGAGCATCTTCAGCTGATAAATTTCCCCTGAGTGTAAATGGCAGGTTTGAACACAGACACTGAAATATTTTTTTTTGATCATGCTAATACATCTCTTTGAGTGTTTCCATACTTTATGACCTTAAATTCATTACTAACTGTGAAATATTAGGGTGTCAAATGACAATTAAAGAGTAATTCCACTGAATTTTCAAAGACTGCACTGCATAATTCAGTGGTTGAGATGTAAGCAAAGTCATTCAGAGTGGCACAATGTGAAAGTGTCCATTGTTCTACTCAAAGTCTTCTGCGTTTTTATGTGATCATCAAATCAACAAAACATGTATTCTGACCAGGGACTTTTGCATTTTGTTTTAGACCAAAACCTTCTCAAAACAATGTCTCAGGCATCAGGCAGTGCATTTGCTGCTTTTCCAGAAGGGACACGTCAAACCACTCTGAATGACTTGGTTATATCTTAAACATTTAATTATGCGTACGTTTCCATCCCTCTTTAGCTTAATTCTGAGTTCAATTCAGATTTGATAGACACTGATCATGTGTGCATAATGAAATAAAGAAATCTGGAACATTTATAATGTAAAGAAGAGTGAATAAGAGTGAGGTCCGAGCAATCCGCAGCAGAAACCTGTAGCTCATTACAAATCCTCTAAAATAAATGCTGCATAGACATTAGTTTGTTAGTAAAGCCAGTACAAACAACATTATGAATAAACAATACTTCGATGTTAGTGATTCAACATCTTCAGCTTGAAAGGTTATAGTAAATAAACAGGATTGTCAACATTACAGTATCACATACAGTAGACATTAGAAGTGAGTAGTTACCAAAATCTAAAATACATCCTGTCCCTATGTTCACAAATAGTCAAATATTCCCACAGAATTAAAAGCACTTTTTGGCTCAGGTTGGCACAGTTCTGTTCATATGAATGCATGTAGTGATTTTCCTATTTAGCTGATTATGTATCACATCTGTCTGTACACACTCTCACAACATGTTAAAAACAATATGTGTTACTAAAGGGCCCATATCACATTAACCAAACCACTTTTTAGAAGTTTGACGTAGTATATAAAAATAGCTAATGTTTCAAAATGTACTGTTCGTACAGTGCAAATGTGGAAATCAAGCCTTGTTTGACTTTTTTTGTCATGTCACAAAAATCTATGTATTCACTTTCAGCCTACAGCAGTTTAGCTCTGCTCATTCAAGCTGAAGTTATAAGGTGTGTTTCAGCTTGGATTGCCTTTTCAACAAGGCACAACACAGGGCAGCCAATCACAACAAAGGTAATTTACATACGGTTGTATACAAAAGCTTGGACGCCCCTGTCTTTTACAGAGAACACACTTCTGCACTTTTTAATCCACAATTGCTGTTTATTTGCTGAATTTAACATCTTAAAACATAAAATGTAGCCTTTGCAGATGTTATGGCACATTTTATGTTTTATTTATTTTCAGTATGTTAGCAAATAAATAGAATCTGTGGTCTAAAAATTGCAGAAAAATGCCATATTTAAGTTTGTTTGCTATAGAGAATGTGTTAATTTTCACATAGAATGTCAACAAAACGTATAATCTAACCAGAAGTGCTCATGTAAAATGCATTATGAATGCTTTTGATACTTAAAAAAACAAACAGGAAAAAAATAATACAACATATGAAAAATATAGGCTATGGGCCCTTTAATATGTGTACAGTTGAGGACAGATTTTCTAAATTTTACATAAAGTAACAGTGTCCTTATTACACAATGCTGTGCATGTTAATAATGCTGTAAGTTAATAAGTTAATAACATCATTTTTAGACCATACAACCAAAATCCAAACATCTGGGCAAAAGCAGGTCTGATTAAACCAGTTTTTCACCTCATGTTCTTGCATAAGCTTCAAACAGGGCACATTATCCTATAGAATGAGAGTAATTTGACACTGGCCGATAATTAAAACGACTTTTAAAAAGGATTCTATATGTCTAAGTACATTATGTGTTAGTTTATTATGTATTTACATGTTTATCTATGCATGTTTGCAAATGTTATTCTTTAACAGTCAGGAATTAGTTTGGTTTAGCACATACAGGAAAATATATATACATAGCTGCATACCCTGATAAAGATTTGTATCTTTAAAACATGAAATAGGAAACAGTGCATTGTGGGTAATCTGAGCTTCTCTGGATACTTTACTTCATTATTGGACTGTTATATCACAGAAATGAGTTTCCTTCTCTGAACTTTTCATAATTAAACGGATACGACAAAAACAAAGTCATTGAGAGTGATTTGATATGAAAGGTTCTGCTCTAGAGACACTTACCAAGTCAGAATTGTTCATTGTCTCAAGAGTTTAAGGCCTCAAAAACCCACAGAAAGTTATTAAACAAAATGGTTATAAATATGTTTCCTGATGTGTGAGACACTGTTTTACAATATTTCTGTTTTATAAATATTTTTATTATATATATATATATATATATATATATATAAGGCTTTGGCCTAAAGTATATTTATAACATTGAGGTTGAGAGATACATGTAGGGAGTTGTGGTGCTGGTCTTGAATAGTAAATAAAATAAGTACATGGCGACTCCTGGTTCCTGTCACCACCATTGTAAAGACATCTGAATGCGTAAGTTTCTCTACAGTGAACCACTTCACATCAAACCACTCTGAATGACTTTGTTTACATCTAAACCACTGAATCATACTAGACCTTCTGGAAAGTTATATAAGCCTCACACATTTGCATTTATAGTACTCCTTCATATTTAACCATTATTACTCATACTTACTGAATACAGGACAATTGGTTGATTTGAGACACAACCCATGTCCAGTTAACCATGTGCCTTTATACTCCATTATGAACATTTTTCCCTTTTTCACTGGTCTGAATATACATTTCATTTTAAAACACCTTAAAAATCTGAAAACTCAATTTCCTTTTTAGTCCCACATGGCACTATAACATTTATAATACTTAATCGCTTAACCGTTGTGACCGTTAGCCGTTAAAACCACCTTGAACGTTTCGGAAACATTTGCTATGTAGGGGTTGCTGCTTTGAGACACGCTCCCTGTCTGCGAGACCGCTCCGTTAAAATTTAAAATACTCCTGTTATATTCAGCCATTACGAATTCCCCCCATTTATCTGAATATATTCGGAATAAAACCGTCTGAAATCGTATTTTAGTTTTGTTCTCCTTCCCGCTTTAGTCTGACTCCGTGCCGCTGCTGGAGAGCCTCTCCATGGCAACGCCGGCGCGTCTTCCGGTCCACCTGTACAGGTGTCGGTGGACGGATTCGAAGGCTGAAACGGTGCAGCGCGCCAGCAGGGACGCCCACCGGACCACCTCCACAAAGCAGCGGACAGAGCGAGACACACACCCACCGAACAGCGCGGCGTAGTGGGCCAGCAGAACGAAGCTGTGGGCCAGCAGGATGAAGCTCCGAGCCAGCTGCTTCCCATAGTTCACAATAAGGTTCATTTGTCCTCCCATTCAGATCAGAACATGAGCGCAGCACACAGACAAACACCCGAGCCTGTCAGGCATGCGTGCCGAGCGGTTAGCTGCTTTCCGCGTTCCTGCAGATCGGACGGTCCCTGGACTGTTGTTGGAGTGACTCTTCGTTTTCACGAGCGAGGCTGTAGTTTGTAGACGCTCCCTTCGCTGGGACTTGGTAAGGTCCAATCGCAGCGCTGCGACCTCGGTTTCCGGGATGTTTGGTGATGTGGCTCTTGCTCACAAATCCTGAAGACGAAATTGGTCAGAAAGTGTAAAAACAGCAACTCTTGCTCGCGGAGGACTCACACAGGTCGGTGTTTGCTCACTCGCGGTGTCCAGCAGATCTGTCTGACATGGCCACCGTGTACACTGCTGTTCATTATTATCACCAGTGAGCTTCTGTGTTTACCAATCAACGCTACGTGCGCGCAGAGGCTGATCTGCTTTCGCTTATCGTCGCGATTAATCGCTACTTTACTCCTGTGCTGAAGTCATACCTTTGCCGCGTCGATCTTTGGCTTAATTTCGTTTTTGTTATGAGACAGAAGCGAAGCTCAATAATCTTTGCTGTTGTGGAGAAGAAAGCGGCGCATGCGCAGTCCGTTCGGTAAAGTTCGGATCTTTCCGGTTCGTTTCGGTTCTGGCGTTGTTTTTAATTGGGACGACATTGGAAGTGGACGGTTCGGGGCGGGGCAGGGCAGAGTACACTCTTAGCAAAAATGGTTCTGTGCAGTACCAAAAAAGGGTTCTTTGGCTTATAACAATAATGGAGCTCTTTTTGGTGCTATGTAGAATCTTTTTCAGAACGGTTCTATATAGAACCATCTACAGCACTTTCTGCATCAATCTAGAACCTTTTGCAATGCGAGAAACCTTCTAACAGTGCAAAGGGTTCTGTGAGTGTTCATGGTCCTACATAGAACCATTTTTACTAAAGAACCCTTTAAGAACCTTCTTTTTATGAGTGTGAAACCATACTGCGGTACAAGTTATCTTACTGAAATGCAGTCATAACTAAAAGAAGAAGCAAAGTAGCTAACCTACCAAAACTCCACAATGACCAAGTTTTCCTTTAGAGCTGCTGTGGAACTTCTTAGTACATCCATCTATCAGTAGAGGAACTTAAGTCTGTCAGGCTCTAATCATCTCTTTTTGGACTAATTTGGTCTAAAATAAAATGCTAAAACTCGAAAGTAAGAGGTGTTAGCAATGGTAATGCAGTTCAAGAGCTGAACCAACACAACACAGAAGCAGTGAAATTAAACAATAACAATAGCAGAATCCTTTCGGTGCTATACAGAACCATTTTCAAAAAGGTTTCAAAAGGAACCATAGGTGACACATTCTCCATCTCCACATTCTCCATCAATCTGAAGAACCATTTCGCCATGCTAAGAACCATTTAAGCATGCAAATGGTTCTTTGAGTGTTCATGGTTCTATATATAACTATTGTCTTTACTTAAGAACCCTTGAAGAACCACCATTTTTTATAACAGTGTAGAGAAGCTTACTGCCTTGGTCTCTTTACAGTTTTGGTAATGAGAATCAGGGGGCATGATGTCTACAATGAAATTATATAGGATTATTGACGTTTGGACAAGTGGAGCAACATAATATATTCAGTCTAATACCGTGAGGTGGTGATATTTAATGCCTAATTTGCATATGCACTGTGTGGTACATTGAAACAGTTATTGTCAAAAGTAAGTAAACATTATTGTGTTGATGTAATAGATTTTTTATGTGTAAATGATGTACACATTTGAATCAAGTATGTTCAATGCATCTCTATTTGCAGTGTGGAAAACTGCCCTGTAGTGTCTAGACCAGGGGTGTCAAACTCCACCACTAAAAGGGCCATATTAAAAAATCCCAACAAATCTGTGGGCCACAGAACATCTATGCTTTATTTCATTTTTAATTAACGTTTTGCTAACCGAACTGACCATTGTTTATTCAAAATACACAAAAACCTCAACAGTAGAATACAGGCACTTGTGATAGATTTTAAAATATTACATGAATACTTGAAATATTTAAAAATTTAAATGTCCCCAGGAGCCAGGTCTTTTAAACCTACCTATTTGCTTGAACTAGATACGTGGCAACTTTACTTTGCTGCAAGTTCATTAATGCTTGAGCTCAATTTCTGAGCTGCTGAGCTTACGTTAAGTGTTTATATTGGCTGAACTGCAGTTAGTTGTTTGTTGATACAACTGGTGTGGAACTGTGTAGAATTGTGTAGAACTCAGGTGTAACCGCTGTCCCATAGGCTGTTGTTGGTGTTGGAGAGTGAGAGTGCACTTTGTGTTGCAATGCATGCTGGGGACTGTAGTGCAGCACATTGTGAAATGGGCTAATATTAATAGAAAATTAAAATACTTTTGCGGGCTGGATAGGATTGTGTTGCGGGCCTGATCTGGCCCACGGGCCTTGTGTTTGACGCATGGGGTATAGAACGTAGGTGTGCACCTCAGTAGTACACATAGCCCTATGTGGTAACCTGTAGCACTTACCAGTTCTCTTACTATTTACGCTTAGTCTGCTTTACCCTTTTGAATAAAACACAACATTTTCTTAATACTTAAAACTTGTATTATTATTTTGCGGTCATATTTGTAATCATTGCTGTTTCAAGTTTGAACACAAATTATTGTATTAACTGAAGAGAGTAATGTAAGTTACTGAGCTGCTGTTTGAAGCTGTGTGTTTGTTTTACTCGCAGGTCAGTCATGTTCAGCCGGCTGACCCAAGGAGTGACCTCTGTCCTGCAGGAGTTATCGGGGGAGGAGCGCCCCGATGGTGACCCACAGGTGAGCTGTTGTAGCTACATTACTGTTCAAACGTTTAAGGACATTGTGCCTTTCTAAATAACATTTGGTTATCACTACTTTTCAGTGAAGTAGGAAAACTGTCTGTAAAGGTTTAGTGATCATACAGCAGCTCTGAGCTAACTCTATGTTTATATTTATCTTCAACACTCAGCGTCATGTTCATCAAAGTGTCTTCCTTGGTAAACACCAAAAAAGATTTGATTTGATTGCTGACATCACAAAGAGAGGATAAAATAGGTGGGGTGGCTGTCTGTCAGCGGAATAATAAACAAACCATGCTTTCACGTTAACAATGGTGTTCATTCAGACAGAGAGTCCAGGCTTACAGAATGGAGGGTATTTGACAGGGATGAAAAGAAGAACAGGCGATGCTTCTGAGACAAACAATACAAGTGACAGTAATTAAGCAAAAAAGTCAAGAAAATATGACGCAGGCAGTCTTGCTCTTGGGTTAGAGAATGTGGTGGGCGATGAAGAGAGACTAGTGTGTATTTTATGTCTGAAAACTGAAAAGTTCTCTAAAAGAAAACTTGAATTCTGGTGAATGACGCTGAATACCGTCAGCAGGAAATTCGCTTTGTAAAAGCTGCATCAGTGAACAACAAAGCACTAATGGCATCATAAAAAGTCGCATACACAATTGCCCAGAGCAAGAAACCACACATGATAGCAGAGGAGCTCATACTCCCCGCGGTGCTGTCGTCTGTCCAATGATGATTAAATAAAGGTGAAAGGAATGTTTGTGATCTTGATTTTTTTTTTTCAACAAAGTTAAACTTGGCCAATGTAGTCACCATTTTGTGGGGGTGGGGGGACATGAAAATTTTTCTTCCTCTAAAGGGGGGCATGACAGGAAAAGTCTGAGAATCACTGATCTAGCAAGACTTTGATGATGCCTCTTTATCAGTCTCACTATCTTTGGTCAAGTCTGCTTCCTCCTTCTGATGCCAAAGGCCATGATATTGTGTCATATGACATGGAGAGAAGTGTCAGAGCTTAGGTCTGTAATTAAATCATAATAACTCATTGCGTTTGTATTGTGAGCAGGATGGTTTGGTTCCTCAGCCACTATCTGGAGAAGATTCTTTCTCTGAGGGTCCAGGGGCCCTCAGAGGAAGTCCTAGAAAGACTGGCCCAGACAGAGCAGCTGGTGGTCCAGCTGAAAGAGCTGATCAGGGAGAAGGACAGCCAGCTAGCTATTGCTGAGAAACAGCTCAAGGTGAGAAATGGACAAGCAATACTTACATACTTGTTTACTTGTCTGATAACTAAATCATTTTGCGTTGCATTGTTCATGTAGTAACTGAATAAGGTTTTAAGATTGAGTTATGTGTGTGATTTTTGGCTAAAGTATTAGGACAGGAAATGTAATTTTACTCCAGGATATCTGTAACATTTATGACTGATTGTCATAGATAAGAAACCTCAGTTTAGATGACAGAGATAGGAATGGCTTCCTGATTTATGCATTACATCAGTAAAGCTCTATATGCAATATGTTTGGCTGCTCACAAGTAGAAACATGTCCAGAAATTGAATTTAATTGCAAGTTAGTTTACCCTAACTATTTACTTACATGCCTTAAGTGAATGCAATTTATGAGGGTTGTCATTAACTTGAGAATTTATAGTCAACAGTCCACATTGTCAAGCTTTTTTTTGTCATACTACGTTTTAATATTCGTTCTACACTTCAGGTAGGACAGTACACATCAGTTTGATTTGGGTCAAGCTTCTTCGAGTGGCTCCATTTTTAAGAGAAACATGAACACTCCTTGTCCACAGGTTATGATGGCAATTCGTCTGGGATTGATATAACCTGGGGGTATTTCTGTGGTTCATTTTCATGTAGCGTTAGTGGGTCATTCTGCTGCCCCTGATGCAGCAGACTGTGGTTTGATTCCCGGGCCTGGGCAAGGACACCACACTACACCAATAACAGACCTTAATCAAGACTCCAAACCCAACATTTGTCTACATCTGTAACATAGTTAAAAAAAGTCGCTGTGGGTAAGAATGTCTGTCAAATGCATAAATGTAACAATTAATATAACCTATAGGTATTTCTATAGTTTTTATAGCTATAATTTCTCTAGTTATTTTATAGCACAGGGTGAACATAACCTGGGGCCATTTCTACAGTTTGTTTTATAACACAGGAGTAATGTACAGGATTATAACCTGGGTTCATTTTTATGGTTTGTTTTACAGCAGTATTAATATAACCTGGGGATATTTCTACAGTTTGTTTTATAACACAGGAGTAATGTACAGGATTATAACCTGGGTTCATTTTTATGGTTTGTTTTACAGCAGTATTAATATAACCTGGGGATATTTCTACAGTTTCTTTCATAGCACCCAATCAATATAACCTGGGCTCATTCCTGTAGTTTGTTTGTTTTATAGTAAGTAAAGGCGTCAGAATCTTTACAGATGTGGAAGAGTGCAGTTTGTAAAAATGACTGATGTGGTGGATTCGAATGGGACTAAAATCACTGAGAAACACTGGCAATAATTCCATTACTTCACCTTCCCATGTAAAGCTAATCCCACGCCAGTTGTACTTTAAGCCCTATTCAAGCTGGATTAGTTTCACCAGAGGAGGTCTGGTCATCTGGTAACCTGTGTGTGATTTGACTTGCCGATTCGTACAGAAAAAAGGATCTGTGTAATTTCACTAAATTAGACCAAATAGCCTGGATTGAATCGTCGTTGCGCAGATGTTCCCAACAGGCCCCACACTTCTGAACAGTTCCAGGTTGTGTGGCCAAGTGGCGAACGTATCGCCGGAAAAAGCCAAAACGCAACACTGGACGAGGGAAGTGACTTTACATTTGATTTCAGTGTGGGGTGATGTTAATTTTATCAGTTTGCCTTCTCCTTAAATCACCTAATCGAAAAACAAAGGAAGGTGGGGTTTTCTATTACCTCGTTCTGTTACCTGATTTTCTGTGACCTGTGATGTCGATTCAAACCAGACAGCAACTACTGAAGGAGGTCCAGGTTCAGCGAATTATTGAAGGTAATTCGATATTACATTATTGAAGAATTATTACATAGTTGACTTGTAAAACCACTGGTTAAAATCACAAATTTAATTGGTAATCATTCCGATTACGGTACCTCCCCAGGTAAAACTAATCCAGCTCGACAGCCAAAGGCACTGTCTAAACATGTCTGAGTTTTGGTTTTGAGACATTCAGTTATAGATAAGTGTGTGTGTGTGTGTGTGTGTGTGTGTGTGTGTGTGTGTGTGTGTGTGTTTTATCGTAGGATGAAAAGGAACAGGGAGAAGCCAAGTTTACCAAACTGAAGCTGCAAGCAAAAGCCAAGATGGCTGCTCTAAATAAACAAATATCTGAGCTGAAAGTACAGGAGGGACAAAACACCAGCCAGGTAACTAAAACTGCTCATAGAGTAACAACTCCTTTTTTTTATGTTATTTCTGAAACAGTAGTTCTAACAAAATATTCTAGTATTTGTATTGTTACCATGTCTATTACATTTAAAAATTGGTTGTTTTACCTTACTAATGCTGATATAATGTGGCAGGGCAAAATATTATTGGATATTGTTTTAACAGGTGAATAAGCTTGTAAATGTATTTGTTGTTGTGAACACTGAGATGTTTGGAAGAACAGGGGTTTAGTTCTGAGAATGTGTGTGTCTGATCACACAACCTTCACTGACTCCCAGAAGTGATATCCATATTCATCTGTGATCTATCCACATTTCAGTCTCATTTGCATGTGGCTTAATTTAATAAATCAGTGGAATGTAATGATTGATGAGTTCAGGCCTTTGATCTATCCAATAAGCAACACAAAATTACTTAGCTAATGAAGATGTTATTGTTATTTAAATTAACTGAAATGAGTCTGACCCTTTCTAGCCTTCTCTACTGATGCAATATGTGTGTGTGTTCAGACTTCAGACAGCTCCTTCACAGTGCCTTCAGAAGTGGAGGAGGAGCTCCAGCAGCTGAAGCAGAAGCTGAGTCAGGAGGAGTCTTTAACTCACAGCCTACAAGAACAGCTCATGGTTGCTGAGCAGCGTTTGAAAGAAAAGGAGGAAGACCATGCAGAACAGGTATGGAGACATGGAAGTCTGAAAAGGTAGTTTAAGGGTGTAAATCTCTGATCTAACAACAGTTCAATTAATAACTTTAAAATGTACCTTTATTTTCAAGAAGTAAAAATAAAGAGTTGAAGTTGTATAATGCCTTCTTCAAACCCAGGGTTGCATCATAACATTCAGCATACAGATCAATAGAAGGCGTGAAAATAAAGGAGTGCAATATGTTAATAAAACCAAAATAAACCAGTGTTTCAGTTTTCAAATGTTAAAAAACAGCATATACACTATTAGAAATAAAGGTTCTGTACAGGTACGTTTTTCATTCAACAAGGTACAAACAAAGGCACAACAGTGGTTTTAGGGTCCAATTGCGTACCCTAAATACATTACGTGTGTGTGTGTGTGTGTGTGTGTGTATGTATGTATGTGTATATATATATATATATATATATATATATATATATATATATACACCTTGGAAAATATAATTTCAGTGGATTATGGTACAGTTATGTTCCCTGGCGAAAGGTACTGAAATGTACCGAGTTCCGTAGCTTTATTTGTTTTTAAGTATTATTATAGTCGATCCAAAATCAGTGCAGTTGAATCACCACCTTTTGATCGCTGTATCACAATACGTGTGCATTTTATACGCTTAATAGATTTCTATAAATAGTCATTAAATAATGAATAACAACAAATAACAATACTATGTTTCATATTGTTTCAAATGATATCGCAGCATATCACATTATATGGCACTGTATCGTTGTATTGTGACATTGTATTGTATTGCATTGTGTATATGTTAGCTTGTGGCTATTGTTTTAGCTTGAGACTAACATATTAGCTTGTGGCTACAGCATTAGCTTGGACATCCATAGACCACAGCTTTTGTCTAAAAAGCTGTACATTTGAAATGCTGAATGCTGTAATAAACTGAAAATTAAAACAGCAACATAAGGTACTTTTTCAGCAACTCCTTAATTTTGCTATATCAAAAAAATTATTGAATTGAGATATCACCATATCGTATCAAATCAAACTTTGAGTTTTGTGTGTCATTACACCCCAGTGGTGGAGAATATGCATTCTTAATGCCATAATGCCATTCATAATGCCATCTAATGTAACTGCGTTGTTTTGAACATCAAAGATTACAAACAACCAGCACCTATTAACAGCCCACTCCAGCACATCACACGTCACTCTCCCCCCGCCTCCTTGCTCTAATGTCATTAATAAGCTGTGCAACAATATGATTATAGTGATCATTTTTTTCAAATGTTGCTCAAAATATTGTGGGAATATTGTATCATGAACCCAGTCTCGTAAATAAAATCGACTCGTGGGCTAAGTGTAAAGTTACAGCCCTACACTGTCAGGAAAAAACTTATTAAACAGGTAAATATACAATTAATAAAGTCCAGTTGTGTGCCTTAAATAAGTTTTAAAGGCACAGTACATTCAGTTTCCCAGGGGTAAGGGACAAATTTGTTTTCAGTGTTTTCAAATACAAAAATAAAATACGAAGCCTGGAGTCAAGACACAGTATATAGAGTAAGTTAAAAACATATTACTGTAAGAGAATACAGTACAATTCTGTCCCCTAACTAAAGGTACTAAAGACATACCCTTTAGGATTCCACCTCAGTGATGTGAGGGATACCACCTCAGTGTTGGTTTAGTACTTTTGTTTTCCGAGAGTGTGGTTTCATTGCCTTGAAAACGTTTAAAATGTGCTGTCCTGTGACGGCACTATAAATACATGTAGAGTTTGCCAAGGAATTTTTTTCATGATTTCTTATGAAGAAAGTTCATTATGAAGATTTCTTTCCTACCAGGTCTGTGTCAGTATCAGAATCATCTGGAAAAACTGGGATTAAACCTTTATTTCCACAAAGTGTTTACATGATTTTCTTCAAGTAATTTTGTGATTAACTCTGAAGTGAACGCGGGAGCAAAGTGATAGCAGTTCAGTAAAAGCTGTGGTTGTAGTATACAGTTATCTTTTATCTGGTAAGAAAGAATGGAATGACAAATGTCACATGAACTTGTGTCAAAGACTATTTTGTCTGAGGTCAGTTTGTGGCCGATTAGCCTGATGCCTTTTCATCTAAGCCTGTTTCGCTTTATGTCTATCTGTTTTATGAGAGCTGAGAAATGACTATTTTTCTAAATACACAAAGCTGTTTTTTTTCTGATGTCTGAAACCTGTTGCTGTGGTGTGTGGATGGGCACACAGGTGATTTTTCATACTGGCATAATATCGGACAGCTGCTGTACACAGTGCCCCGCTTCTCCTGTGCAGCGCAGCTCAACAGCTGCATTTTTTAAAACATTCTAATTTATGCTAGATACAATAAAGGTAGTATTAATGTAGGATATCACCTCACCCAACATGTTTTAAATTGTAGTTATGTTCCTGTGTGGGACTGCATGTACTATGTATGAAATAAATCAGTAGATGAACAAATTATTTTATTTATACCATCACTGGGGGATGTTACTGCGGTAACTTAGTTAATCATCACTGGTCTCACTAAAACCACACTCCGTTCCATTGTTGTCAAACTCAGGTTTTGAAGGGGTGAAATACTGCACAGTTTTGTGTGTTAGCCCGGCTCCAACACACTTGATACAAGTTCATAATCATCTAAATCAAAAGGGTTAGAGTAGGCAATGCTAAATGCATCCAAAGCCACATACACCTTTACAGTAAGTTCTGTAATAGTGAATGTGCTTCTAATAGTGATGTACTGTTTTGATATACTGTTTAGTTTGGTAATATGTGGCTTTCAGTGCAGCCTTTGACTGGGTTTTGCTGTTTGATTTTGCCTTAATGTTTCTTACTCAGGTGCGAGTTCTGCAGGCTGTGGTAAAGGACAAAGATGTGCGGTTTCAGGAGCAGATCCTAAAGCATGAAGAGGAGCTTCTTCATCTAACCAGCCAGACCTCAAATGATGGAGAGCTACAGCAGGTAACTTTCATCTATTAGTAAAATCACAGTATACTCTTGTGTAACTTATAGCTATGGCTATGAGAAACATCTTAAAAGAGTGACTCCCATTTTTCTGTGTTGGGCTCATGTCTTGGAAAAAAAAAATAATTCACTATTAATTCACCAGTCCATGCACTCCATGTATGGGAACTAAGCTACAAAAAGAGACCCTTTTTTTGTGATGTCACAACCATGAACGCATTTCACATAATGGTTGTCTATTCAGCTTACAGCAGTTTAGTTCCACCCGTTGAAGCTGAGGTTATAAGGACCTTGTGCTGTTTTTTAAACGAGGCTCAGGACAGGGCAGCCAAAAAGAACAGATCATTTACATATATCGGTCTTAAAGGTACAGGAGCAAAGACAGCCTGTTTAATTCTAATTCTAATCCTAAAGAAGGGTTAGAAAATGGTCATGTCAAATTTAATGATGTTTTTGGTACATAAAACCACGCAAACCTTATTGGTGGACCTCCAGGAAAAATAAAAAATACAAGAAAAATGTAGAATGTTGGTCTATGAAGACAATATAAGCGATGTAGTGTCTTATTATAGTTGCAGGAACAAAGACCAGTCTTTTGTATGGCTTATTTACTTTAGCTCTGGTCAGTCAGGTATACTATTTTTTTCCCTTAACTCAGCATGCAGAGCTGTAAGTATTGTCTGTTGTTCTGAAGGCCCTGCGTGCGTCCCAGCGGCGGATTGAGGAGCTGGAGGAATCCTTGCGTTCTCGCTCAGAAGTTTTGGAGATGTTACAGCAGGAGCTAAACAGCGCAGATCAGCAGAAACAGGTACAACAGTGCTTTCTAGAAAATGGCTCTCCATCTCAAACAAAAACACACTTCTAATACTGTGAAAAAGATTCATTGTCTTTTGCAGACGATGCCTATCAACAGATATTTTCAATTTAGATATGCTTTGTTTTCAAATGCATTTTTCTGCCAGTAAGGGAACTTTTAGTTCCCAGCAGTGAATTTTTTGATACATGTTCACATTTTTAGCCTGCAGTGAAGAAACAAGTGTCATAACACATAACACACACAGTAGCAAAATTGTTACTAAGTTTAATGAGTCAGTATAATTTGTGAAGCATGTTTTGGGAAACCCTGCGATGGACTGGCGACCTGTCCAGGGTGTTTCCTGCCTTCCGCCCGATGATAGCTGGGATAGGCTCCGGCACCTCACAGCGACCCAGAAAGATAAGCGGTTTAGATAATGTGTGTGCGTGTGTGCGTGTGTGTGTGTGTGTGTGTGTGTGTGTGTGTGTGTGTGTGTGTGTGTTTTGAGAAAAAGTACCAGTTCTATTCATGTCCCACACCTGTAATTTTAATCCTTAAAAGCAAAAAAGAAGTTACTGAATTACAAAATTACATATGCTCAATTTATATTTGTTAAATCAAAACACATTAAAATAAATACTGTAGTTGATCTGTCATTTATGTAATTTATTCTTTAAATATCTCTTTCCAAATTTATACAAACCCAGTTGGGCAGTGATTTATAAATTTACTTAAGAATGTAACCTCATCTCTATATGAACAACAACATTTCAAAGACAAGCTATGTAATGTTTTACCCTTAAAGGTTTTCAGCTTCATTGGTTAAAGATTAAAGGTTAAAACAATTTAAGATGAAGAACTTTGTTAAATGTTAAACATCTTAAACAGGTGATGCAAGCATGCTTGGATATAAAAGCAGCATCTAGGAAAGACCTAGTACTTTAGGAGCTAAGATTGTTGAGGCTTGCCAAAAATGCATCAGCGAAAAATCGAACAGTTTAAAAATAATGCTCCCTCTACAGTGCATAATATCATCAAAAGATTTAGGGAATCTGGAGAAATCTCTGTAAAAGAAAAGGTTGAAAAAACCAATGCTGAATCTCTGTGACCTTCAATCCTTCAGACGACACTGCATTAAACAACGGCATACTTTAAAAAACTGTTGTCAGTAAACGCTGTCTGTCACTGCATCCACAAATGCAAAAGAACAAATGAACAAATGCAAAGACTGTACTGTGCACAGTGGAAGCCATATGTCAACAGTGTCCAGAATTGTCGTCGACTGCTCTGGTCTCAAACTCTGAAATGGACTGATGCACAGTGCAAACGTGTATTGTGGTCTGACGAGTCCACCTTTAACATTGTTTTTGCGAATGATGGATGTTGTGTCCTCTGGGCCAAAGAAGAACAGCACCATCCAGTTACCACTGTTAACTTCAGAAGACAGGATCTGTCATGGTATAGAGAATAGGGTATTAGTGGGTAACTCCACTTCTGTGAAGACACATTAACAATTAGCACATTTTGGAGCAACAAATGCTGCCTTCTATTTGATGTCTTTTTCAAGGATGTTCGTACTTAATTCATTACAACACCAAGAAACATACTGCACATATTGCAACAGCGGGCTTTGTAATCAGAGACTGCAGGTGATAGACTGGCCTGCCTGCATTCCAGACCTGTCTCTCTTTAAAAACGTTCATCTTGTTAAGCGGTAGCATAGATGAAGACTATAACAGAAGAGTGACAAAAATGATGCTTTCAAAACTTGATCAGTTTGTCTTACTATTGTCTTCATTAAGTGTTGTTTAAAAGAAAAAGTGATAGAACACAGTGGTAAACATGTTTCTGCCCCAACATATATAAGGTAAAACATCATATATCATGTTTATATCCTAATAGATCCTCCAGAATCTCTGGTTTCAAAGAAAAGCAAAGTAAATATACTATTTTCATAGTCAATATCAAAGTCTTTACTGTACAGGTTATAACTATTATAATTATACTTTTAAAATAAATAAATAAATCCAAAAATATTCTAACTTGGCTGCTAAAGCTAATGTGAAAGGCCATGCAGTGTGCTACTCATTCTCAAAGGAAATATCTTTACTCTGACATGTCCTTACAGCAACCGATTAAGGCAAATTCAGTTTAGATTAAAAGTTTAAAAATAATATGCACTTTTGTATAGCTCATAATTGGTATTACATACTTGTGTGTATGTCCATTTTCTGAATATGGAGACAGCCAGAAGTGCTCATAGTTGCAGAAACACATTCTCTGTGAAATACACTATACTTACATGTTGTTTATGAAACTGAGAGTCCTTTATTCACATGTAGGGGTTTTTCCCACCTGCCGTTATCTATTTTACATGTCTATGGAAGGCTGCTACATGGTGCTTAGAATGTGAACACTTTCTAAAAGAACATCGCACCTGGCTGCTTCTTTTTTTGGCAGGACAGAGCCCTTTTAAAGTAGAGAAATGTTCTACTTTTTGTAAGAGCACTGAGTGACGTCAACCACTAATATCAGCCGACCAATCACGATAACAAAAGGCTGCTAAGAGGGTTTCACATTGCAGTAACACCGATTTAACTTTTGTGTTCATATTTAATACTGCCCACCCAGTAAAACATAAAAGTAAAAGCTAAAAGGCTGCATAGAGTGTGTGGCGGAAAAAGTATTCGGAGACTTCTGTTTTTGCCAATTTAATATACACTATATGAACAAAAGTATTGGTACACACCTCTTAATTATTGAATTCAGGTTCAGTTTCATGCAGTCCCGTTGCTGTGCAGCACGTAGCCATGCAGGCGGCTTTTACAAACATTTGTGAAAGACTGGGTCATTCTCACTGAATTTGAGCGTGGTGCTGTAATAGGATGCCACCATTACAACAATTTGCGAACAGTTTGCGAAATTTCTTCCATCCTAGATATTCCACAGTCAACTGTGAGTGGCATTATAGAATATAAGACACTCAGCTGTGAAGTGTCAGACCATGTAAAGTTACAGAGCGGGTCGTTGAGTGCTGAGGTGTGTAGTGCATAAAAGTCACCAACACTCTGCTGACTCAATAAAAGAGTTCCAAACCTTCTCTGACATTAACATCAGCACAAAAACTGTGTGCTGGGAGCTTCATGACATGGGTTTCCATGGCCGAGCAGCTGCATGCAAGCTTTACATCACCAAGCACAGTGCCAGATGTCAGATGGAGTGGTGTAAAGCACGCCGCCACTGGACTCTGGATTCTGGATTTGGTGAATGCCAGGGGAACGTTACCTGCCTGACTGCACTGTATTTGTAAACATAAAGATTGTTTGGACACTTAGACACATTAAAATACACATATATGTAAACTTCAAAAATAAAAATAAATTAGGTTTATCTTACTACTGCAAAAATAAAAACAGAAATGTGTGCGTGTGTGTGTGTGTGTGTGTGTGTGTGTGTGTGTGTGTGTGTGTCTCAAAAATTTGCACATGGGCATTCAGACATATCAGAACTGTTCAGAAACTGTGTACTGTGGTCAGATTAAACAAAAATAGAACTCTTTTCCTTGAAATTCAAATCTAAGAGAGAGACCCTCGTAATCTTTTCGGTTTGCTAAAAGAAATGGGCAAAAAATTTTCTCACAGTGCTGCAGTTAGCTACTTCTTGCTGTAGATGTCTCAGAGCTGTAATAGCCATCAACAACATTGTAACAAAGTGCTAAGAGTATTAATAGTACAGAGCATTAATTTACAGTGTTAGACACCCTTGAGGCACTTAGCGTCTAAAAACAGTGTGCAAAACGCATCTCTCCCTTTGCGAACAATAGAAAACAATGCGCCTCTGTCCTCCCTCCCACACCCTTTGGTGTGCAGGCCCTTCAGCCCTAATAGGGCTTGGCTTGACTATAGTGCTATTAGTATCTATAATAGGCCTGCAAAATATATTGCCTGTTAATTATTCCTGCGATATTGCCCAAAAAATATATCACAAAAGGCTGTAATAAGCAAATGAGCCCACTAACCAAGTAATTTATTTTGGTCAAAATAATGAAAGTCAAGTTGTCATTTCCAGTGCATGTTTAATATACTGCGCGGTGTATTTGAAGTACAGTGACAATGCTAGTAGTTTGTTACTATTGCGTCCCGTTCTTGACTGATTGACCATCTTTCCTTTGAGCAGATCCTGACCACACAGTTCAGGCAGATGGAACAGGAACTAGCAGAATCTCGCAGACTGAGAGAGGAAGAAAAGCAGCAGTTGGCCAGTTCTGAAGAACAACTAGGGGCCCTCAGAGCCAGCCTAGAAACGTCTGAGAAGGAAAGAGAACAGGCCATCGCTGCTGTAGAAGCAGAGTTAGCCAGAAGGAGCTCTGAGCTGGATGAAGTGAGAGCGAGACTGAATGCAGTAGAGCAGGAGAAGGAACAGAGTGTAGAGAAAAGGAAGGAGGCAGGGGCTGGCATTGAGGCTGAGCTGACCAACTTAAGAGCAAGCCTGGAAGCTTCAGAAAGGCAGAGAGAGGAGGTGACGAAGAAGCTGGAAGTGGAGGTCGAAAGCCGAGTGGCCGAGCTGCACAGTCTACAAGAGAAGCTCGATGTGGTGGAAAGAGAGAGGGAGGAAGCGTCGAAGGGAGAAAGAGAGGAGTTGACACGCTTGCAGACTGAGCTTACCAGCCTGAGAGAAAGTCTGGATGTTGGCAGAGAAGAGCAGGAAGTTGGGCTTCAGGCCATGCAGGCTTTGGAGAAACTATGGAAAGGGCTCCACTCTCTGACAGGAAGTGATGAAGGAATGGAGGTAGAAATGTCCATCCCTGCTGACCCTGCACAGGTGCTTCCTGTATTAGAAACACGACTGGACAACCTGAGAGCAGAACAGCAGGAGAGAGAAGTGCGCATGTCTCAAATCACTGTCACCCTGGAGACTCTGCAAGGTAAACAATAAACATTGAATTAAAGGGATTCTTGCAAATAATACTTGTAGCAGTGTGGGCTAGGAGTTGCATGACTATTAATTTTTACTAGTTGACGTCATTAATAAAGAAGTTGGTTAGTCATTACCACATTAAAAAAATGTCCAGATGTCTGTGAAAAGTATTTTATTAGTCGTTTTCTAGTCAGGGCTGGTTCTAGAGGCAGAAGCTGTGGTTTGAAGAGGGATTGCATTGCAGAAGAGTTTTCTGTTATATTTTCAGTAAGATTCAGCCTCAGGCACTCTGCCCACAGAAGTATGCGGACTGTCTGATGTGAACTGCATGGTAAAATCACCTCAGCTTTTAGAAGCTCACTTCTCACTGAGAATTTAACTGGTTCTGGTCTGCGCCCTGTCCGATGGGAAACAAATGATTGTTTACCAAGCTAAATACTAGTAGCAAGCAATTGCATCTACTCCCCAGCAAGCGTTTTAGAATGAGGCATAGGCCAAGTCGCTGAACCAAGAAACATTCATGATACCCCATTTAAAAAAAACTATTCTTGGACTGTGTTTGAAACCATAGGTAGCAGGTGAACTAGATATCCCCATGTGTTTGCCAACTGGTACTCCAAGTTTGTTTTTGTTGCTGTACGTTTTGAGGGGATGTTTCGTTTATCGCTCAAATGACCCTTTCACTATCATGGTTCTCAAAACCTACCGGCTCTGGCTTAAAGAGCCTGTATTTCAAAACAGTTTTACCCAGCTTACCATGTCATTGGTTTCATTTTATGTAATAATTCCGTGCTAATAAAGTAGTTTGGGCTTTGTATTTTTCAGAAAAAATGACTTCTGTTCTCTCCTCCACTTCATTGCAGTTTTTACCACTGCTGCATTTTAGACACTGTCCTTAACTAGTCTACTGTTACACACAGCACCGACTGGTGGATTTATTAGTTGACTTGTCTATTCAACCCCTAGGAAGGGGTAAATATCTGAAACTAATGAAATGAGTGAGGAAAAAAAACACTGACGCAGCACAAACGGCATAACATGACTACAATGTTACTCTCGTTTATTCAGACTGTTAGTCCAAATTTCTTTTTTTTTGCAATGAATAGCTTTAATGAAACGTACAAACATACATTACCAGTTGTAAGTGCTAAACTTTTGACGACATATAAACTTATATACATTCGAGCGTTGAGCCTTGAATAAGAATTTACAAGCTCATTAGAATGTATGACTCCTAATGGTGCTGAGTAGATACAGCCCCCTGTGTCGTCTTGATTATGGGTCTGTTGACTTCACAGTACAGTTTGAATGTTGTATTCTGTGATTTCCTTGCAGTCAGTGACTGCAGCTGTGTTTCCCAGTGTAGACGGCCAGTATAAAAGTCATGTGGTGCTGCAGTGCAATTAATGCCTCTGGTTAAAATGAGCTTCGCTTCTCTTTCTTTCAACAAACACAGCCATCTTATTTATTGTGAGGAAACAGTCATGTACAAGTGGCAATTTTAACAAAAATGATAGTGGAGCTCTTTACAGCATGTAGTCTTTCTGTGTGTTAGCATAGGAGAGCATTTGCTGCAAAGACACCATCCATTTTGCGACTTTGAAATGTTCATTTATTTGAAGCAAACTATTATCAGTGTTTTCTTCTTGAGTAATGTTGTGTTCTGACTAAAACTGGAAAGGTTGAATAGCATTGGGTTGATTCCATTTGACATTGCTGTCTAGAGTAGAACAAAAATGATGTATATTCCAATTTTAAAAACATATTTTAATACTTCACAGCATTTACACCATATTAAGGTCAAAAAGTCACAAAGTCTTAAAGTTCCCTTTAAATGGCCATTCAAACTCCTTTTTGGTCAAGGCTTAGTTGGGAAAATCTACAGAGCTTGCTGATTTTCTTGAGCAGTTACATCTTGATTATGAAACCTGTTCACATTTTTCGCAATAGATTGTAGTTTTATTCCTGGGCAGACTCAAAGAATTTATTAGAAATAACACACTAAATCAGGCAGTTATGCTGTTGTTATTGCTGTTAGATAATGCTATGCTATATGTTTATATGAATGTATTGTATTCAAAATATAATGGCCAGTTCTTCACTGTTTTAAGGACAACTAGATAAAAGCACTGCAGAAGGAGAGGAGGCAATCGCCAGGATACAGCAACTTGAACAACAACTCAAGCTTCAAGTGAGTGGATAGCAGAGATGGCCAGTGCTTTAGTGGGAACCTGGGAATTCCTTATATAGGAAACTGCTCATACTTTTGCTGAAACCTTTGCTGCATCCTTAGGATATACAGTGCTGTGAAAAAGTCCTAGGCATCAGAGGAAATGATATGCAAAGATATTTATCTGGACAGTAACAGCTTATATGTTCAGAAAACACTAAAAATTAGAATTAACACAAGTAAATAAACAGTACTTTGTGATTTGTTTAGTGTGGTAGTTTTACCATTTCCAAAGCCTTTAGTAAGTCCAGTATTTAGTAAACGTACTCTACCTATTTTTTTTAATCAGTTCTTCATTAAATCAGGTGTGCTGCTGATGGAATTTAGCAAATCCATACAATAACTAGAGTGGAGAAGTCAGGACCCAAACTCTCTTTTTCTATCTGTATTCTTCTTAACAACATATTAATATATTTTTAATGAAAAAAAGTATATTTATTTGCTTATTTTACTAGCAAAAACACAGTTACCACCAAGATAAGTAGTTTAACACCGTTTTTGGGCTGTCTAAGATTTTTGCACCATACTCTATGTATTGTTGTGTAAACATCATCAGTGTAAGATATTTCTTTAGTGCAGTGCCATATGTGCTTAATAAGCTGGGGCAGCCTGTCTGTGTCTGCCTGTTTGATCTAGTCAAGGGTAATGATGTAGCAGCGACTGTCTCAGGTCGAGCGGGTAGACTGGTCGTCCCCTAGCCTGTAAGGTCAGACAGGTAATCCAGTGGGGTTATGACTGCCAATTCTACTGACTTTCCTGTCTGTGCTTTCCTGCAATACTAAATGATAATCATGATACCATGTGTAATAATGGTATTTTAACATGTTTGTAGTTTATATTCAAAGGATTGTGCTCATATTGTTGAGTGTACTGTTTTATAAGGTGGACTTGTGTTTCCCAGGTTACTGATGAGTCACTGGGAGATCAGGTGACTGACCTGTCTGTGAGGGATTTGGACAGGGCAGACAAAGGTGAGTGCACCCGGCAGTCCTGTGTTTGTCTTCTCGAGCTGTAAACTAACCAAACAGACATTGACCTCTGACCAAACATTTCCCTTTGTTGTAGTTGTCTGCTCTGACAATGTTTAATAGTGTTATTTCAGTTTTAGAGATCAGTTTCCTTGTAGTTTAAGTTATACTGTATTCTTTTCTCCAATGTATTGGACTTGTTGTAATTCATTTTGCACAAATATGTCTCGTGGGGCCAGGTATGGTTATGTAACAAGAACATCCAGGGTCCACCATGTGCCATTTTGGCCTGAAAGTAGCTTAATATGAACAGGAAATGTTTAAGCCAATCAAATGTATTGTGAAGGGGGCCACAAAGTAGTGGGTGATAGTATACTCCTCAGTCTTGTCTGTTGAAGAACAAGCCTGTTGTTAGCCAATGGATGTAATGTAAGATAGTGTTGTTGAAAGGTCCCTCCACAAAACTCCAGTTAAACATGTAGATGTTTGTCACAAGTGCAGAGAACACAAAACATGCTTTAAAAATAAACATTAGCTCTTGCAAGGGAAAAACAGTTTTGTTAGCAAACAATATTTATTTGCTAGCTAGCTTGTTTTGCTTGTATTATTATTGTACTCTAAATGTCAAAAGAGCACAAACTAGAGGAATTTGGTTGGAGGGTTTGTGCTGTTTTTGGTGGTGAATCTCGGCACAGTCCAGCAGCAAAGTAAGAAGGGCAACTTTTTAAATTCTCGTTATGAGATCACGTCTAGCCCTGCAAGACTACAAATGTGTCAGACTTTTGCATGTCTTTATGTAGTGATTCAGCATGGTAATTCTAGTTTATCTCAGAAATAAGTATATTAGAAATGCTAAAATATGTAAAGTAAGCATTTCTATTGCTATGACAATGTTTTGATGTGATTTCTATTCCTCTATTTTCCCAGTTGAAGATGCATACGACAACAGCTCAGGTGATACATTACACACAGAGAAAGTTCTGGCTCTGGAGCAACAGCTGATTGAGAGAGAGAGGGAGCTTTCTGCTCTCAGGGAAAAGCTAGCAATCACTGAGCAGCAGAGCCTGAAGATTTCAGAAGTCGGAAAAGCTGACTATGGAACTACTGGAAACCTTTCTGGCATGCCAGAGAGTCCTGGAGTGCTGCCTTGTCTTGATGATACTCTAGAAGAAGACAAAACACTGATTGCTGTGGAGACTTCTGGAATGTCTACCTCGGTCTTGTCCTCGACTGCTGACAATGAGAGTAGTCCTGAGATTACTGGACCACAGCCTGAGTCTCCTGGAGAGTTAAAGGGAGCTTCCTCAGATGAGATGGTAACCAGCAGTGACTCAGAAGTTGCTCATAGTAGCTGGACACTTCTAGAGGCCATTAATCAAGATGGTGCTCAAGAGTGGCCTCAACAGGAATCCAACTTTGGTGCACTACAGCTTTCTACACAGTCCTGGGAGGAAACTAGTGAAGAACAGGTCACATCTACATGCTCTATGGTTGAGGTAGAATCATCATCCGTGGTTATTCGTGAAACAGTACAGGTACACATTAGCGAGCAAGAGGCCAACTTGCTGAGTATGGAATCTAGCCCTGGTCAGGCTTTTGCACAAGTCCTGGCAGAGGAGCTCCAGAAAAGACACAGTGAACTACTGGCTGAACTTCAGCAACTAAAAGATTCAGCCTCTGAGTCTCAGGAGAAAGTATACCTACTGGAAGAGGAATTGAAGTCACTGACAGCTATTAAGGACGAGGCAGAGGCAAGGGCCCAAAGGTATGAAAAAGAATTGACCGAAACAAGAGCAGAGATTCAACGAGAGGCAGATCAAATGACTTCAGAGAGAGATAAACAGAATAGCGTGAAGAAAATGCTTGAGGAGCAGCTGGAGAGCTTGCAAATAGAGGCTTGCTCCAAAGATCAGAAGATTCAAGCTCTGCAGGCAGATCTAGATGAAGTCCAGCAAAAACTTACTGAGAAAGAAGGACAAGCAAGCATGCTTGGTGCCCAGTTGGAGGACAAAGATCTTGTTTCCTCTGAACTGGAGGAAAAGCTCATTGACCTGGAGGCAAAACTTAAGCAAGTCTCACAGGAGGCTGACATTACTAAAGCTGCTCTTGTTGACAGGACAACTGAACTAGAGAACTTGCAGCAGCAACTTTCCCTGAAAGAACAGGAAATGGTGGAACTCAGTGATACCATGACTGCCAAACTGCTCCAGGCAGGTGAGGAAAAGTTTGCTATATCTAGTGAAGTCAAAAAGTTAAAGGAGCAAATGTTAGAACTTGAGAAAACTTGGGATGACCAGCAGAAAGTGAAAGCAGACAAAACAGCTGATGACAACGAGGAGCTGGTCACTTTGCGCAAGGAGAAAGAGGACTTGGCTGCTCAAATAGTCACCATGAGAAAGGATGGAGAACAAGTCAAACGGAAGTTGCAGGCAGCCTTGGTGCAGCGCAAGGAACTGATGAAAAAGATTGCAGATTTTGAGAAGTTAGAAGAGGGTGGCAAACAAAAAGGTGATCTAGATGAAGGTGCTACCCCTCATTGTACAGATGAGAGAGAAAGAGAGCAGGAACTTGAAGCACTATTGCAAGAGACCAGACAAGTCTTGAATTCCAAAGAAGAAGCTTTGACTGTTTTAGAGCAGAAAGCATTAAATCAAGATCAAGCCCTGGCTGAGGCACATGCTGAAATCCAACGCTTGATTGAAGAGGCTGAAAAAGTGAGCCAAAAAGAGCAACAAATGCTACAGTTAGAAGAGGATAAGACTAGATTGCAGTCACAGGTTGGCAGCATGGAATCTGAGCTTGATATGTTGCAGAAAAGGCTTCAGGAGGCTGTGGATTCTCGTAAAGACACCCTCCGCAAGGCAAAAGAGAAGGACAGGCATCATCGTGAACAGCTGAGGCAGCAGAAAGAGGAGTACAGTGGCCTGCTAGAACGTTTTGAAGCTGAAGATGAAGAGAAAGCTGAGCTGCTTAAACGTCTGAAAGACCTTGAAAGTCTTTTGGAATCAAAGGAGCAGACAGATAAAGAGAAGCTTCTCACTGTTGAAGGAAATTCCAAGAATGCTTCAGAGAATCTAGAGAGACTAGGGTCCGGGGATTGGGTTCAGGAGGATTGGGTGGATTTTGCTGCACCTGAGACTGACATTAGACAGCAAAGGTCACCTGATGAGCAGCTTCCACAAAGTGCATCAGGAGATGAAGAGACTGTGATAAATTCCCTTCAGGAGGAGCTGAAATCTGAGCAAGCTGCCCGTGTGGACTTAGAAAAGCGTCTGCAAGAAAGTCAGGCCACTGTGTCAGTCAAGGAGAATGAGTTCCTTGAGCTCAGCAAAGAACTGGAGGCACTGAGGGCGAAGGAGAGACAAATAGATGCTCTTTCAGAAGAGCTAAACACTTTGAGAGAAAAGTGCCAGCAAGCAGAAGCCCATGCAGAAATGCTGAAAGCAGAAGTGGAGGAGGCTGCAGCTGTGGCTAGGACAAGCTTATCTAATACAGAGTCTCCTGTTGCAGCTCTGCAGGTGGAGGTAGAGGAGTTCAAGCAGTTTCTGGAAGGCAAAAACAATGAGATTGTTGACCTAAGCCAGCAGCTGAGTGAGCAAAGTATCCTTCTGCAGAAGATGCAGGAAACGATGTTGGAGAAGGATCAGCTGATCAGTTCCTTGCAAGAAGGACTGAAAGCTGAGCAAGAGAGGAACCAAAAACTGGAGTCAGAAATCCCACAAAAGCAGGAGGAAGATAAAGACAACAATGCCAAACTGCAGCAACTTCAGCGCAAATTACAGGCTGCTCTGGTATCACGAAAAGAAGCTCTCAAAGAGAACCAAGCTCTAAAAGAAGGGCAAGCTGCTGTTGAGAAGATAAGGTTAGAGCTACAAGTAAAGCTTGAGAATGGTGAGACAGAGCTGAGTAAGCTGAGAGCAGAGAGAGAGAAACTGATTGAAGAAGTGGATCGGGCCTTGCTGGAGAACCAGAGTCTTGGTGCCACCTGTGAGAGCCTTAAGCTTGCTATGGATGGTCTCCTGAGTGAGAAAGACACATGCCAACGCCAAGCTGAGAGTGCCAAAGAAGAAGCTGATCTGGCATGTAGACAATGGGAGGGAAAGATGCAAAGCATGAAAGATGAGTATGAAAGTTTACTGAAGTCATATGAGAACGTGAGTGATGAGGCTGAGCGTGTTAGAAGAGTGCTGGAGGCTGCTAAACAGGAGAGGCAGGAATCGGCCGCCAAGGCACGGGCCTATGAGGCAGCCAAACAGGAGGCAGAGAGGTTAGCAGAGGAGGCTCAGAAAGAAGTAGATGCAGTAAAAGAGAAAATGAGGAAGTTTGCCAAGGCGAAGCAACAGAAGATTTTGGAACTAGAGGAGGAGAATGAGAAGCTCAGAGAACAAGTAGAGACGAAAGGCACCAAAGAAGTGGATACAGAGTTGAAGCAAGAGCTTGAAAAAGTAAAAAATGATTTGAAAGCTTTAAAAACTAATTTTGACATTGTAGAGACCCAACGACATTCTCTGGAACAGGAAACTAAAGAACTGAAGCAGCAGTTGACTAAGGAAATTGATAGAAAGAACAGTGAAGCTCTTGGTTTGAGCTCCTCTGGAGTAATTATTGAGGAAGAGGTGTTACCAAAGCAGTCAAGCCCTATTTTTACTGAAAACCAAGAGGATCTAGTTACCCATATCCATTCCAAAAAGTCTAATCTGTTGGAGGAGGCAGAGGGGTCAACTCTGGTCATGCTTAAACAAGAAACTACAGAGATCAAACCTAAGACTGAGTTGACTCAAAGTGCACACATAGAAAGAGAGGAAAGACTAAAGGAACTGGAGGTAGCTCTTGAGGTTGCAGAGAACAATCTAAAAGTACTTCAAGAAGCTCTTGAAGATGAGAAAGCAGTCAGAGCTGAGCAGGAAACCTCCCTTAGCACAGAATTGGCTTCTCTGAAGCAGCACCTTCAGGAGAGTACGGAAAGAGAGGAGAGACTGAAGGAGGAGTGTTCTAAAAGAGAAACACAGCTTCAGGAGCTTCGCAAAAGCCTAGAAGCTGAGAAAGATGACCTTGAGGAGCAGCTAATGAACCAGTTAGCCCAGGTCAATGGCAGTATTGCCGGTTATCAGCAGGAGGCAGCTGACAGTCGAGATCGTCTTGCAGACCTGCAGCGAGAATTGGAGAAAAAGGAGAGAGAGCGAGCTGAGTTGGAAGCCACTGTAGCGAGTGAAAGGGACCGAGCAGCAAGACTTGAAGAAGATAAAAGACAGGCCCAACGAGAAAGAGCTGAGGCAGAGGCAGAGGCAGGTAAACAGAGGGAGCTGGAGCAGAAGCTGAAATCTGCACAGAGGGTAAAAGAAGGAAGTCAGAGCCGAGCTCGCCAACTTGAAGAACTTCTGAGGGAGAAGCAGCTGGAGGTCCGACAAATGCAAAAAGACTGCATCCAGTACCAGGAAAGGATCAGTGAGCTGGACAAAGAGACAAAGGCACTCTTACTGGGTAGAGATGAGGTGTGCTCTGAGCTTGAAGCAGCCCGTCTGGAGATAGCAAAGATCACAGAGGAGAGGACCAAGCTTGAATCGGATTTGACAACATTAAAAGGGAAGCTAGATGTGGCTCAAGGTGAGGCTAGTCAGGCACTAGCAGACAAAACGGCCTTGGAGCAGTCAGCACAACAGCGTGAGGCTAAGTTAAAGGCAGAAGCTGAGCGGACCCTTGATGAAGTAAGATATCGCTTGGGGGCGGAGCTTAAACAGATGGAACTGAGGTTAGAGCAGGCCTACAGTGACAGGGAAAAAGAAGAGGAGGCAACTCTTGAGGCTAGGAAAATTGCGGAGGATGCAGACAGATATGCCCAGGAAACGCAAGCACGCCTGGATGAATCACTAGCACGTCTAGCTGCCTTTTCGCGCTCTATGTCTTCCCTGCAGAATGACCGTGACCGGGTTCTGGATGAAGCCAAGCAATGGGAGAGTCGCTTCCACAGCGCCCTCCAGGGCAAGGAGTCCGAGCTGCGGGAAGCTGAAAGCCGAGCTAAGGATCTATCTGAGCAACTTCAGAAAGAGACAACGCAAAAAGAGAAACTTCAGAACTCACTAGAGAGGTTTGTTTCACTTTTACCATTTTTTTAATTTAGACCAATTAAAAAAAATAGCCAGATGTACAGTGTACAAAATTTCTCATGCAAAGAACATTTTCATTTTTATCTCATTTACAGGTTGCAGAAAGCAGAGGAACAATGGCAGCTGGAGTTGGCTGAGGCAGAGAAGAAGCACAGTGAAACCCTTTCTGCTTTGGAAAAAGAAGGAGGGGAATTGCAACAGAAATTGACTGAGGCAGAAAAGTCCCTTGCCCAAACACGCTCCCAGCTTGCCACGCTGGAGGCAGAGACAGAAGGACTACGCCACAGAGCTAAAGCTCTAGAAGAAGCAGTGGGCAAGCTTCAGAGTGAAGCCAACCAAGCCAGAGTTGAAATCAAGGAGAGAGAAACTGAGGAGAAGAGACTGTGCTTGAGTCTGGAGCAACTTGAAACAGACTTGCGTTCCTTTAAGAATCTCACAGAGACTCTTCAGGCAGAGTTGGCTGAGAAAGAGAAGAGAGAAGTGGAGCTGCTTGAAGAAAAGGAACAAGCTGTGACTCAGGTATTCAGTTTGAACAATAAGTACATTGACATGCACACTAATAATACAAACCCAAAAACCCAATTTTAAAAAGAGTTGGGACAGTAGGAAAAATGAAAATAAAAATGGACAGCAATGATTTGCAAAATCCTTTTCATCCTGTATTCACTTGAAAACAGTATAAAGGCAAGATATTTAATGTTTCAACTAAATAACTTTTGTTTTTTGTATACATACACTTATTCTAAATGTCATGTCTGCAACATGTTCTTAAAAAGTTGAGACGGGCACGTTTACCACGGTGTTACATCACCTTTCCTTTTAACGTTTCGGAACTGAAGGCTCCAATTGTTGTAGTTTTTCCCTTCTTGCTTGCTATAACACTTCACTTGCTCAGCAGTCCAGAGTCTATGTGTACGCACATTGTGCAACATAATGCGCCTCATGTTTTCAATGAGAGACAGGTCTGGACTGTAGGCAGCCCACTCTAGTATCTGCAGTCTCTTACTACAGAGCCACACTGTTATAATACATGCAGAATGCACCTTGGCATTGTCTTGCTGAAACAAGCAGGGACATCCCTGAAAAAGACGTCATCTAGACGGCGGCATATGTTGCTCCAAAATACCCCTCAGCATTAATGGTGCCTTCACATATGTGCAATTATCCATGCTATTGGCGCCATTGCCATACCATGACAGACGCTGGCATTAGAACTTTGTGTTGGTAACAATTGGGATGGTTTACAAAAACAAACTTGAAGGTAGCCCTTCCACTTTGCATCAGTCCATTTCAGATAACCTTTAGCCCATTTGTAGATGCAGCAATGAACGAGCAATGTGTTTACAGACAAGGGTTTTCCAGAGGTATTCCCGAACCCATGTGATTATATTCATTACAGAAGCATGTTGATTTTAATGCAGTGCACGTATGAGGGGTCGAAGGTCACAGGCATTCAATATTGGTTTATGGTCTTGCCCTTTATACGAAGACTCTTCTCCAGATTCTCTAAACCTTTCATAATGTTATGGATGTTAGATGCTGAAAACTCCTTGCAATTGTGCATTGAGAATCTTTGTTCTTAAACTGCTGGACTGTTTGCTCACTCAGTTTTGCACATAGTGGAGACTGAGCTTTTCCTGAAAGCTCCTTTTATACCCAATCATGATAGCATGACCTGTTACCTATTCACCTGTTTACCTGTGGCAAGTTCCGAAAACAGATGTTTTTGATCATTCCCTAAACTCTCCAGCGTTACATTGCCCCTTCCAACTTTTTGGCAATGTGCTGCAGGCATCAAATTTCCAATTTCGAAGTTGATAAGGTTTAATAAAATATTAAATATCTCTTCTTTGTGCTGTTTTCAGTTAATGCACGATGAATATCTGATTTCGGCAATTATCTGATTATTGAAGCGGCCATTTCTTAGAATGGACTTTTGGCTCAGTGATAGGGTTTTTCAGCATGTGCTTAATCTAATTTCTTTTGTTTTTATATATCTGTGCATGTGTGCGAACAGAACCAGACAGAGAACAGCCACTGATGTAAAAGTAAACACAACACACTACGTACAGTTTAGAACTATATAAACTCCCCAGAAATATCTACCAATAAATGACTACATGTTGAAAAGAAAACTGCAGCAAGAGGTTAGAAATGTATGTCCCAGGCTACGCTGCTTTGGTGACTTTATTGCTGAGTTGCTAAGCAAGGGTAGAGATGCAATGTTATGTATTTAGAAAGAAACATGGGTAACACTTTCTGTGAATACCATGACTACAAGAATCAATACACACATTTGTGACACATAATAATACATTTATAATGCATTGTAAAAGTAGCTATAAATGTCCTGAAACTGTGTTCCACCAATAGGCTGCGGAAGAAGCTAGGAAGGAAGCAGATGGCAGAGCAGAGGAAGCAGAGAGACAGCTGGAAGAAAGAAGATCAGCCATGAGAGATCTTGAGGAGAAACTGCAAAAAGCTGAGGAGGATGCTACCCACAGCAAGGCTAGACTGGATACATTCACAAAGGCTATGGGATCCCTGCAGGATGATCGGGACAGGGTGCTAAGCCAGTACAAGCAGTTAGAAGAGCGACATCTACAGGTATGATATCAGTTAAGGCATTTGATTAGAATGATTGAAATGTATTAGATTGTAAGACTATAGGCTTGCCCTTAAACACATGGTATAGCCAAAAGTTTCCCCTTAGTGCAAATATAGTTGATCAGCCAAGACATGTTTGGTGTACGAACTTTGCTTCTTTAATGTTGCATTAGAGCTACAAGGCTAATGTAGATAATCAGTACACTAGTGTCAATTAGCAAATTAGCAAACTACATGCCTAAATCACCACACACTTGCCTCAAATTGTGTCAAGTTGTTAAGTAATTTCAAATAGACTTGTTTTGTGATTTCTGACATTGTACAACAAAACTACAACAATAGTTGTCTGTAAACATGGACAAATCCCTTAATGACTTGATGCAGTTTGAGGATTTAGATTTTTGTTAGCTAGATTATCCTTGTAGCTCCAGTGTGAACTTTGTTGTATTTGCTAGTCTCAGAATGTTTTGTAGGGTCTAAACATCAAGTCTACTTGTCTTTCAGGTGATGATGGAAAAGGACGGGCTCATCCAAGAGGCAGCTGCCGAAAATAACGGTCTGAAGGAGGAGCTCCGCAGTCTTCTGGCCCAGCGTGACGACCTCCATGCTGAAAACGCCAAGCTGGCTGCCCAGCTGCACGGCTACAGGGACGAGCTAAAACAGGTTCTCGCCATGAAGGACTCCCAGCATAAACAGCTGCTTTCAGCTCAGCTCGAACGCATCAGTGTCTTGGAAAAAGAAAGGGAAGACTTACAAGCCAGGATTGAGGAAAGGGAGACCTTGATTAGAAAGGGGCCAGCAGTGGAGCACGAGGTTTTGAGCCAAGCTGGACAGGTCATGGTCAAGCAGAAGATGCATGATGCTCCAGGTGCAGAGGTGGAGAAACTAAGGGAGCAGCTTCAAGCGGCCAGGAAGCAGATTAGCACCCTAGAAGAGATGCTGAAGTCTGAAAGGGAAGCCCAGGCAGCCGACAGCAAAGAGCTGAAAGAGCTACGCTGGGAAGGTGGCATTCTGCGGACTGAGGCTGAAACAGCAGAGGAAAGAGTAGCAGAATTAGCCAAAGACTTGGTAGAAATGGAGCAGAAGCTGCTAGTGGAGAGGGAAGTGGTAGCCCAGCTTAAAGCTCAGAACCAGTCCTTTGGTCAAGCCATGGCCTCCCTGCAGGACTCAAGGGATCAAGCCATCAGCGAGGCCAAGGAGCTCCACTTCCGTCTGGAAGAGAGTCAACAGACAGGACACTCAGCAGCGCCCTCTAGCAGCTCCAGTGGAGAAGTATGGAGCCTGAAGAATGCTCTCTCAGCACTCCAGAATGACAGAGAACGAATGGTAGGTAATTTTAGAAATGAATCAGTAATTAATATGTTTGAATAGCAATTTTTTAATTAAATAATTAACTGTTTTGATTCTCCTATTACTCGTTCTCCCTGTTACTGATTCTCCTATTACTCCTTCTCCCTGTTTTGATTCTCCTATTACTCCTTCTCCCTGTTTTGATTCTCCTATTACTCCTTCTCCCTGTTATTGATTCTCCTATTACTCCTTTGATTCTCCTATTACTCCTTCTCCCTGTTTTGCTTCTCCTATTACTCCTTCTCCCTGTTATTGATTCTCCTATTACTCCTTTGATTCTCCTATTACTCCTTCTCCCTGTTTTGATTTTCCTATTACTCCTTCTCCCTGTTTTGATTCTCCTATTACTCCTTCTCCCTGTTATTGATTCTCCTATTACTCCTTTGATTCTCCTATTACTCCTTCTCCCTGTTTTGATTCTCCTATTACTCCTTCTCCCTGTTTTGATTCTCCTATTAATCTTTTTCCCTGTTTTGATTCTCCTATTACTCCTTCTCACTGTTTTGATTCTCCTATTACTCCTTCTCACTGTTTTGATTCTCCTATTACTCCTCCTCCCTGTTTTGATTCTCCTATTACTCCTTCTCACTGTTTTGATTCTCCTATTACTCCTTCTCACTGTTTTGATTCTCCTATTACTCCTCCTCCCTGTTTTGATTCTCCTATTACTCCTTCTCCCTGTTTTGATTCTCCTATTACTCCTTCTCCCTGTTTTGATTCTCCTATTACTCCTTTTCAGTGTTTTGATTCTCCTATTACTCCTTCTCACTGTTCTGATTCTTCTTTCACTTTTCCCCTGCTCCAAATTATCTATTAACAAACTTAAATGTGGAATTGTCTGCAAATTGTTTTATTTGCTGAGTTTACCATATTGAAAAAAAAAATTAAACATATATATAAACTTTCCTACAGCTTCCTGTGAAGTGATAATCCAGTGTTTACTACTCCCTGTGCACTTAGAAGTTCCCTTTCAATGGGAGCTTTTCACTTCCTTCTGTTTGGAATCAGCCTTAAAGTGACTGAATACCCTGTGCATATGGTCTAGTAAATTTGGTCTAGTGATGTAAATAAATATTTCATAGGTTGCAAATCTTTTACCTCACAATAATTTCATTTGATTATAAGGAAATGTTTCAGCACATGATGAAATCTCAAATATCACCTGAATTCAATTTGATTATTTTGGCCTGATTCAGAATCTTTTTTTTTTTTATAAAACACTGAAATGAAATGTGAAAAGACAAACCGGTAGAATATGGGCAATAAAAAACAATACACTGATTGAAAATAGCCAGATCTGTTAAATTCTTGTTAAATGTAGTGTTGTGTTGTACACATGGTAGGGAACATGTCCTGAAAAGACACTTAACCTGTGCTGGTCTTCCTCTGCCCTAGGTGGAGAAGTTACAGCTGCAGCACAGTGAGCTGGACAAGCTTACCCAAACTCTGGAGGAGGAAAAGAAGAAGGGAATAGAAATGGAGAAGAGGACAGCAGAACAGCTGAAGGAGAATCATGCCCAGCTGCAGAGAGACAGGCAGGAACTGGAGACACTCAAGTAAGATGAAAATATCCTAGACCACTTGTAAATGGTTCTTAAACTTGTTTTATACTTATGTCTTGTGCTTGAAGGTGACAAAATTATAAGAAATGACCTGTTACATTTGTCACATACTTCTGCATTCTGCAATGTGTGAACTGGCTCTTGTTGTAAACAGAAAACAGCCACTAAGAGTACTTTTATGATGGGTTTATGAATAGTTTAAAGTTAGTTTTTTAATTGTTATTATTTACGTCATAAGCACTTTAAAATCCTTTAGTAGCAATTACAACACACAAAAAAAATCAAGTGACCTGTTGCTTGACAAATAGCGGGCCTACATTAATTGATACTAGGGATGCATCCATGCTGATACTGGTATCAGGTGTCGGGCCGATACCATGCTCTTTTATTTATATTCTATCTTATAAAAGGCACCAATGCCAACATTCAGTATGCCGGGTTAGTGTACAGTGCTTGTTGTTGAAACAGACAGATGAGGAGTATGGGACCAAAACTATAAAAACGTACATTACTTACTCACATACAGATACGTTTTTTTTAACTCGGAACAAAACCCACTTCTCTCCACTGTGACGCTACTCGATCCAAGGTAACTAATGTAGCATAGCTAGCTAATGCATGTTATTTAAATCGGAATCGAGCATTATTGGCCAGGTATGCTTACACATACAAAGAATTAGTTTTTTTGTTTTTTTGGATGAATAAAGCTTAGCTTTGGTTTTGTACGGGACTTGGGCATGTGTTCCGTGGCAAGTTATTGTTAGCTTAGGTCATAAAAGGGCAGTGGGATTATGGGAGCCGCAGTAGAGTGAAGGAAGAGATGAGAGCCAAAATAACACTGAGAATTCTGTATCCCCCAGTCACACGATGCTATCAATGCTAAGAGGTCGAACTCGCGATCTCCTGATGAGAGGGCCAACACTTGGACGGTTGCGCCCATACTTTACATTTTCGGGGGGCCCCCATACTTTACATTTTGAAAAAACAAGGTGTTTCCATCATTATAGCGGAGGCACTCTGGAACCGTGAGGTTTTATATTTTCATAATTTTACAGTTTTTTTGTGTTCTGTATTATTTTGCATTAAAATTAAATTAGTCCTGTACTTCTGTCACTTCTCTTTCCCAACATGGCAATTATTGTCTTTGAAGCATCATCATAGGCTTGTATCTGGTGATGGTTAATCGAGATGTGATGGCCTACATTAGCAGATGAGCTTATTACAGAAACACAGTGCTGGTTAAATGTGCTCGGTGCTGCAGAGAAGATGCCTGTTCAAAAAGCCGCCTCTGTGGTACGGTGTATATTTAGGGACATCCAGCAAGTTTCAGACTGAAAAATGACTTCAGTCTCTGGAAAAACATCATCATGCAGATTGGTCGTGGTGAAAGAGATTGTGATTGGTTTAATTGGCTGAATTTGTTAATGACATGAAAGTGAAAGCTTCTTATTATCACAATGCTTCTCTCTCTGTCACCCCCTGTAGACTGGAACGTAGTGACTGGCTGGCCCAGGCGGAGCTCCTGAAGCAGCAGACTCTGGCCACACTCTCAGAGCGTGACCAGCAGGTTCGCCACCTCAGTGCCATGCTGGAGGAGGCACGGGCAACTGCACAGGAGCACACTCACAGACAGGTGAGGGGAACTCTGAGATTGAAACTATATTTCATTCCTTTCTCAACACCTGATTGTGATGACAGAAATGACAATGAAGCCTCACCTGACATGGCAAGCAATTCTCATTAACTATTTTATTAATTACGCTCTTATGTATCAATACTGAAGATCAGTATTACTGACTGACACCAATGCTAATATGCCGGATAGATGACATATCACCCAGCACTAAATATTACACATAGAAATACCAACATTGCTTTTTTCCTAACCGTTTTCTGTATCTGTTTTGGCTTGTTACTGTAGTTTAATTAGAAAGGTTCAGTTTGTTGAAATGTATTTGTATGATATTGATCGTCAATCAATATCTTAGCTTAAACATATTTGCATGTCATGGTACCCATCAGGGAAAGATCACAGTGGACAGCGCACCCGGAGGCCCCCTAGAGCACAGTGAGGACTATAAAGCTGAGTGCATTCTTCTCCAGAGAAGGTATTGAACTCAAAGAACCATCAATGATACTGAACCACTGAAACATTTTCATTTTTCTAGTCACAGCCGATATACAAGTACATTTAGTATATCCAGTATACTTCCAAAGGGCCAATAGAATACTAACATGATGTTTATTAACTCGCTTAACACCTCGTCTCAATTGCAATACTGTTTTTTCATAGATAAAGATTTAAATAATTGACTGCGTTCCTAAAGAAATATTGGGCAGATGTAGTAAAAGATAACATCTAGTAAAATGTTAGATTACAAAACCGATACAATCTGTTTGGCTGAGCTGCATTCAAAGCTGTTGTAAAGTGTTTAGTACACACTCGTATGACCACCTCACAACAACTGAATTCTGAGTTGTGCTGTTAATGTGATAATCATTGTCTGTTATACTGCTTGCATGGACCACCCAGCATATTAATTAAGAACCTGGTTTTGTTTACACAGATGGGTTGACAACTAGTTTTCTAAATGAGAACAAAGCTGATCAGCTAGCTAACAGGCTAAACGATTTGAAGTACTTACTATATGAAACTGTGCTTCAAATGTTTTGTGTTGTAGTTTGATTTGCCTTAAGTAGCATTAAACCCTGGCTAAATCTCAAATGGCTTCCTCCTTCCTATATAGTGTGCTATGTAAGTTACATAGTTCTGCGGTCGACACCTATATAGTGCAGGTTTTGTCCGGTATGGAACTGTACACACATGGCTATATCCCAAATGAGTATTTGTTAAATATAGTGTGCGATATTTGGGTGCAAGAGGTATTTTTATTCCTGCATAGTCTGTTACATAGGGAATAAGGAGCCATTTGAGATTCAGCCCCAGCGTGGGAAAAGGGACTTTTACATCACTGTAATCTTGGTGCTAAATAAGACTGGAAATCACACAGAGAAGCAAATGGAAATTAGTATTGTCATTGCTGTGTTATTTTTTTTTAAACCACATTAAACACTGCTGTAATATGTTCATTATTATATGACAAAAATATTTAATTAACTGATTTTATTGATTTTTTTTTATTTTTCATTGTTTACTCTTTTTAGTAAAGTTTAGCTTGTTTTCCTCAGTTTCATCTGACTTAGTGATATTTAACTACAAATGTTTGTAATGTGAGTGCACACATGGCTCTTAAAAGGAATGAGAGGAGTTGATCTGATTGGCTGTTGCGGCAGCACACCCAACTCTGACTACATATTTACTTTAACTTCGCTCCTGTTTACAGTTGTTCTGCTCTGCGCTGGGTTTGAGGCTGTACTGCCAGTCAGAAAAATACTAACAATACATCTGCCACACCCACACACACCAGCGCTGTGATTTTACGCCTAATTTGCACGTCTGCGATATTATTCATCTAGTAGTGTTGGGTAAGGGGGCAGGGCAGCATGGTAAATGTAGGATAGAACTCAGCAGGAAAGTAGATCTCCAGGAGGAGAGTTGGTGACCACTGGATTAATGTTTGGATAGGAGGCTATGATATAGCTAGGCTAACGTCCTGCTGATGAAGAAAATGCCAGAAGAGACCCAGCCATTATGTAATGATCGGATATGAAAACGAATGAGCCTATGTTGTCAGCCATTTATTGGGTGAAGGTAGCTGTGCCCTTTCTGTAATTGCCTAATTAATGCCACTGGGTCAGCTTACATGTCTGCTCTGACTGTCTGTCGGTGTCTGTGTGTCCTGGTCAGGTTGGATGAGGAGACGGAGCTGAGGCTGAGTGTGGAGGAGCAGCTCTCTGCAGCGAGAGATCACCTCAAACGGTGCGACCTTAATACCAGATTAACACACACTTCGTGTCTGTCCTACAGGAGCCACTAACCGGCATCTAACTGCAGCACGGGGTGGTGACTTTGATGAGACAAGATCATCACGTCTTTTATGATTTAGATAGAATAACAAAGGACCGAACATTTCTCTTTGTTTGAATTTGAAGGGGAAGTCCACAAGTTCTTCTAAATTTGTGCATACTTAAATGGTTAAGATATAAACAGTCATTCAGAGTGGTTTAGTGTGAAATACTCTGTTCTGGAGAAACTTATAAAGTGAGAATTGTTCACAGTGGTGGTGACAGGGACCAGATATCTGAAGAGTTTAATAACTCTGAAATCTCCCACACAGGAAGTTATTATAGAAAATGGTTGTGAAAACGCTGACACTGACATTGAGCCATTTTATATCAAACTACTTTGAATGACTTTCTTTATATCTCAACTATTAAATAATGCAAAAAAATTCTAAATCAGCAGAAATCCCCTTTAAGATGATTAAGTTCAAGACTTAATTGCCATCAGTCAGTAGGTTGTTTGGAATTTGTTTTTGTGCAATTAAGATGCAACATAAAGTATTTATCAGCTAGATTAAACAAGAAAATGCAATTAAAGACTGATTGCAAATATATAGAAACATAGAATGCTGTACATCGAAATACAGTTTGAAAACATAGAAACAGCAAAATACATGCAAAAATACATCCATCACAATTAAGAGACCCCTCTTAATTTATTCAGTTTCCACACAAACAGCCATTATTCAGGAAGGGGAAAGGATGAGTTTCCAAAATTGGCGCTCAAAAAATTATTAAAAGACTTCTATTAACTGTGTAAGACCAGCAAAACTGTCTGTCAGGTAAACAGTACTTTAAGCTTTCATCTTTGAGAGAAAGAGGAGAAGATCAAGCTCCACTCTTGCTTCAGATCTGAAAAAATCCACAGGTGTTTCTGTCCATCCTTCCACTGTGAGAAGACAACTCAACACTATGGGCCTGAAAGAATGCCTAGCTGTTAAGAAGCTGAAGAAGAGCTGAAGAAAAGACTGTAGAAAAAAGAGAAGAATGTCTGCAAATCAAACAAAGAAGCTGCTGGTGTTCTCAGAACAATGGACTGACCACCCCAGAGTCCAGATTTCAACGTCACTGAATGTGTTTGGGATTATTTGGATCGTGCGAAGCAGAAAATGCAACTGACTTCTAAGTCTGAACTTGGGAGGTGTGGAAAACCAAGACAGATAAAGACATATAATAAATAAAGAATAATAATAAAGATAGAGTGTACACTCTAATAATTATGAAGACAGAGAGGACACACTAAATACTGAAAGAAGAAGACCTTGTATTTAGTTATTGTGGCTTCTGTGTAATTTACATATTCTTACTGGCTGTTTTGACTTTAAATTAAATACATGAAGAGTGTCTCAGACAGTAAATAGTAATCATATAAATCAATTGTTTGTGATTTAATCATTTTAATTGTAATTATATGTTTTACTTAGTGCTTTTCTCACATGCTTTTTTCGCAGGCTTTATAAGAGAAAATTCAGTTATGTAAACAGTGTAAACACAGACAACAAGAACACAGAAATGAACAAAAACACAAGAAACATTCTGAACATGGACATTTATTCAGTGGGTGTAAAGATAATTTAGCTTCTGGGAGCAATGTATTGTCTTTCACAGCATTAGAAAGTGCTGATAATTTTATCGTTTGACATTTGTTCCATTCTAATTTCACTTTCTGCCTTAATTTCATGAGCTATAAAACTCTTTGAAAAAAGGGCTGAAACTTTTTAACACTGACTGTTTACTCACCTGTCTCTGTGCAGGCACACACAGGGTGAGTGGCACTCAGGAGGTCAGGGGATTACCTCTGAGACTGCCGTCCTGATCGAGCCACCAGAGGGCGCCATTACACGGGTATGTACCAAAGCAGCACAGACCATAAATGCCTTTTCTTCATAACATGTCCATTAAATGGAAATTTAGATGCATTGGGCTACTTATAATGTTCATATTGTCAGTGTCTCTGTATTTTGTATTTTTTTTTACAATGTTTGAAAACATTAGCTGTTCCTTACATAATGTCAACAGTCTTGTATTTAAGAACATATTTCCTTCTCCTGTAAAGTTACCATTTTGGAGATACTTGGGGTTTTTTTGAATAGTGATGATACATTTCTTCTTAACAGTGTCTGAGTTTGTATTGTGGATTATGTTTAAAATTTGTGAATTTGAAAATAGGTACCCTAAATTTTAACAAAGATTTCTGTACTAGTTGTGGAAAGTATTATTTATTATTATTATTATTATTATTATTATTATTATTATTTATAATAATATGAATTATATAATAATAATAATAATAATAATTATTATTATTATATTGCACCTTACTGAAATTTTACCTAGGGAAAAACATTCTTCATACAAAACCTTTTATAGATTAAAGCAGTCTGAATGTTGTGAAAGTTTTGTAAGTCAGACTTGTTTCTCAAGCCCAGATTAAGTCTTAACTAATAAAGCATTGACTAATAAGGATTAGTCACTAATGTTGCAGGTTTAATTCTTTTTCAAGGAACCAGCTCTTAATAGAAACATAGTTTCAAAACACAGCAAAATAGTATATATGGTAATGACTGTTTTTGTTTTTGATTGAATAATAATAATAATAATAATAGTATATTTATTTAGTGCCTTTCTCACACTCAAGGGCGCTTTACAAGAAATCACGCAATTATATAAACATTATAAATTTAAGCATAAATATAGACAACAAGTACACAGACAAAAACGAAAATACCTGTGAAAAGATTTCAAGATGTAACGTTCTGAATGTGGGAATTCATTTAGGCTGTGTGATGACAGTTTAGCTTCTGGGTGCAACATATTGTCTTTTACAACATTAAAATCTCAGTATTTTCACAGTGCTTGGCTTATAGTTTTATTGTTTGACATTTGGTCCATTCAGATCCCAGGCAGCCTTAACTTCATGAGCTTTCCTTACTTTTCTCTAAAAAGGGCTCATTCTTTCATATCTTCTTATCATATCTTTTCATATCTATTAGGTCAGTTTACCTAATAGGCCGCCATACCACATACAACTGGTTATGAGTTATAATAGCATACTACGTGACTTATAATAATGTCCTGACTGTGGCTGTGTTCAGAAGTTAAGACTACAGCATGTAAAGTCCATGTTGGTCTCAGTTTACTCAGTGCATTTGATCACTTGTCAAGTGTAATTGGTGTGTGTATGTGTGTGTGTGTGTGCGTGTGCATGTGTGTGTGTTTCAGACGCGGAGCGGTGGTCCTAGCTTGCTTCGGATGCTGAGAGGAGCTTTCTGCTCCCGCCAGCGAACTCCTCTACTGGTGTCCGTCTACCTACTGACTGTACACGTTCTGCTGCTACTGTGTATGGGAGGATATCTGTGAGACCGTGGAGAGGACAAGACAGAGCCAGTGTCTGAAAGGGGGCAGAAAGCGTGAAGGAGAAAGAATGTATGTATACAGCTGTATGCAAAAATATTAACACTCCTGGTCGATTTGCAGGTTTTGTTGATTTTTTAGTGCGCAATTCCTTTTTTTCTTTTCCTTTTTTTTTGCTCAGTTTAAGACATTGGAAAAAAATAAAACATAAAATATCAAATGCGCCATAACTTTTGCTTTTGTTTTATTTATTTTATCCAATATGTAAAATTTAGCAAATAAACAGTAACTGCATTAAAATATGCCGAAGTATGTTCTCTGTAGAGGATGTGTTAAATTATTTTCACTTACACACTCAACAAAATGTAATTTGACCAGGGGTGCCAACATTTTTGTATATGACTGTGTGCATGTGTGTATATGCAAGTGAAAGAGAGAAGGAATGTGTGTGTGTGTGTGTATGTATGTACACCTCATTGGCAGTTTATTGGTTCCACCTAATTTTGTACTAATTGGCCACTTTATCAGAAATACCTACCTTATATCTCCACTATATTTTGGTGTACAATTACAGACTGTAGCTCATGTGTTGCTGCAAAGTTTATCAGCCCCCCCTCTACCCCTTTCATTATTGGTCAGTTTCTGATCACAGGGCCACTTTGGTCCAGATACTGTTTGGATGGTGGGTCATTCTTAGCAGAGCTGTGACAATGACATGGTAGTGGTCATAGTAGTGTGTGTGGGGTGCTGGTACAAGTGTATCAGGCACAGCAGTGTTGCTTGGGACTTATGATGATCTTTTTCCAGTAATCAGTGGGGTAGAGGGGGGCTATTAAACTGTAGCAACAGATGGGCTACAGTCTGTAATTGTACACCTGTATAGCGGTACACCTATATACCTGTAAGAGAAGTGTTTGTGATAAAGTGACCGATATGTGTAGGACCAAAGTAGATGCACTTAATGAACTGACGTTTCAGTGTGTATATATATTGAAAAGGACAGGGAGCAAGAGACACACATATAAAGACAGACAGTATCTTACAGGGTGACAGTTACACATTTTAATGATCAATGAATAGCAGGAAAAATGATTTTTACTTTTTATATAAATTAATGAATTTCTTAGCTATTTTGCCAAAGTTTTGTTAATGGAGTTACTTTGTTTAGGCCAGAATTCTCACTGCCAAAATCAGCTCTACCTAGTGTAAAAGGTTAAAAACGTCCTACTGCACTGCATCATAGCAGCCACAAGGGTACAGTATTTAGTAAAGGGAAAGCTGTGTCGTCCATTTAAATAGCCCATGTCACGGAAAATGGATTGTCCTCACTTTTTGAAAGAAGAGTTGAATGTAGTATAAACATTGAAAGTTTAAATGTTTGAAGTTTCAAAAAGTACTGTTTACCCCATCGTTTAGAATTCACTGGGCCTCACTAAGGCCCATTATTTTTAATGAAAACGCATTTACCTACAGTTGTATGGAAAAGTTTCAGCACCCTTGGTCAAATTATGTTTTGTTGATTTTCCAAGTGAAAATAAGTTAACACATTCTCTACAGAGAAAACATTTTAATGCACAGTTACTGTTTATATGCTGAATTTGATATATTAAAAAAAAATACAAAATATGTGCTGTGCAAAAGTTATGGCAAAATCAATGTTTTACCTTTTAGTTTGTCTGATGTGTTCACCTCAGCATATAAATAGAAATTGTGTGCTGAAAATTTTCATATTTCAGTTTGTTCTCTGTAGAAGCTGTGTAAACCTTTTTTCACACAAAATCAACAAAACGTAATTTGACCGAGGCTGTAGAAACTTTGGCATGTGACTGTATATCTACCTATTCAGCCTACAACAGTTTAGCCCCGCTCGTCATCCCAGACTTTTTGAATGAGTTGCAATACAGGGCAGCCAATCAGCATAGAGACAATTCACATATATCAGTCTTAAAGGCACAGTAACAAAAACATTCTCTTTTAAAGGGAGGTTGGAAAATGCACATGTAAAAAATGTAAATGCATATGACTGTGTTTGGTACATAAACCCACACAAATGTCATAAGTGGATGTCAGAGGAAAAAATAAAACACAAATGTAGGTTATGGGCCCTATAATGTGATATACTATGCTTAATTTTCATGGATTAGGTGCATTTGAAGGTGCATTATGGATTCCATTCTTCTGTTGTTCATTTTGAATTCATATTTTAATCTTTCTACATTCTTCTGGTCAGGAATCCTTTTATTTCTTCATGTTTCCGCTTGACTTTTTTGTGCCGTTGTGCACAGGCAGGAAAGGATGGATATAAAGAACCTTTTCCCAGTTGACTATGGGCGTTTTAGCCTTTTTTTTCTGTTTATTTCTGCATTTATGAAGCAACTAACTGAAGTCTGAAGTCTGTTAGTACAAATATATTTCAGTTTAGTCAAAAAGGTCAGAACTTTCCCCTTAATTCAGTGTCATCACTTTTTATTTCCTTTTACGGCAGACACGTTTGCCAACCTGGCGCAATACTGCCATAGCTTAGGTTTAATATATGTTTAGATCCTTTTCAGTCAAAGAGTATCTTTATCTGTAACTCACTACAAACGTGCACATTCCATAATGAGGTGTTTCTGTTGTTCTTATGTTGTCTTATTATGAAAATCAACTTTTAAATCAGATCTGTGATTGCTACATACAAAACATTTACACTACACACTAATTTACATAATTATTGTGTTCTGGAAGAAGGTTATTCTAACGCTGATCCTCTGAAATGGATTTCAAACATCCTTCTTCTCCTTCTGCTGCTGTGTATGCTGGGTTGGGCCGGGTGTGGATGTGATGAAGAGATTTTTAAGCACAGCCCAGTTTGGGCTTCCTGTTATTTTACCTGTATAACCAATGTAAATGACCCTCTTTCCCTCCTCTGTGTTCTTTGTAAGGGATATTTTTTGGAAATAAAGTTTATTTAAGGGATGCCGCTGTTGCTTTATTTGTACGTCCGTATTTTCTGTGTCGCTGAAACAGTTATGGTGGTGGTGGTGTTCCCAGTCTTCAGATTAGTAAATAAGGCTTATTTAATCAATCATAATTAACATTAGCGACATGCTAATGAAAAGCATGGCTGATTTGCTTTTGCTGAAGATGCTAATAAAAAGCAAATATATTGAGGTTTAAATATACACTGACTGACCAATTTATTAGGTCAACCTATCTTATATCTATCCTCATTGTCCATTTTATCAGCTCCACTTTTGATTTAGGTGCACTTTGTAGTTCTACAGTTACAGACTGTAGTCCATCTGTTTCTCTGCATACTTTGTTAGCCCCCTGTCACCTTGTTCGTCAGTGGTCAGGCCCCTACAGGACCACCACAGAGCAGGTATTATTTTGGAAACTGATGTAGTGTTGCTGTGTTAGTGTGTGTTGTGCTGGTAGGAGTGGATCAGACACAGCAGTTTTTTCATCGAGTTTTTTCACTCACTTTTAGACACTCCCACCTTGTTGGTTCACCTTGTAGATGTAAAGTCAGAGACGATGGCTCATCTCTCATCAATTGCTGCAGTTTGTGCTGGTCATCCTCTAGTCCTTTGTCAGTCGTCACAGGACGCTGTTGGCTGGATAGTTGTGGTTGGTGTCCAGGGTCAGAATTGAATTTGTGAAAAATTAACAAACGGAGCTCAGAATATGTGACTGCTCCATACAGCTCTATCCTGCTGGACTGTGACACGTTATTGCATTAAGCTTAACAAAGCTTAAAAAGCTGACACAGAGGCTAATCAATCAGGCTGATAAAATCAGTCCTGTTTGTATCTGTCAGTCATTAATGAGTCAGTCTCTGCATCAGAAAACGAGAAACAGGGCTGTATTTAATAAAGTGGCCTGTTAGTGAATATACTGGGCATAAAATATTAACTGCAGAAAAATATCCGCTTACTTCTTGACGAACAGCCAGCGTACTTGCTGTAGTGACGAATAGGCAGGGCCAGCCAATCGCGACGCAGGTGGGCGGGGCTTGTCGGAAAACAGGTGGGGAAACAAATACGTGAGTGTACTTTGTGGGGCGAGTGCAGACTGAGCACTGAGGAGTTTAATCCAGCTGCAGTTTAAGGGTAGATATTTGTATTTAAATAACGCAGAGATAATGTAAGTACACTGCATTTTTTCTACAAGGTCCATTTTCACTGTTTAATCTCTGAATTGTATGTTTTAAGGAACATTTTACCTTAACAGGAAGTGTCTTAGGCTTTGCTGCTACTCACATTTGCTTCATTTTGAGTTAATTTCCTCCAAGGTGATTTATAACCGTCTTTCAGAGGTAGTTTTCACAGAATACTTAAGTTCTGTTCACTTCAGGAAGGTATTTAACTGTATTATACTACTAAAAACGGATTGGTGCTGCGCATTAGTAAAATTTGAGGAACTAACGTTCGCAAAAAACGTTATGAAACAAAACCTGCACTCATAGAGAGACATAGAGAGAAAATGTTTTAAACAACAACCAAACAACTGATATTAAACCACCTGTATTCAGTAAAACAATGGGTAATGATATCATTAGCATGCAGCATCCTCAGCTCCTCTGTTTTAAATACAACAGAGCACCTGCTAAAGATGAAGTCTCCCTGTATGACTAGCCCAAAGAATACAAGAGCACAGAGAAGTCAGTGTGTCCAGCCGTTAGGCCTTCAATGTCCTTTTTTCCATTCCTGTAGATGTGGAAGTCTGTGGTGGGACACAACGTAAATGTTAAGGTGGCATCAGAGGGTGATGACTGGGAGACAGATCCAGACTTTGAGGTATAGCACTGAAAAACTGACGCAGCCGATTTAGAGGTTTTCCTACACACTAAAAAAACTTTCTCCATCAATCTGAAGAACTAGTTGACCAGGCAAAGAACCATACAGGCACGAAAAAATTCCTTACATGGTAAAATGGTTCTTTAGATTGATGGAGAATGTGTTGTATTTTTGTAGATAGTTCTATATAGCACCAATAAGCATTATTCTGTTGTTACAGTCTATATAGGACTCACAGTTCTAAACATAATCATTGCCTTTACTAAAAAAAACAGCAGCAGGAAACTTTATAATATGTATTATCATAATGCTAGTTCCTCCGGGTACTCTGGTTTCCTCCCACAGTCCAAAAACATGCAGTCAGGCCAATTGGACACGCTAAATTGCCCCTAGGTGTGAGTGCGTGTGTGACTGTGTATGTCTGTCTGTCTGCCCTGCGATGGACTGGCGACCTGTCCAGGGTGTATCCTGCCTCCTGCCCAATGACAGCTGGGATAGGCTCCAGCACCCCACCGCGACCCAGAAGGATAAGCGGTTTAGATGATGTATGTATGTATGTATAATGCTAGTTGCCAACTAATCACAGCTGAGAGGGTAAATTTTAATCAGTGTTTTTTTAAATGGTTTTATTGTGTTTAACTCAATAATCGTGACAGGCCTAGACAACACAGTGGCTGGTTTCCTCATTCTACAGAGGCGTTTACCACAAATGCAGCTTAAGGTATTTCAGTTGTGGTTGATTGCAAAAGTTATTTTTGTGGTGTTGGAAATGGGCGATCTTTGTTTTTGTGCTTTAGAATGACATCTCAGAGCAGGAACAAAGGTGGGGATCCAAGACCATCGAAGGATCAGGCCGAAAAGAGCACATCAGGTAACAAGAGGATGAACACTGACAGAATTGAAAGTGCACTGCTGTCATACATGGTGCAAAACTCAGTAGATTGGCTCGGCCTTGCTTGGTAAGAGCTAATCGTGGCTGATATATTTAAAGCAAGTGTCTGCAGTTGTTCTGAAACCACTGCGGAAAGAAAAGGACGTCACTCGCAACAGAAAGAGAGAGCAAAGAGGAGGAAGTAACAGTGCTAGAGCGGCTTGTGATACATGGCCAAATATGGAGTTCTGACTGACAGCACATAAGAGAATATTTGTCAGCATTGGTAGTTATAAGCAATGCATATGCATTACTCGTTTCTAGGTCATGAGGCTGGACACCCTGCAGTCAATTAAAAACAATAGCCAGAAATAGAAATAGATAGTGGGAGGAGTGTTGAGAGATGAAAACACTGAAGCAGAGAGAGTCTGTCATGATGTCGCTGTTGTCTGTGACACAGATGAATGATCCACTTTGTGCACGTTTGTTTGTTGGTTTTCATATATTTTCAGAGCAACACCCATTTCCTGAGGTTAAAAGAAATTACAAATAAAATTTTAGCAGTTTTCCCCTTTACCTCCAATGTAGTCGATCAGCCGAGGCATGTTTGGTGTCTGAATGAACAAATATGTATTCAAAACATATGGGACATATTATTATTATTATTATTATTATTATTACATATACAGATTTACATATAATGTGTTTAATACATAAGAGGCGTATGTATGACTGCAAGTCCTGACAAGATATAAAAATCCTTTGTGTGTATGTTTGTGTATAGTGTTGCAGATCTGAGACAGAAGGTGTCTCATGAGCATGAGGTAGTGAAGAAGAAGGAGCTGGACGATGGTCCTAAGGCTTCTTATGGTTATGGAGGCAAATTTGGGGTGGAGAAAGACCGAATGGATAAGGTAAACACATTTTATGGGTTTTTATGACTTTATTACTTCCACTTACTGTCCACTTTATTAGAAACATCTGCCTTGTGCTTCCACTCACTGGCCACTTTATTAGAAACACTTATCATGTGGTTCTACTCACTGGCCACTTTTGTTAGAAACACCTGCCTTGTGCTTCAACTCACCGGCCACTTGTAAATTAAGTCTCCTCAGTATGTGTGTATATAAATTGTCTGTTTTCCCAGGTTGCTGTGGGACACAGCTATGTGGCTGAGGTAGAGCAGCACTCATCCCAAACAGACGCAGCAAAAGGCTTTGGAGGGAAATATGGTGTGCAGAAGGATCGCATAGACAGGGTGAGGTTGCTAAACTGTGCTCCAGTCAGTGTAAATATAGATAAATGGATAAATGGAATTTTTTTTGTCTCATTTTCTTTCCCCTCTGCAGTCTGCCCAGAGTTATGATTATAAGGCTGAAGTAGAACAGCATGCCTCTCAGAAAGGTACAGAACCAAGTGCATCTGGCCATCTGTTTTAAGGAACAGTTTGCCACAAAATCAAATGTACAAAAATGTAATTTTATCTCAAATGTAGTTGATTAGCCAAGACATATTTGGTGTCCTAAGTTTGCTTTTTTGGTTTTACATTGAAGCTACGAGGCTAATGTAGCTAACAAGTACTGGAAGTGTATAGCCCACCATTTAGCAGCGTACTAACTGCATGCCTAAAAAATCACATTAGCTATAAAGCTAATGTGGCTGTGACGTAATGGAAACCTATAGCCCAACAATAAACATGGTGTCCACTGCATGTCTAAATCAACACACACTTGCCTCAAGCCATGTCCAGTTGTTAAGTAATATGAAATAGAATTGCTTATATGGTTTCTGACTCTGTATGAAGTACTGTTTAGATATTTTCAGACTTTTCATATTTTTGAACAATCAGGAAACTAGTAGTAAATTAGTATTTTTTGTTAAGCATTTTGCTTCTAGTTATATATTAAGTTATATGTTCTCGTGTTGAAGAACCATGTCTGAACTCTATACTCCTCTCCATACTAGAGGACAGAAAAGAGTCTGTGTCTTATATTTTGGTCAAAGTTTCCTGTCTGTTTAGTCCAATGAAAGAAGTAAACAGAAAGATTAATGCATTTGTCTACAGGCTGCCATTCGCCAGAAGAGAAGCTGTACAGAATGCAGCTGTGGCACATAGGAAGCGTTGTAGAAAAGCACCAATAAACGACAAGCTCAAGCTTTTACACTCTACTTGTATAGATTTATTGCGTCAGCATCTTTTCGGCTATGTTCACATTAAGCCTCATTGCTCAAATCTGATTTTTTTGCTCAGATATCACATCTGTGTAGATAAAGTGACTCAAATCTGTCATTAAATGGCAAATAGGTTAGGCTAGTAATGATAGCTGAGGTAAGAGACTATAAGCATTTGTCTGTTTAAACTAAACACTTTCGATTAGCTTTAGATTGCCTTTCTCTCAAGACACGTCATCTATGGATTTGTGGTCTGAGTTGAACATAGTACAGTGATAATAAGATACTGAGAGGAGCCTTTTTTGGATGTTGCATTTTGCCTGCCTGCTGTGTCTGGCATCTCCTTTTTTGGTGAAGGAAGGGGGGTATTTTTTAAGTAATACCTTACAAATTCAAATATCAAATTTGACTGATACTCAGTCCTTACACTTCCTATCTATAAACATGGATGAAAGTGCATCACATAGGTTAATGCTGAAGTCTGAAGTTGTATTATTACTTGTCATTACTTGTTAGCTGCATTAGTCTTGTAGCTCCAGTATAAAATTAAAGAAGCAAACTTTGGACACCATTGTCTTGATTGATCAACTACATTTGGAGTAACAAGGGAAACTGGGTAAATAAAAATTTTCACTAAGATATTTCTTTAAACATAATGTGAAAATCTGATGAGTTCTGAAAAATTGTAACATATTGAGTAGGGGGTCTTGATCAGCAACCAAGCATCATCCTATGTAAGTCCATCACAGAGTCTTCCATTTCTTACCTGTAATTTCTAATAGAGGCTGTTTTATTCCTAAACCTCAGACTATGCCAAAGGCTTTGGGGGAAAGTACGGTGTGCAGAAGGAAAGAGTGGACAAGGCTGCTTTGGGTTACGATTATAAAGGAGAAACTGAGAAACACCAGTCACAGAAAGGTAATGTAATTACATCCTGTGGCATCTTTTATGTACAATATGCTTTATTTATTAAACAGATGGTTCCGGATCTAAAATCTGATTGGCTGAATTTTATTTGAAAATACAAGAAAAACACACTTGTGTATGCACGCATCAACTAGATTCTGTATTAATGCAAACTGTTATGTTGCTTGGCAGCCATAGGCTACCCTTATGGAAAGGTTACATATATTTCACATGTGAAGTGCGCAAAAGCCACGAATGTTTACAAGTAAACATGTGAATAACGTGTGATGTGACTTGAAACATGGGATCCCAATTTTTTGGCATGAGAACTTTTTTTTTCACATGTATGTGACGTGTGCAAATCCACGTGTTTATTCATGTGTTTTTTCTGTAAGGGTACTGTTAATGGACTATGTTGTTTGGTGGAAGACGTGTTTGTTATTATTAATAAATTATACATTGGATACTGGTATATCAAAATGTGTGTTGTCACATTTTTATAAATGGAATAATTCTCTCCAGGCAGGTATTTTACTCCGTTTCACATCATGCCTAAAATCACTGCAACATATGACCTAAAATTGCTTATTGCTCATTGCAATTCCACAGTAACCTTTAATGTCCAAGTAAAAATTGCAAATTTATGTATTACTTACAAAACGTCATGGCATTTATAGTCTGTAGGTAACTTGTTAATTCAAATTTATGAAAAAATGAAAGATATTGGTGAATGAGGCCCGTTGTTTTCAATCATGTAAAAAACAGTATTTGTTGCAGACAAAAGTAAAAAAGAAGATTCTACAATGTCAGTCAATTTCACGGGTTTCAAATAATTAGTAGGAAGCATCAAGAATGAAGTTCTAATAAAATTAATATCCAAAATCCATCATAAGTGATTAAATCACAAGGCAGACTTGGCAAAAGAATGTGTAGAAATTTACAATATATTATTTATCATTTAATGCATTTTGTTTACAGAATTCTTAAATAAAGAAATTTGTCTAAAAATAAAGTTTGGCAAATAGTTTATAATGTTTAAATCCACACTGTATAGGTTATTGTTTTTGTATAAATTAACAAAAAATTGGCAAGCATCTGGCACGTGATTCCAAATCAACCGATTTCCAAATCAGTGATTGGTAGCACAAAAAGAGTGTTACATGATTTTATGTCATTAGCAACACAAAATGATGTTAAATAATGTGGTTTTAAAGTCTTTTGACCCTGAAACACACTGAGGAAATCTGATGATGCAGGTTCTTCTATAATCTGTTCTAGATTACTCAAAGGGCTTTGGGGGCAAGTATGGAGTGGAAACAGAGAAGGTGGACAAAGCTGCTTTGGGTTATGACTATAAAGCAGAAACAGAAAAACACCAGTCACAGAAAGGTAATGTAGAGATCCTCTAGCATGTTTTGTGTAATATAATCCGCCCAAACAGCCAAAAATTATATTTCGTGATGTAATCGTCACATCATTGTGTTTAGAGTTTGTAGTTGATTTAAAATGTGTGTAAAGACAAAAAGTCTTACATGACTGTATAGTATTCCAGTGTTAAACAATGTTCTTCTTTTAAACATTTTTTTCTGTATTCTATGCTAGATTACTCAAAGGGCTTTGGAGGGAAATATGGAGTGGAGAAAGAAAAAGTTGACAAAGCTGCCCTGGGTTACGATTACAAAGGAAAAACTGAGAAACACCAATCACAGAAAGGTATCATGATTCTCATAATTAGAAGTGTAACAATACACAAATTTCATAATATGATATGTATTGTAGTTTTTGCATCACAATACTATACAGATTCAATAAAGAAGTAAACAAACAAATATCATTATTCATTTTATTTTCATTTATTTATTTATTTTTGGTTAAAGAAGGAATTTTCTTAGAAAATAACTAAATTTTAATACACAAAGTGTAAGTGGTTTCACATGCAGCGCAGGGTATTATTTGTTTTAGGAATGCCAGTGTTTTTTTATAAAACAGTATCACACTCAAGCTGATGAAGAAGGCCCCTGAGAATTCTGCTCTGCAATACGTTACAACACGTAATTGTGAATTTGATTCTGTTTCTTTGCCTGTTGTGTCCTTTAGACTATGCAAAGGGCTTTGGAGGACAGTATGGTGTTGAGGCAGACCGCATGGATAAGGTAAACCTATTTAACAACATGAACAAAGTCTTCTGAAGATGGTTTGTGATAAAAAGCTGTGACTTATGTTGGCTTTTCTGATCACAGAGTGCAGCCTCATTTAGTGAGATGGAGTCTCCAACTTCGTCTTACGAGAAGACTGTGCCTCTTGAGACGTGTAAGTGTCAAATGTAATACCGTGTTTACACCCTTAACACCTTTATACTCTAAACGTAGTCCATCAGCCATGTTTGGTGGATGTTTGCTTCTTTAGTTTTGCTCTGGAGCTATGAAACTAATGTGGCTATGACATAATGGAAACCTATAGGCCATCAATTAGCATGGTGCCCAACTGCAGGCCTGAATCAACACATGCCTGCTTCAAAGCGTGTTGTTGAGTCTCAAATAGACTTGCTTATGTAGTTTCTGACACTGTATGATATAATGTTGTCTGCAAACATGGATGGAAGTACGTTATCATTGCTAAAAACAGACGCAGCCATCCTGGAGTCTGAATTTCATGTACTTTTGTCCGGGTATTGCTTTAAGATAAGTCCATCAGTGCTCTTATGTAATAGATGGTGTAGTGAGGGGGGGTGTCCAATGCATTTTTCTTAAGGTGGAAAAACGCAAGGTGCATTGCACAATCCTTCTTTGTTTTATAAGTTTACACTTTACTTTTTCGGACACTGCATGTCACTCAATCGCTAAGCAGCTGTAGTGCCATAACTGTTAATCTGTTGTGCTGGCTAGGTGTTGCACAGTATGTATAGTCACGTAAAGCATGAAGGGCTCAGAGTGCACAAATAATGAGCATTGAATTCAATAGAAAAATGCACCCTGGCCTGCAAAAACCATGCACAGTGTCAGCTATAGATGGACAGTATGACAGTTATCACCATGATGAAACATTGTTTTGCAACAGTATGCTTTTCTAAGCATATCATGAAAATCAGTAGAACTTAAAGAACACTGACTGACTGTTTCATTACAAAGACAGTATAACTAGTCCTATATAGATTTAGTGCAGTGCAATATATGAAATGTTGAGGTTATCATGGCAGTTTTTAAATGTGGCATTACTGGTAAATTGTATCTGTATGTCAAATAATCATGATGCATATCTAAAATTGTGAAAATGTCTTTTTATGACATCACCCACCACCACTCTGAGCCCTCCCTAACTCCTAATAAATGTCTCATGCATGTGTTTATGTGTGTAGCAAGTGCAGGCGCTGGAAATCTGAAGGCTCGGTTTGAGAATATGGCCAAAGCATCAGAGGAGGAGAACAGAAAGAGAGCAGAGGAAGAGCGGGCGAGAAGACAAGCCAAAGAGAAAAGGGAGAGAGAGGAGGTCCAAAACAGACAACAGGTTCACACACACATCTTACACACAGGACCTGGATGATCTATCAGAAACAGCTATTTTTAAGCAATAGAACACAAGAGGTGATGTGTCATTTTGAATAGGATCACAGCAGTTTTTGGATTGATACGGACTCTGACACAGGCACTGCAAATGAAGTATACACAGTAGATGTAACTTTACAAATGTACCAAATGTCTAATCACCTACAGCACATAGATGATGTGTGTTTGTGTGTGAAGTTGCAGAGCAGTAATGAGGAAGTGCAGGTGCGAAGGCTTCCCCCTATTCCAGCGTCTGAAGACCCTCCACAGGCATCCAGGCCACTGCCTGAAATACCCAGAGACTCACCTGATCCTGTAGCTCAGGTAAAAGTCAAGCTTATCTCAGTTAACTCTGCACATAATAAATAGGAAACATATTACATATCGCTGTTGTCAGAAGAAAACCTTGCATCTCCATTTTTGTTGTTTGTCAGTTTTTTGACATAATTTGAACATACCTGTTGTTTACATTGTGTGTAAATGTCATGATGAATGGACTAAAATAATGCGACCCAAAATGACTTGGAAAAATGTCTGGTTCCATTGATTTACATTCAAAGTAAAGTAGGTTTTTTCGTCTCCTGTAAAGTTAAAAAAACATTTTGGAGATAGAAAGGTTTTGATCCGACAGCAGCGATATAGACACTTACATATTAATAATATTACATATTATACATATATAACACACATAGGACATACTACATTTAACATCACTGTTGTGCAAAAAACTTTTTTTTTTGCATAATTTGAATTTTCTAGATAGATAGGTAGATAGATAGGTAGATACTTATATAATACATATAAGACATATGTATGACCCCACATCCTGACAAAGGTTAAAAACAAATCTGTGTGTGTGTCCACAGGAGGATCCTCAGCCTGATTATGATGAGCCTCCATCTCTGCCCCCCCGCTTTGTTGACCCACCAGAGGAGGAACAGATAGATGAAGAGCCCACTCCTCCTCCTCTTCCTCATCGACAACAAGAGGAGGAAGAATATGAGGACATTGCACCAGCTACTTTGCCTGGTTAGGCACAAACACACACACACGTGAAACTGCAGAAGCTATCGTTTCTATGTATTAGTGCTTTTAGTTGGTTCTCATAAACTCATGAAACTCGCATTTACCGTAATGAAGTTACATTCCAATGGCTGACAGAGTTGTGTCTATAAAGATGAACCCAGGCCAGTTTATCAGTTGTGATGCCTCACCAGCTGGAACATTTTGGTTACCACAACAACACGGCTGACCAAGCAGGCAAACAGTGTACAAGTGGTAAATACATCAGTGACACTTCAGTTTCTGTACTGTGGTGTGAGTGAATGTTTCTAGCATTAGGCCTACATGTAGTGAATAGGCAGGTCCTATCAGTAATAGCTGTTAGTATTAGTCCATCCCAGCAGATATATTGTTCATATTTGGCACACAAACTGCATACAGTGGAAGTCAAAAAGAACTGTTCACTGTTTTGATGTGTTTATCCTGTTGGTTCACTTAAAAGGAGGAAAACCACAATAAATGACAGACATATTTGCACACTTTAATGCACTATTACTGTTTATTTGCTATAATTAACATATTAGAAAAAAAATAAAACATAAAATGTGGCCTGTGGAAAAGTTATGGCACATTTTATTTTTAATTTTTTATTTTCTTAAAAAGTTAAACTAAAATAAATAGAAATTAGCAGAAAATTTCATATTCAAGTTTGTTCCCTGTATAGGGAACGTAGAAAATCAGCAAAACATGTTATCTCACGAGATTTGTTCAAACCTTTGCTTTTGACTGTATCATTGATATCAGCAGTTGTTCAGTTTAGCAATTCAAACAACTGGAAGTTACGACCTGGTGATGTATAATTTTCTGTTTTTATGCATGACAGACTGAACGCACCATTTGTTTTGGCAAAATTAGTATAATTTTTTTTGGTTTCTCCCACAGCTGTTGATAATGACTATGAGGACCTTGGCGAAAGTCAGACAGCTGTGGCCATTTACGACTACCAGGGAGGTGAGTGTCACTATCACTATCACTCAGACACATTTAGCCTCTTTTAGTGCGTCAGGAGAAATAATTAGTACCTTATATTACATATTTATTATATATTAGTACATATATATGTACTTATATCATTCTTATATTTTGCATGACCAGTCAATTGACAGCCAAGAGTTTATCCATGAAAACATAAATATTATTATACAAATATAGATGTACTTTACTCATGTTTAAATCTATTTGGATTATGGTAAAATTAGAGATTTCATGATGCACTGAAACAATTCCCAAAGAATCATAATCAAATAAAGTCTTGTTGAGGTCAGAGGTTTACTCCCTGAGTGTCGGTCATTTATATTTACCTTCTTATCAAGCATGTTGAGCTGAGTCAGGTTTCCTAACCAAGTTTTAGCTTAACAGATCTAACAAACACAGCTGTGGTTAACTTGTTTTATGACAGCATTTACAACCTTCTCTATTAACTCTGTTAGGTTGTGATTAATCCTCATGGATGTGCACATGAAAGACAATTGTGTGAAACTAATGCACCAGCTTATTTTTAAAGAAGGAAAAAGAAATAATACTATGTACAGTGGTGGACAGTAACTAAGTAAATGTAATTCGTTACTGTACTTAAGTAGTTTTTTCGTGTATCTGTACTTTACTGAAGTATTTCCATTTTGGATGACTTTTTACTTTCACTCCACTACATTTCAAAGTCAAATATCTCACTTTTTCCTTCACTACAGATGCAGTTTAGTAAAGGAAAACACGTGTTAATCTGTTTAACATTTTATTAAACTTAAATTTGTAACTAAGTTGCAAATAAATCTTAAACTGAAACTTTGCTTGTTTGCAAAAAGTTATTTCAGAGCCACTCAGTTCTACCTAGTGGAAAATGTTTGCCTTCAGTGTTTTGTGCTTATGATAATTTTAATAGACACCAGCGTCACTAATTAATGACATTATGTTAAAAGACTGGTTTACCAAGAGAGACACTGGAGTTTTTTTTTACCTAAAATGAGTTAATGAAGCAGAGTCTTGTTACAGAAATGGTAATAAGACATCAAAGCCATAATTAATCTTTTAGTACTTTTACTTTCGATACTTAAGTACACTTGAACACATACTTTTGTACTTTTACTGAAGTGGAGGTCTAAAGGGAGGAACTTCTTTTACTTGAAGTACATGATTTGTGTACTTCGTCCACCGCTGACTATGTAAATACGTAAAAAGTATTTTTATTTAGCATTTATAACGCTAACGAAAAACAACAGTATCGCCACTCTCAACATGTTAGTGTTTGTTGGACTAATAACTGTTTTGTAGTCTTTAGATTGGTGTGATTAATTTCCCCTGAAAGCGATGTTTCACACGACTGATGCAACCAACGTGATGAGTAATTTAAAAAAAAATGACCTTGACAAGGACAGTCAGAAGGCTGTCCCTGATTGGTCTAAGAGCTGTTTGTGATGCACAGTCCCTAACTTAACCTGGCCTGAAGCAGGATAGTGTACTGTAGGAGTTGGCATAGTGATGTAGCCCAGTACAGTGATCCACCATGATGTGACAGAAAATCTAGGGTTAAATCGAATTTAGGGTTAAATCCAGGGTTAAATCAAAGCTTAAAATTAACGGGCTTTGCAAGAAATCCTGATTCATGAGACTCGATTCTTCATGCTTTAAGTAGTAACTTAAATTAACCATTTTAATTCATTTCTGTTTTTAGAAGCGGACGATGAGATCTCCTTCATGCCTGATGACATCATCACAAACATTGAGATGGTGGACGAAGGTTGGTGGAAGGGAACTTGCCATGGCCACACTGGCCTTTTCCCAGCATCCTTTGTGAAGCTCATGTAGTGAAGTGCTAAAGCACCACCCACTTTCTCAACAAATCATCTGCTCTCTAGCTTTAACCTGTTATTGCCCTATGAGATGCCAGATTTATTGCAGAAAACCACCCTCAAAATCCAACCAGTGTTATATAAAGCAATACTGAGTTTTAGAAAAGTGATGTACAAATAAGACATTAACATTTTTATAATAGGCAGACCAGTGCCAGACTTCACGCACCAAACTATACTGCTGCCTATTATTAACTGCCAGTTTACTGTATTATTTAGCCAATGCAGCTTATGCATCATACAACTCCATGGCTAACCTGTTTGGCTGAGCTGACTATAAAATCTGTTTTACATTATATTTTTAAATACATATTTTTTTATCATTTTGACAAGGGATAATCAATAGATTACTGGAGGTTTTTGCTGTATTCAACTGGGTATTATGTGCAATGAAACGGTACAGTGTTTTAAATGACATTTCACAATAAACTGAAATTGTTTAAGAGGAAAATGTTGTTTTAATATCACAAAGCATTTTTCAACCATATACATATCTGCAATAACTGACAATACACACTCATTTTTATTAATCTAGTTGTCCCAGTAGTAATAGACCATATATCTATGTAGTAAGCAAATACTATTTCAACAGATTTGAAGATCCGTAAAGGAATATTCCAGGACTTTTCGCCTGCTGCATCTATAGCATACAGCTGAATGCCATGGATGATCATTTTAACAAAAAAAAAGATAGATTTCCCTGCATTTAGAAAAGATCAGAATGGCTTCTATTCTAAGTGTGTTTCAAGTCTACAGGTTTTCTACCAATAGGGAAACCAATAGTCAAACTATTGTTTGTGGCAACTGATCATATGCCACATATGCAGCAGACAGAGATTAGGTTGAAAAAGTGTTTATGGGACTCTTCTCAGCCATTCACTATAATTCTCAAACGACTCAACGTTCATCATTACAGATCTCATTTGCAGTATCATCCGTTAGCAGTGTGAATGAAAGAGTCCACATTGTTTACAAATTGTACATCATATGCAGCAAGTATAGCCCACATAATCAGCACTCCTACATTTACTGAAATGAGGCACAACCATACGGCGGTAGACTTGGGGGTGAGTGACCACAGCCGTGTGAGTTAAAACTGGCTGAAAAACAATCCACTTGTTCCTGATTCAGTAAAAATTGTCCACACAGGTAAAGATAAAGTCTACCAGGCTACACCCTTCTTTGGCTTCTGTTTTCCTTTGCCTGCCTTGCGTTTGCTTTTCATCTTTTTGGCCTGCCTCTGGCTCATCCACACCGGGTATTGTCCATGCTCATTGAGCATCGTCTTCTTGTTGCGCTTGCTGTCCATCTCCATCTGTCCCATATCGTCTGGAAAAAATAACAGAACAGCTTATAAAGGAGCAGACAGATTATCCTATAATATAATGACCAATATTCGCTGATAAAACACATACACAGACACACACACAGAGACACACACAGACACACACACACACACACACACACAGACACACACACACACAGACACACACTCCTCCAAAAGTATTAGAACAGCAAGACTAATTCTTTTGCTATACACTAAAGACATTCGTGTTTGAAATCAAAAGATGAATATGACAGCTCATAATTTTACTGACATTTATTCCTAGATATGTTAACCAACTCAGAACACGGCACTTTTTGTGTGAACTGACCCATTTTAAGTGACCAAAAATAGTTTCTTGCTGCCAGGTGTGCCCTGTTAGATTGACTGTTTAAATAATTACATAATGACAAACATGAAGACCATACAGCTGTCTTTCTGAGAAAAGCAAGCTAGTTTTAAACTGAGGAAAAATGAAAAATCAACCAGAGCCACTACACAAGCATTGGGCATAGCCAATACAACAATCTGCAATGTCCAGGAAAAGACAGAAACCACTGGTGCACTAACAATCAGACTTTGAACAAGTCAGCCAAGGAAAACAACAGCAGATGATGACAGAAACACTGTGAGAGCTGTGGAAAAAAATGACAGTCTGTGACCTCAACAACGACCTCCACATGGTAGTGGTGAAGGTCTGGCAATCCCCTGGTCAAAAAGAGACTCTGAAAGCAGAAATACAGAGGAAAAGCCACAAGATACAACCACTCATCAGCAGTAAGAACCGGAAGGCCAGTTTGGAATTTGCAGAGAAAAACAGATGAACCACGCAAGTTTTATGGACTGACAAGACCAAGATTATCCTCTAACAGTGACAGAATGGCCAATGTGTGGAAAAAGAAAGAATCTGCTTATGATCCAAAAAAATACAAGTTATTCAGTCAAGCATGGTGGAGGTAGTGTCATGACTTGGGCTTGCATGGCTGAGAAAGAGAGAAAAATATATTTATATTATTATTCTTTAAGAGAAAGAATACTAATATAAATATTGTTGATCTGGGGGCAGAGCTACCCAAAGTGATTTTTGTTGCTGTTAATCATCTTATTTTTTCATCAGGTCCCTTCATACACTGTTTGAAATAAAGGTTCTGTGCAGGTACAAACAATGTAAATGTTCCCTAAAAGGTACAACAGTGGTTTTAAGATCTAAGATCTAAAGTACATATTTGTACCTTTTCATAACCTAACGTTTAATACAGAACAATAAAAATAAAAAGCCTGGAGACGAGACGGGGTGTGTGGAGTCAATACAACTTAGAAAATATAATTTCAATGGATTATGGTACAGTTATGTTCCCTAACTAAAGGTACTGAGATGGACTGTTGAGGGTACTACCCCAGTAACAAGAGGGGTACTGCCCCAGTGACAGTTTACTACCTTTTTTCTGAGAGTGTACGTTGTTTGTGTTATAATACTATTCTCATAACGTTACCTTCATGCTGGATACATTTGACATGTTTGTTTTATAAATTAGTTGGGCTCAAAATGGTTCCCAACCCAGCTCCACAGATGGTCCAAATATTACCCTGAACCAGCACACATAAGTACTGAACACATTCACTGACCACTGACATATGATGCACTGATATAAAGGTGATGAGACTATTATTGAATATAACTGACTACTGTGTAAATTAAATAGTTCATCCAGTGCATTTTTAAACAAAATTTTGATCTGTACCGAAATAGGAAATAATAATGCAACGAATTTAAATCGTGCTGAAATTTGAAATGATTCACTGAATTATATCCTAAAGATTTATACCCCCAGTGTCAGTTATTAAAAGGAAAATTTGCCTTACTGCTCAGTGTTTTCAGTTAACCACTTTAAAAGAGAATTCCAGCTTAAAACTAGCATTTAACATGTTATCAGTTGTGTTCTGTAGCACTGCTGTAGCACAGCACTGCATCTCTCAATAAGCTTGAGACAGCTGATGATAGTACCATGAATCGCTGATATGACTGACAATCGCAATCAAGCTGGATGATTTGAATGTTTGAAAACATGCCGTCCACAGCTTTCAAATGTACAAAAGTAACTGTATTTGTCTGTTATCCAGGAGGAGAAGTGGCTTGTGTATGTGCACTGTTTTCTTTTAACACGTTTTTATTTAATGTGTAACGTTAGTCCATGTCCTGAATCAGATCTGAGATGTAGTCTGGCTTCAGAACACTCTGCAGCACTGCAAACCAAAAACCATACCAAAAATAAAGTTGGCTTACAAGTTTTCTGACAGCACTGCTAAAATGGGTTCCTAAAGAAAGGTGCCCAATTAATGCACCTGTAATGTCAGATGCCAATTAGGAGGATCCCCAGTCTGTCAGCATACGGAGCAGCCTGCAGTCCTTACTTACAGCTCCTTTTTTCAGTGCTCACTGTGCTGGTGGTGCGAGAAAGCTTACATTTTTTTTTCCTCACTCCCACCTTCAAGATACATCATCAGAAGGGGTTTTTTTCTGTCTTTAAACCGGTAAATCTCTCTCTCTAGAGAGTACTGTGGCAACACTGTAGGAAGCAAGTATGCATTTTTCATTTAGGCTGAAGTTTCCTTTAAGTGCTTACCTACTGGCCCTTTAATCATTTTAATTCACTCGTTATTAGAAGTGAACGATTTCCTTCAGGTCTAAAAGGATGATAGATGAGGTCTAAGAGGGTGGAAGATATTTAAATCTAACTGTGGGGAATTTGATCTTTTATGATGCACCGAATAATTTCCTAAAGAACTGTGGTCAAATCGAATCGTTGTGGGGTCAGAGATTTAAACCCTCAGCTGACTGGTTGCTGCAGGTGGGAGTGAGGACAGAGTGATAAAAGAGAACAGCTGGGGACAACTGAGGACTGGAGAACGTTTCATGTCCTAAGGAAAGTCTATTCATACTCACCATCTTCTCCCACCATCTCCACATCCTCAGCTTTCTCCTTTAATTTCTGAGCAGGCACCACAGTTGCGATCTCAGCCACGTCCTTCATGGTGATCTCGCCTTTGCCTTCCTGCCCCAGAGTCGATTTAAGCCGCGCCAGTTCCTTGGGCGCATTTTTCTTCCTCTTCTCCGCTCGCATCTTTCTCTTCCATTTGCTGCGTAAACTCTTCGCCATGGTTCCAAACCTGGGGAAAACGTGTAAAAGCAAAGACAAAAGGTACATGTTACCCACAAGTTAACTTCAGTTTACAGAGGCTTGGTCACAAACGTTATCATGATAAATTATGTCACAATACTGTTCCCCTAGTATATGACAGTTATAGTCAACTCCTACAGAACACTGACCAACTGCATGGATCATTTAGACCAATTACAGCAAGCCTGTAAACTACAACAATCATCACAGTGTATAGTAGCTGCTGGTGCATTTTGCCAGTTCCAACTGTCCCAACTTCTCAGCAACATATTGTGTAATGCCTTATCTTGATGCTTGTTGCACTTTTGCCCATTTCCACCAGTGATTCCCTGCTTCAGTAATACTAAAATACAGATACTTCACTGTGTTGGTGCAGCTCCTAGGCTGCTTTACTGCTGCTCACGCTTCTGACTTTGGAGCTTTAGCATTATATTTTAGACCAAAAGGATAAAAACGAAAGACCAGAATCCAACAAATTTCAGTTTCTATGCTGCTGCTGGCTGTACTAAGCAGTTCCAGCAAAATTCTGTAAGTAACTCAGCACTGCAGTAGTTTTTGAGCTGCTACACTTGTCTTATGGTAGCTGTTGTTTGGAATGGTGCATTCACCGTTTCACTACAGTAACAATACTTTTCCTGAAGTGGGTTTAGGATACTCTACACACCTCTGCCTGTTCAACGTTTAAACTATACATTAGAAATAACAACATGGATTGTAGGATCCTTTTTTTACCAAAATCAAAGCCTCAGCAAGACTGAGTTCAGTGTTATTTGCTCCAGTGCTGTTTAAATGGGAACCAATTTTTGTAATTTTCTGCACAATCAAACGGTTAACGTTAAAAAATCACCCAGAGTAGTTGAATGTGAAATACTCAAAATTATAAAGTCAGAATTGTTCACAGTGGTGATGATATGACCATATGCGTGTTTACATGAGGAGGTTAATACCTCTAAAATCTCCCTCACAGAAAGTTATTATATGAAATTAGTCAGTAATATGCTGCCAGATGCCTGAGATATTATTTTACTGTTCTTTGATAGTTTTGGTCTAAAACGTATCTTTCATAAACCATGATCAATTTATTTTTAATCCCTTCATGTGGCTATAAGAAGGGTGTTCTAAGGCACACTAGTCACCCAGACAACATTTTCAGACTGGCTATTATTTTACAGTAATCAACGTTACATGCACAAACTCGTGTAGGTTCACTGGTGGTTTTGGAAAGTAAATGAAATTCTAGCTATATTAGTGTTGTAAACATTGTGGCCCTCAGTTCCCATCACCACCACTACAAAACAAATCTGAGTTGCGAAAATTCTCTACAATAATGCATTTCGCATCAGCCCACTGTGAATAACCACGTTCGCAAATAAACCACCGAGTTATTCAGAATTTTTGAAAAATCGGTGGAACTGCCCTTTAAACTCTCGGTTTGGCCGCTCATGTGGCTCAAAGTTGCTCAAAGCTTCAAACGCTGATGTTAAATCCTTCAATGTTAAATCCTTAAATATTAACCCACAATGCCGAACCATTTAGCGTTAGATATTCAAAAATTAACACGCAAAAAGTCGAGGTTTGTCGTTTATGAGGCTGAACAGGCTGAACACGGAGCAGCAGACAGACCCCTGATTTAACTACTACAGACAAACCGCGCACAGCTGTTATTCCGCCTCACTCACGCGCCTTCTGCTTTGTCTCATTAAGCCGTCAGAACAGTAGTTAATAGCGGTTAATAGCGATTATCAGATATTATTAGAAATTATTTTACTCACCTCGTTTAACAGCAGAACACACGTGTTACTATGCGCCGGAAAGTGGGTTGCCCGGTTTGCGACAGTGTTGAGATAGTTGAAATGCCGTAAAGCTGCTTTTGATACTAAGCTCAAATCAAATGTCAGTAAAAATATATAAAAATAAAAACTATTTCAGGGTGTGTACAGTAAAATACAGACACGAAAAACCGCCACAGACAAGGGAAAATTAAATGAAGTGTTCCTCGTTACTCTCACAGTGAGCAGTTGAGCTCAGTGAGCTGTCCAGCAGAGGGCGCTGCAGCACACCTGAGAGCAAAACAGGCGCTGAGGAGTCATTTGGCTTTTAAAAAGTGTGTCAGCTTTTAATCAGCCGTTCAGTAAAGGTTCTATGCAGAACCTTATACAACACAGTTTCCCTCAATCTGCAGAACCTTTTCACCAGTTAAGCATGAAATTCATGGTTCTAAATAGAAACGTTACCTTTCCTAAAGGCCTTGAACAATCTTTTTTAGGTGTGTAGATGTTGGAATATTGCTGCTAGGATTTGATTGCATTGAGCCACAAGAGTATTAGTGAGGTCAGGTACTGATGTTAGATGATTAGTTCTGGATCACGAAATTCAATTCCAGCTCATCTCAGAGGTATTGGACAGAGCTCCATCACTCCAGAGAACACAGTTCCGCAGCTGTCACTGCGCATGGTAATCATAGGCTCATGGGCGGCTGCTCCACAGCATGACATTCCATTTGTTTTAGGTAATGCTTTTCTGTGGAGATTAAGCTGTATAAGCACTGTTGAACACCTTAAACCTTCACATGTTGAATTTCTCTTTATTACATGTTCATATTGATTTCACACTATAGTGTTCAGGTATATGAAATTCTTACATGTAAAAGTAAAACATGTAAGTACATGTTTTAATTAGATTTGCTCATGTAAGAATTCACTGGTGATAAATCAGTCTAATCATGTAACAATGAGAATGTAAATATTCAATATATTGCCATATTCATAAAACCATATTTACCTTGCTCAGGTAATTGAACATATTCACTTGTTAGTGCACTGGTCCTCTGAAATGCTTGTACAGTCCCATTCGGTAACACATTTTAGTTGTGTGCTGCTTGAACACCATCATTTTAAAGGGCAGTTCCGCCCATTTTTCATAATTTCTGCATAATTCAATAATTGAGATGAAAACAAAGTCATTCAGAGTGGTTTGATGTGAAATGGTTTGTAGAGAAACTTACCAATTCTGATTTAGGAACCAGGGGCTGGATTCACGAAAGCTTTCTTAAGAAAAAGCTTAAGAAGGTTCTTAAGACAAACACTAAGAAGTTCATAAGAATGTTCTTAAATGCAATTCTCAAAAAAGAAAAAAACTTAAGAAGTTCTCAGATATTCTCTTAAGATAATCTTAATTATTTCCTTAAAACTTCTCTTAAGAAAATCTCCTTTGTTTTGTTATGTATGCTACACACATTTTACCACGTACCATAAATGACACGTTTTTGAATTTGTATTGACTTTTATTTCCATTATTTAATTTAATCTGCACAGAGGGCAGCAAAAAGGAGAAAAACATCAAACCAAGTGTTTAAAAAAATAGCAAACAAGAACTACAGGAAATGGTGGAAGAAACAGCCAACAGGAACAAAATCCTTCTTGGAAAATATGATAATTGTGGGGTGACAGATACGGGCAGGAGTAGCAGAGGCAACGTCCGTGATAAATTTAGAAGCCAACTCTTAAAGCCTAAGACAAGTGTGAAGCTGCTGTAAGGTTAGGAACACATTTAAGAACATGGTGTTTCCAAGAATTCCCCTTGTTCTTATTTGTGTATTCTATACACAAATATAGCTATTTTATTAACTATCCAAAACCACCAATGAACCTGCTTTAAAACTCAGAATCAACGACAAATCCATTTGGATTATAAGAGCGTTGTGCTCTTGGCCTGATTAAGAAATCCGCAGCTTTGTATTCAAACACACCACAGGCTAAGGGTTATACGATGATAAAATGTAAAGCTTGAAATGCATTCTTTGTGACACAGTACTGAGTTCCGCTCCCCTGCATGGTTACTTAGCACTGATGTCACCAGATCTTCTCCCAGTGGAAGTTCCTGCCCCATGAAATTACACCTATAGCTCTTAAGTAAGAGTTGAATAGTTTGCCCCAAATGTAGTCGATCAGCCAAGACTTGTTTGGTGTCTAAATTTTGCTACTCTAGTTTTAAACTGGAGCTGCAAGCTTAATGTAAATATGTAATAAAGTAATATAAGCTTGTTAGGACACTAACAAAGTCTGTACACTCTATGGTTATCTTGGTAACACCTCAGGGCAATTTCTTCCAGTCACACAAGACCAGGCTCCAATCACTTTGAATGAGGCGAGGCCTATAAACTCCAAAAGCCACATAATGTTTCAGAACCATATTTAAAATCACTGGTAAAATGTGACAAAAAAGAGAAAAAAAAAACAGTATAAACAGTTTGTAGTGTCTGTTTTTTTTTTCAGCTTAATTTTGCTACTGCACATGTGTGTGTCTCTACAATGAGGGATGGCTACCAGGCTCTTTTTTGGCTATTTTTATTGGAGGGAGTGAGTTTCCCCGTAAACAGTAGACATGTTGAGTGATACAAGCTCTCTCATTTGCTTTTCTGAACTGCCTCCTCCTCCTTTATAACGTCTCTGACCCTAATCAGCATGGTTCTAGTTGCATGCCTAAATCAACACTCATCTGCCCCAAACTGCATCAATATCGATAAAACTGGACAAAAATACACAAAAAGTCAGGCTTCAAGATGTAGCTACTACAGTTAGCTAAGCTAAAGTAATTGTCCATTTTATAGATAAGTATGTCATGCAGTGTCAGAAACCACATAAACGAGTCTACTGCAAGCTTTTCTGTTACTTTTTCAAACAGTGAACTGTCTCTTCCTCACTTATAATGTCTCAGATACCAATCAACATTGTGCTAATGTCATATCTAATTTGTAAATCTGGAAATAAAAATAAAACAAAATACAAAATACGTAATATGTAGCTGCTGTTTTTAGCTACGCTAGCATAGTTTTCTCCATGTTTATAGATAACATCATACAGTGTCAGAAACAACATAAGCAGGTCTATCTGAGATTACTTAATAACTCATCCTGGTTTGAGGTGAGTATGTGATGATTTAGGTATGCAGTTAGCACCATGATCATTATTTGTTAGCTATGTTAGCCTCGTAGTGCCAGTGCAAAACTAAAGAATTGAATTTCAGACACCAAACATGTCTTGGCTGATTGACTACATTTGAGGTGAGGGGGAACTGTAAATTTCACCAAACTATGGCTGGAAGCAGCTTTTAGTCAGAGCTTACATTATGGTACAGCAGCAGTATGGAGCAGAGGGAAACACCTGAAGTGGTCAGCATTCTGTCTACAAAGACAGAGAGAGGGAAAGGTCCATCTGCTGGGCTGTCCTGGTGATTTTGCCCTTGGCAATCAGCTGAGGTCCGTTTTAAACAGCAAATATGTGTGTGTGTGTGTGTGTGTGTGTGTTGTGTGTGTGTGCACGTGTATGCGTAGGTGTCTCTGTGTGTATGTTTTGACTCCCCCAATTAAGCCTTCGTTAGCAAGTGTGAAGCGTCTGTGTGAGGAATAATTAGGTCCCAGGACGTCATGCTCTGAGATGGGCAGCACGCAAACAACACACACATTTTTATACAAGGGCCGGATGTGAAATCATACACATGTCCCATATGTATTATATTAAAGACAAGTGACAAATTAAAGGCAAAACCTGAATAAATCAGTATAGATGCTGCCAGATAGGTCTACCGCATCATAGAGTAAAATGAATACTATAGCAAAAATCTAATTTACCCAATTTTTCACCAACTTTAAATGTAGTTGATCAGCCAAGACAGGTTTGGAGTCCAAACACTACAACTCAGTAGTCACCCCAATAGCTCAAATCATTTCCAGAAAAATACATCACTATATTGTAGTAGAGCTACAGTGTATAAACCCATTGAAGCTGTCCTGGCAGCTTGCGGTGGTCTAATATCTCACTTTTTGTTGGTTTTTCCTTTAATTTGGCACTCGGTCTAAGCCTAATACTAAACCTAACCATAACTTTAACCTCAGGAACCGAAAAGTAATGTTTTTTTCTCTTTCAGAAAATCCATATTAATGTGACTTCATGGAGAAAGGAGTCCCAAGATCGGCCGACCTACAGGCTGAGAAGATCGCGGTTCTGAAATAAATGAGATTTAATTCCCTTAAGGCAGCATTAGGCAAGGTCACCCGTTTCTCTCTCTCTCTGTCTTTCTCTCTCTCTCTCTCTCTCTCTCTCTGCTCTCTCACTCTCTCTCTCTCTCTCTCTCTCTCTCTCTCTCTCTCTCCCTCTCTCTCTCTCTATCTATCTCTCTATCTCTCTTGCTCCTTCTCCTGGTGAATTACCTGGCATGTTTTCCCATGCTCCTTTGTGTGGTTTCCCATGGAGACAGACCCAGTCTTACTCTCTGTACAGACGCTCTCAGTTTAACTGAGGCTGCTGTTGCCAACTTTGCTTTTGGCGATATTCTTAATATCATGGAGAACTGAATTTAAGTATGCAAAGTTTAAAAATGTGTTATTCACTCTTTAGTCCATACAGTCCACATATAGAAACTAAACTGCAAAAACAGCACCTTTGAATTTACTCTTTCTGTGATGTTACGAAAACCAATACATTTTAATACATCTGCCTATTCAGCCTACAGCAGTCTAGCTCCGCCCATTCATGCTGAAGTTATAAGGAGTGTTTCAGACTGAATTGCTTTGTGAATGAGGCACAATACAGTGCAGCCAATCAGAACAGAGCCCACTTAAATATATCAGGCTTACAGGCACAATAACAATAACAGCCTGTTGAATTCTAAGGGATAAACAGAGGCTGAATTATGACTGTATTTGGTACATAAATCCACAAAAATGTTAAAAGTGGAGCTTAGCGACAAAAATAAAATACAAGACAAGTGGAGGAAATGGGCCCTTGGTGCAGTCTGTGGTATTGCAACAAGAATATGGGTCCCCATGGACACTGAGTTAGCAGTAAAGCTGATAGAAAGGGTTGTAAGTACATTC